AATGTAATTGTTTCAAAGTCGATTATATTGTTTAACGATTTCTTTAAGAGTTTAGTTAGAATTTATGTTAGAAACATATTTAAAACCACCAGATGAATAAATAATAAGGTCGCATTTATCAATCTCCCTCCCAAATAAGAAACCTTTATAACCTTTTTATAAAAAAGTACCTATTATTATCGCAAGCTATTCTAGACTTCTGATTTCAAATAAAAGCAATATCAAGCAATTCACCGCCTCCCGAAGCGTTTTCAACTACTGACGTAATATGCATTTCCGATGAGTTCAGCTAAAAAGAAACTCAGCGAAATACGCACAGTGTCTATTAAAGGTCATATTATGCTCATCTATGTTCTTATTAGCATACAACACATATAACGGATATCTCTAGGTATGTGTGTGTAGAAGCATGATTCATACGATTGCGGAACGTAAGCCGCGATAATGACTCCCACAGCTTTTAATTGCATACATAGCTTTAATTGTGCAGTTCATTAAAACGATTTAATGTATTTAACACCTTGTACATAACTTAACGAGTTAAAGGTATTACATATTGGTTCATAATATGTTCTAGATAACATTCGATGTACGATAAAATTAATATACCAGTATTGTCAACGGTGATTGCTTAGTAATCTAAGTATGAGACGTCTAACTACCTGAATGTCATTACAATGGTACGAAAGGATAAATAGGTAAGTAAATATGTTTGATTTAATTAACATTTGAATCCGAAGCTAGTCTAGAATTATAGTTCGTTTTTGTTCTGACCCATGATCAAAGTTATCATCAGTTCTATCGTCTGTCTTCGTTTTCGGGAGCATTTCCTTATTACCCTTTATAAATTTTACTACTGTTACTATATTTTATTTCATTATTACTAGTAAGTATTATTTTACATGTATGTACATATGTTTCATAACCAATTCACTTTCGAATTTAAAAAAAAACACAGGAGTCACTCACATACTCAATATGACCTTTCACATATTTTATAAGGTGCATTTGTATCAACATAATCAGATGCAGATATCTTATATTATAAAGGTAATAGTACCTAGCAGCTGCAAACTTGGTGAGATTTAAGGGTATCATAAATATGTAGCCAATAAGTCAAATGTCAAATTTAAATGAATCCACTAAAACCAAGACGATCCAAGTCTAGACTTATTTGACAACATGAATGAATTATCCTGTACAGCGAGACTTGTAATAGAATAACAAAAGCACTATGAATCATATTATCAACGGATATTGAACCCGAGACTGCGCCATGTTTGTCCACTAATATGCTTTGAATAAGACGCATTGTCTTTTCTTGTGGATTGACTAACAAATATTGTACATATTCATATCATATGACACTTAATGCAAAATACCACAGAAATAAAATAAGGTGAAATTTAATATAAGTATTATGTATTATTTTTTTTGTATTTAGGAATATTTATGACTGGTTGACGTGACCAGACTTGTCTCCTATAAATGTGGAGTTTTAAATTTTCTCTTTATTCCCCGAATTCCTATAAATGTGGAGTATTAATTTTTCTCTTTCTACCCCTTCGGGGAATACGACGTGAGTCTGTTATATATATATTTATTTTCGAACAAATTCTTTTGACTATTTTAAATTTATAACCTGTTGTCTCTCATATTCGCCACTCTCGTTACACACGTTTCGTGCTTCGCAAAGCCGTCGTTAATCTAAATGTCAACAAGTCATCATCACAATGTCATAACAAGTACCGTTACATAGATAAAAAGATTTATACCTAGGTGTCACAAAAGGAATTTATACATTTAAAGTTTTCGAGAGCATCCCATTTTGAAAAAAAATGCTTTAAGATCCACCCCTTTTCTATAAACATCAAAACTTCTCCTGGAGGCCATAATATATAGATAAGTGGTGTGTCCGTGTGGTAACGGATTAAGAATACGGAGTTTCACCACCCCTGTTCATCCCGTGGGTGTCGTAAGAGCCGACTAAGGGAGCAAACTGCGCAGGACAACAGCACTGCAAAGAGAAGGAAAACTAGAATCAAACCCTATACCAACCCGTCTGGCCAGCGTGGTATAGTAGGCCAAAACCTCCGTTCTAAGGAGAGGTCTATGTCCAGCAGTGGACTGTTAAAGGCTGTTGATGATGATGATTGATGAAGTGGTGTGTCCACCAGGCAAGTCCTCTAGACTACTGTGTATTTAGAATAGAAGGCACAGGTTACGTAAAAATGACACTCCTTGAAATTAAGAAAACCTCCGTATAAAATACGCATAAGTAAAACTGCTCTTAATGAAACGTAAAAAAAACTTGATAAGTTTTGTGTGTAAATATTTAAAGAATGACACACCAAGTTAGCCTTCCGCGTATGTAACTAAATATCTTCAGTGTCAATCATTATAGTCAACGTTTAGTAGGTACAATTCACGTACAGATGACATTTGATACCGAACTATTGGTTACCAAGGTCTCTATCCGATTGAGCTATTATTTCTTATTATATTGATACATAAAATATGTTACACATGTTCGCTGGTTTAACGACGTAGATTTAAATTAAAGTCAATCAGTAATAACCGGGCAAGACTGAGTCTGAGTCTGAATTCTGAAAAAAAAGGTTCTGTACAATCTTCAACACACATTCGAGTTATGTTTTATTTTTATTCTGAAATTTTATTTTGCAGTTAATTTAAAACACTCCTTCATACATTGATATTGAATTTCCCAAGTGCGCAGAAAATATATCTAATATTACTATTACTAGCTGTACCCCGCCAAGCCTTGCTGCAGCACGTTGTCGTTGCATTGATGAGAAATGAGAACAAAACTTACAAGAAAAACAAATAAAAAACAATCTGGAGCGGGTTCTATACAGAGTCAAATTTTGATCTCAATCGGTGCAGATCTTTTTGAGTTTTTGAAGCGTACACAAACCAACTTAACTTTTTTACATATTATATACTAGTATATATTACTATAACATTTCAACAAAAAACTATTCCTGTTGTAATTTAATTACAATTCTGTGATATTTTCTACCAAATGGTAATTTGACGATCTTATTATGGAATCACATTCAGCTAAACCAGGGATTCCCAAAGTTCCCAGGGGTCGACAATCGACATAAACAAAAACTGATTTTGGGGTCGACGAGGTCTAAAATTCGATTCCTGATAATTAACACAAGTTCTTATTTGAAACTTTCAAGATACTTTATTAATTGTGTTATGTGTGCTAACTTGTTACAAGAATGACTGATATTTTAGTAGAAACTATCATTGTTGTACTTTTTAAAAACTCCACAATGCGATAAGCGTGCAGTAATTTGGCTATAGTGGTCTGAGGCATCAGTTCATTTTAGAAAAGGGGTCTTTTGCCCTATATAGTTTGGGAATCCCTGAGCTAAAGATTCCATTTTTCTACCCATTATATTTTACCATTGTCAGATATGGCCGACGTATACTATAGAATATTAAAGTAATTATGCTATAGGCAGGTACACACATGACTGCACCAGGGCCTTCCTTTCTAGGGTATACCTGGTTCCCCGGCTATTAGTACCCGGCGAAGGCGTGCGGTTTTAGTCGGTTCGAGTCCGACATGCCACCGACAGGTGGTATCCGAGGGGATTTCCGCACGGAAAAAAAAAAAAAAAAAAAAAAAAAAAAAAAGGTACACACATGACAGGCAAAACACCACGAGACAAATCTTACAGTCGCATTAGACTTTGTGTTTACGACATAGTTTTTAATAGGTAACTTAAAATGCCAATGTTTACATTTCTTATGTGAGCTAATAGCATCGACCTATGAGTCGGAACTTTCGGTACGAACTAACTGGGTGATTTCATCTGTTGTAATCGTATATATGCGGGCACTGCGGTTCAATTATTCATTTAAATGTCTAGCTATATTGTGGGTTATAATGTAATAATATGGACTGCAGGGATGGCGTTTCAGTTGGCGGTCGCCACGCCGCTTACCACTACGCTGAGTGTTGTGGGTCCGATCCACACATTCCTATGTGTGGATCGGACCCACAACACTTTGTGTAATCTCTAGACACTTTGTGTAATCTACAAATTGTTGTTCTGAGTCTATGTGTTCTTTGTGTCAGTGTCATGTATGTTTGTAAAGTCCCCCGCGATATTTAATAATGACCTCCTTCGAATATGTACGTATCAACACGAAAGTTTGACTTCATAACTATAAAATTGGTAGACTTTAGAACTACAATTAGTTTAAGTAATTTATACAATTTACGGTTACGACTAATCATGGGTAGTGTTTTATACCACCCAAACATACCAGTTTTTGTTTTGTCACAGCCATTCTTGTCATATATGCTAATTAAATGGCATTTGAGTTAATATGAGTTTTAAATTTATGTATTCTACAAGTTTACCGAAATAATTGTCACACAATCCCAAACTAGGCAGAGCCTGTGCTATGGTAACCAAACTGCTGATAAACATAATTAAATATTTTTAAGTACATACATATTATAGATAAATTACACCTAGTACAAATTTATTTATACATCTTTATTGTACACCGCTACAGTATATATTGTAAAGACATGAATGGACATCTACATTTTGGTATTACACTACATTTGGTAAATTTAATTATTATATATACACTAATATTGTAAACCTGAAGAGTGTTTGCGTCTTTGTTTGAACGCGCTAATCTCAGGAACTACTGGTTTCGATTTAAAAAATATTTTAGTGTTGGATAGCCCATTAGTCGAGGAAGGCTAAAGTCGAGGCAATATTACATCACGTTACCTGCAATAGCCCGAACCCGAACATCATTGAAAAATTGTGAAAAACGGGGAAAATTCATTAATTTTGAGACACATACGAAACTGCGTGGTTCACCTAGTTGTAGATAAATTTAAACTCATATTGATATAGGTATACATTAGTAGTGTAAAAATTATCATTTAGTCATTTCTTATTTAAGACACACGAGTGGTAAAAATTTCTATATTTCAGGTACTGACTGCGAACATTGGGACTCTACTGGACCTGTATGGTGTAGAAAAGGGCTTGGATCACTTCAGATCTTCCCAAGAGCTGACCTTCGACGAGTTCCGATATTACTTGCAGCATGAAGTTTTCAGCACACTTCCAAAAACCGTCACTCTGCCTATAGTTAGAGAATATGAGAAAAAAATCAGTGAGGTAAGAATTTAAATCCAAGCCATGAACATATGAATGTTAACTAATGCCCATGTACCCAAGGTAGGATCCTCCGAACAACGGTATCCTAATCTGTGTGAAAACTTTAGTTGCGTATTGCAGTTTCAGTACTCACTAAGCAGTTCGGCTAGACTTTGCTAGATGGCGGTGTAATAGGTGTTAGCTATGAGTGAATGACAATTCAAAAAATCTAAACACTATTTCTATTAAATAAGAGAAATATGTATTACACACCACGTCTAATGAACTGTATCGTATATCAAGGAGGCGAAAGTTCAGAAGTTATGGATAATACGCAAACACTTAATTTTCTAAAAAAAAATTCCTATTAGCAGTAAAAGTATTTGAAAGTACCTAATTGTTTGGGTATGCCATACTAAAACACTTTAGAGTTAACGAGTTAACGATATTGCTCATATTTTAAGTAATTGCAACTATTTTTAGCAAATGGCAATTGCGAACTAGCCAATCTTCCTAAGTGCTATTTTATGAAATTTGTACAATAGTGGTAGTGTAATTGGTTAAGGCGTCGAACATGAAATGAAATAAGTTTATTACAGGCTCAAACCGCACCCAGAATGCTATTAACGTTAACTTTTAAACACCAGCAATTTTTGTAGTGTTATAAAATTGACAATTACACTGTATAAATCTATTATATATTAATCTATTATAATTGCTGTAACAAAGGTAATCAATAAAAAAAAGTAATCAAGTTTAAATAAATTATTTCTTGATAAACATCACAAACTCTTTGTATTTCGTAATAGCCATACGAATTGAAAATAAGATCTATCTATAACCAGGTACCAGGTGTGTTCCATAACAGATTTTCTTACACTTTACGGTTGACTAGTGCAGCCATATGTACATGAACAAATCTCCCCCTTAAACCTTAAAACAACATAACGCTCAAAAGTCAGTGAGTACATATGCTGAGATAAAACGTTGTTAATTAAATTTAGTCATTGCTAAAGCTGTACGAGCGGACATTGATAAACATATATTCTGAGTAATGTCGCTAGATTTTAGATTAAAAATGACTAACAACCAAATCATTCTGCTTTGCGACGACAGTGATTAATTTTTTATATATATTTGTTGTATAACTGCACTGTAACTAGAAACGTAATCTTATATATAAAATTCTCGTGTCACAATGTTAGTTACCATACTCCTCCGAAACGACTGGACCGATTTTTATGAAATTTTGAAGACTGAGAATCGGCCAACATCTATTTTTTATACCCCTAAATTACAAGGGTGACCCCTAAAGTTCTTTTTTAATATTTCCTAGAAATAATGTCTAAGGCAAAACAACGTTTGCCGGGTCAGCTAGTTTACTATACATTCCTACTAATACAAGTATCCCCGAAAAGGTATGTAGAGGTATAAAAATGTAATAAAATCGCAATCACATGTAGTGAATCATATGATTTACAAATCATATCACCACTCACCACCAATCTCACTCACACCAAACTGATAATGATGATTTGATTGAATGATAATGATGAATAATTATGATTTAAAAGAAGCAATAATTTTCATGTCTACAGAGGGATATATTCGAAACATCAACATTTTATCACCTATAATTTGGTTCCAATCTCATGACAATAAAAAACAGACTATTGCCGTTGCCCTGGCGCTTTAGGACTTACAATGTGAGAAAGGGAATATTGATGGGAATAGAAGAAAAGGAATATAATATACTTACTCGTATACGGACAAGATAATAGATTTTTACCTGTTGAAGCAAAAGCTCGAACACAGCAAGAAGGAAGAGTCTAAGAATCTAAGTTGGAAAACTCTAAGAGAACTAAAAATATATAAGGGTACTAGTAAAATTCTAGTTATAAATATAATTAATTAATTGTATATTAAGTGCTAAATGATTAACAAGCTTACAACCTTACGATAAAATGCTTTCGTAAGGGAAATCAGGAGCATAATTTGATTGTTTTAAAGAAAATAGGGTAGGTGACTAAGTGACATCAATATCTGTATCAGACAGATAAGTTCTATTTACGTAAAAAAAAATGTACGACAATTTTAAATGCTCAATGTTTACTTTATTGTTGAAAACAAAAAAAAAACAGGACAAAGTACTCATTCATTTGGAATTTCATACGCAATAAGTAGGTTGTTATAATTAAAGGTATCTTTGTCTATCTGAGTATCATAGCTTGTAAATTGATAGGTCGATTTGGATTATATTTTTTTAGTTAGAAAGCTGACTTTATACTTGTGAATAAATGTGGGTATCTGCTTATTTCGAAAGTATAAAAAGCGAACATTTCTTCTGTATTTTTTTCCTGTAGGATAGATCCCTATAATCTCAATACTACCTATAAATGATCACGATTACCAACAATACCAAGCCTTTTCTTCTAAAGCATTTTTAAAAAGGAAAAAAAAGCAATGGTCATCACGTATTTTTCCAAACATTGCGTGACAAAAGTCCACCAGTAAATTAAGGTGTAACTCAATTAGTCTGTAGTCTAATGACTACAGACTTATAGAGTTAGTTACACCTTAATTCCACAAACCTAAAGTCCAAATAGGCTTTATTTAGATACTTTTAGTTTAGTTAGTTTTATATTTTTATCTACATAAATTTGAAATAAAACTTTAAATAAATTTACGTTGTTAAAGTGATAGAGTTAGTCAGACACTATTTTAGTTTTGTGTTTATTACGGTTACTAATAACTATACATATAATTATATTTTTCGTTGTTTGAAAACTAGGACACTTGTCTCCTCTAGTTTTCCTCGAACAGCTAGTAGGGCAGTATGCATTCTCATTTGCGTAACAAAGATGTCACGGCAAGTCTCAAATTCTAGCAAATAAGGAAAACTGATCCTAGGCATAGATTGTAGTTACAGGACAGTAATGATTTATGTATGATTTCATCATCAAGATAAAATCTATATCTGAATCATTAATCTTAGAACTTAAGATTCTTCAGAGTAAAAAACCATTGTCTTCCATTTTCCTTTAAAATAACTACGTATAGCGTATATTAGATTAGATTTACTGGCTCTTTTACGTTAATGTATCAATTTCGGTATCTTTTTTTCTGAACAGTATCAGTGATGAGTAGTGTAACAAATAAACAAACCAACATTGATATTAGTCATATTAGATAGAATCACGCAGTCCGTAACTCGTAATCAAATAAAAAAAACTCATGAGCTCAGAGTACGAAATAATTAGCAATGCTAGCTAATCCTATCGTCCACTGATCCCCAGAAATTCTCATCACAAAAAAATACGATACTGCGTCTGAAGAGTCATAAAATTCAACCGGTTTTTATCGTCTGGAAACTCTTATGAGTCAATCAGTTCACCGTAACACCGATGCAGTTGTATAACCGAATCAAACCGACTAAACCATAAGTCGGTCAATTCTGATTACCCAGGTGTACCCTGACAGGGAAGCATTCCAGAAACCTATTTGAATTTGGTCTTCTGTAGGACAGTGTTACCTAATTCGAATAAATTCGAATAACTATCAATCTTCCCTACATTGTAATGACAAGATTGAAGCTCATTTTTGTGATTTGTTACGCCGATGTTCACCCGAGCGTATTCTATTATTATAACTTGATAACGCCCTTGTTACTTGTCAGTATTTCTTTGTTTACTAATTATTTGATGAACAAAGTAAAAAAGATAAACTGTAGTTAACTTCTAATAAGATATTTATTGTGCCTACATCGTGATAAAATGTACTTCCTTAATTATTGCCTTTTGGGGTGAAATTTTTCTTCAAACTTGAAACTAAGCAAACGAGAAGTATAAAACAATTTTTCCAAAACAGTTCATAAATGACGGAGTTCTGCAATTAACGAACCTCCTCCTTTTTAAAGTTGGTTAAAAATATATATACGGTACAATACAAGAATTGTAGAAGAAACAAGAATGTGTACAAAAGAAAAATGCTGTAGGTCGAGGTGCCAAAGAGTTTCTCGACTCACCAATTGCTACCGGCAGTGTGACATTAGGGGAATTCTTTCCCATTCCAGTGGTACTACTTAAATGCAAATTCTCGGTGGAATGAGAATAATTTAGTCGTAGAAAAATTACCGTTCATACATGAATTTAGGAATATACTTAAGTAATCATTCTACGGATCTGGGTGTGTCTAGACTCTAGACACACCCAGATCCGTAGAATGATTACTGAGACTCTAGACTATAAAACATATAGATTTTTGAAACTTTCATAGTAAAAGCTGTTAAAACGGCCGTCGGTAGTACTAAACTTTTTTTTTTTAAACAACCTACAGTATTGATTTCCACTAAAGTCGACTGGAGCGTAATATATGGCGTCCTACGTCTGTTTGTTTACCCAAAAAAACTTTGCCATTCCCCATTTTTGCATCGATCGTCAGCTCCCCTCCTGACAGTCATGAGTATTCAAGATTTATTTATAGCCAGTGACTTCATACATTGGTTATTGCAGCTTTCACCCTTTGTATGAGATTGTAATTTAACGAAACAATCACAGCTTTGAGTGATCTTAACAATTACTAAATGATCTTTATATTAACTATTTAATGATAGAGGACTAGTAATAAATAGCCACCTCGCCAAAGAACACGGAGTTGTGTGTGGTTCGATTTTACTTAATACAATTATTTGTGTGATTTACAGTATTATGACATAATATTATTAACTAGATAATATATTATTTTCCTTTAACTGAAGAAATGTAGATAGAAATCTCTCGCTAAAATTCGTATTATCGAACATGAAACTAAAATAATATTATATTTAATAGTTTCACTTTATCATGTGATTGAGATTAAAAACAAAAAACTGCAACTAATACGTAAAATAAATAAATGTATGAATAGGTAGGTATTTTGTTTCAGAAAAAACCTAGATATCTATCTTAGATAGACATTTTTGTACCATTTTTCCAAATTCTATAACACTTTCCACTGCTTTTGTCTTTCCGAAACATTTCGTTCCATCTTAAGATTGCCTAGAAGAGATTGCATTTAGCAACAGGGTCGCCCTTTGAACATTTTAGTTTTGGCACGTTATGTATGATACGGCTATTGTAAAATAACCAACCAATGAAGCGTTGTAATCATAAAAGAATATAAACACGTGTTAAATTATAATTTACTGTTTTTTACTAATTTGTAATTTAGTCGTCTGTAGTAAGTTTAACAATGTTTCTTTGTACAACTGTGTGTTAGTAGGCCACGATGACATGTTGTATATCAGTCTTATATTGAACTGTGTACTTTAATGAAACGTGGACGTGTTTTATCTACAGACTATAGAGCTTTGTTTAACTAATGAACACAATTGAGCAACGCTAATTATCGCTTTCTCTTCGCAGCTGTACTAATTAATAACTTGTTAATGAATTGCGCACTCTCTGTAAGGTACAATTTAGGGGACTAAACACCTTACAATGAAAATCTACCACTCATTATAACTCAAACTCAAAATATCTTTATTTCATAAAAATTTCAAAATTGTTTGAAATCGTCTTTTATGTAGACTCTAAAATCGTAGATCAACACACACATAATAGCAACAATCTCTGTTTTGTCAAATAGTTAGCAAAATAAATTTCTCACAAACAAATCAAATACTTATAAAGAAAGTTCTTGGAATAACTTTAGTAAGTCGTAGTCGACATACTTAATAATTACATACATATTTGTAATTTATCTGTAATACATACGTATTTTGAATTATTTAAGTATGTTTATCAGCAGATTGGCTACCATAATACAGGCTCTGCCAATTTTGGGACCGGACTGCCGATTGTGAGATGTGTAAAGTTAATATTATTATTATACCATGTAGTTGGAGAGCTCGGACTCGGTTGTGCTACAATTTTCTTTAAACTCCCCTAAATTCAATTTTTTTAGTCCATCCATTTTTTATAAATCGCCATAAAAATAATTATATACATAGACTAACGCTGTTTAAACAGTAATGAAATAAAATAAAAAGTTTTTTGACAATAATTTGAAATTTAGAATTTTCACTGAATTTGCACGAACTAGGCGAAACACCTTTACCTAGGAGTAAGCAGAGGTCTATTAAAATTATATAATAGGAGGCAATGCTATTGCCATCAACGGGGATCAAATATCAAGATGAGAAGTAGGAAAGGAAAGGTAGATAAGAAGAGAAGGCAATGGAATGTTTGGGATAGTGCTTAAGACTACTGGATTGGGGAGTTTAAGCAGTAAAGTTAAGCATATCAGGGTAGCTCCAATTGGCAATATTGGCAATGGAATAATTTCTTACAGGCTTAAAAATCAATGAATTTAAAGCCTGTAAGAAATTATTCCATTGCCAGTAGAAATTATTCCATAGTTATAGTGCCACCAACTTATCTGTTCAGTAGACGGCGTCGCTACTGGAGCGATAGGTGTTGCTATTTAAAAAAATTATCAGGAGTTTAGGGTATTTGAAACATACGAAATCACGTGAGCTGTAATTTTAAATATTGATCGGAGTTTATTAATTAACTATATAATTTATAAATTAGTTGAAAAGAAAGAAATATTTTGTTTTGCAAACAGATAATACGATTTATTATACCAAACTAGTTACATTATATTTTATAAAAATAATTGTGGTCGTGATATCAGTTTCCCCTGGAAATTGATATCTTCTCTTAAAATTTTCAATAGCTTGGTTACAGAAGGAATTTCTTTTTTTACTGAATAAAATTCATGGGTTTTTCTCCTAATCACACCAATATCAAAGTCATCAACTTCTAGTTTCCCTGTTTTCCTTTCCCTGTTTTTACCAGGTGTACATATTTTAGTATTAGTTTCTTCAGCTCGTTTTTCTTCATTCATTAATTTATAAACAAATCGCTCACTAACACCTGTAACAAAGAGTGGCTCATCAAACTTAAGAAATAATGTTATTTTTTTATTTATTCGGGTGGAATAAACAGTGAACACAATGTAGGTATACGTTTAACGTTTATGAAAATAAAGAATAGTAAAATGGTGCACTAGTTAGTAGTAGTGGGGGCGACGTATCAGTTTTATTTCTAATTTTAAGTGGATATATATAGACAATAAAATATGAAACATAAGCTGAATATTAAAATAATTTAAGTGGGAAATTTTACTGTCCTTAGACTATAACACTAACCTGTAGCGGCAGCAACACGTTGTAGCACTTTTTCAAATAGTATTTTTGGAGATTGGAGGCGTTTTTCTTCGTTCATAAAAGATAAAACTTTTAAAATAATAACTCTAGCATCACTTTTAAGAGCTTTCGGCATTTTAATTGTTGTTTTAATAATAAAATCAAATGATAAACACACACCTTGTAAACTGACACGCAGATTGACGCAGATTTAGTTCCGATTTTGTCTACTGAACAGATAAGTTGGTGGCACTGTAGTATATTTTTGATTATTTATCATTTAACACCTAGGTGTGCTGGCTGGTGTGTCGCAAGAGTCTTTTGGCACGCGACAAACCTCTCTTTGCTGACGACTCTGTGTTGAAACTCTTCAGGATATTCTGCTTACTCGGCGACCTGGTGCAGGATGCGGATGATACCAATCACTATGTGGTAAGTGGACATATTTATTTTCCGAATTTTCGATGGAAGTGCACTGGTCGTGACCTTGATGAAACCCATAGGCCATAATACAAAGAATTAAATTACTAATAGTGATTACATGTTCATAGCGCTACATACGTATGTATGGAGTTGATACCCAATTATTACGATCTCGTTCCCGCAACAGAAAGTACTGCCACTTATCATAAACCATCATAATATAAAGTAATAGGAATGTTTTACTATAAATAGCCACTAATATATGTATTAAGATAAATAAACCGCTGATATATTCAAGTAGCGCTACTGGTTGAAATCACCTGACAGTATTTTTCTCAGTATTGGTCTCGAGCCTTTCATACAATTTTGCGTTTATCTGAAATTCCCTACAATTATTAAACGGAAATCTGCTTGAGCATACAAGGGTATAGGATAAAAATTACATGTTTTTCACTGACATAATGTTTTGAACATTGTCTAACAAAGTGTCGCTGTGTTAATCCTGACACTTGTCACAGCTAGAACGCTATTTTTTTTTAAATTTTCCTTGTCGTTCTTCATCTCAATTGTCTACCCAACTTTTGACCCAACATCGCATAAGAGCTTCAGGTCTTGCATATTCTAACTACAACAATGCAATGCCTGTGCCCTCATAAAGGACCATGACTAGTTGAGCATATTCTAGTTGAAAATACACACACATTTATTTACACGATACTTTCTCTCAAAATACATGTTCACAGATATTAGGTGTAAAGACTGTTTTGAATCATTATTAATTAGACTTAATTACATGTATTACAAGCAAAACAAACAATAACATTCACTGTGGAGTTTAAATGAAAAAACGACAATAACTTAACTGTTCATTTCATACGTCATTTATAATATCATCTGCCGGCCACATGTCTTTGATGACGACATGCACTAACAAGAGCTAGCGATTAGGTAGATTAGTTTATTGACCCTATTTATTTGTACTTTTCTCTTCAAACATTTTTATGACAAATTTTCTAAACGTAAATTTCTCACAAATTGTTTAATAATTACAATGCAAAACATGGCTTTACCAACTAGTCTGCCATTATTATCACATAGCGTCTACAAATAATCTTCTCTGTAATATCACGCATAGGTATTGTTATCTATTTTAATGCATTAAAAAGCTGCATTTTGAATTTAAAAGAAAAGAAACCATCACGTAAACTATGTACCAGATTTGAATTTAAAATTATTGTAATTTTAAAAACAACCTAAGTAAGAGTTGAATTGTTTAAGTTCCATGCATTGCAAAATCTTTAAGGAAACTTCTACAGGAAACACCTAACAATAACTGATACAAGTACTTACCGTATTATTTTAGGTGGTACTTCAACCTTCGGAAGCAGGAATAGTAGCAGAGCAGCTAGTCCTTTGCCTAGGACTTCGTTGGGATACGGCCGATTGGGAAGCTTTAGGCACTTCAATAGGACATTTCAAGTGGGCAGCTTTCCTTGCCGTGTTAGAAGCAAAATATTGTGGAGACCAACAAGTACATCCTGAGGCACTAGTCGAAGCAGTCGATGAAATATATGATGTTTTCATCGAAGATATTATTAAGAAGGTAAAGTTTGAATTTTTAGAATTCCGTTATCGCCTCCATTTTGCAAGAGTAAAATACCATTTCGTGCACTAAAAACAATATCCAATAATAAAAAAGGTAATAATAATGCAGGCACTTTATGCATTCTCTAAACAAAAGATGTTAGTAACAAAAATACTTAAGATCCTAAATCCTTTTCAATTAAAATTACCACAAGAACGTGATGTCATCCAAATGAGTATGAAGGGTCTTAGTTAATCTATTTTAACTTGAGTAAATTATAATCAGCAATTTATTTGCCAGGGGTACTTGTTCAAACGCGGCTACCTCCTACCAACCATGCGGGAATACTGGTGCGTCCTTCAACCTTGTGCGCTCACCTACTACAAGAGTTCATCGCAAAAAGAACAGTGTGGACGTATTACCATTGGCGAGTACTGTTCCGTCGAGGCAGCTGTCGGTGAAGGCAAAATACAGAGGTTCCAGCTCGTCACCCCCGATAGAACATTTGAATTTGGCACTCAGGATCATAAGTTAGTTGTGACAAACATTTTTTTTCTTTGCTGTTGACTGAGTGAGTGACGTTGCCGGATCCAAAGTAAAACTTGCCCCCCCCCCCCCCCTCCCCCTCCACCCTCTCTGGGAAGTAGGGTGGCCACAAAGGGCGCCAACCCATTATTTTTAGCAATAATCACTCACCTAGAGATAACCTGCCCTGCTACTACTGAATTAATTTGATTAATAAAATACTGAATAAAACAATAAAATAGAATACTACTGCACGTTCAAATGATCTCTTTTAATTAACAACGTAATCCTTCAGGAGTCGCCTACAATGGATATCAGCTTTACGTCAAGCGGCATCAGTATCAGGCGGTGTAGAGGGCTACCAGAGACGAGCCAGGGCTGTGAGAAGAGGAGCAGGAGCACGAAGGGAAAGGGAAGTGCGAGAAACCAGGGCTAGATTACAGCACGAGGTCAAAGCTAGACTAGCAGCCGAAGCACAGGCTCAAGTAAGACAAATGCTGACTAATTATATCGTTGAAACAAAAACGACGTAGTTGAAGAGAGCGCAAAGCTTACTGGCATTTTAATTGATGAAACATGTACATATAAAGTAAAACCAAAATAGAGATATAGAATTAACGATAGTAAAATATCAAATTTTATGTTACCGACTACTAAAAATTAGGAGTATATTCTTTAAAAGTGTAACTAATTAAATGCTTTCATTTAGTCAAGTATCAAGTAGAATTTACATTAAGGAAGTACTGATCTACAAAATTGCAGATTTTATGTACTAGCTTTCATCAATTAACATAAATTAATAAAATATCTCACGACTTTATCAATCACACTTAAAATAATGATAAATGAATACGAGCTTGTTATTATTTTCAGGAATTAGTAGAATTGGCCCAACAAGATAATAAAAAGTTAGAAGAATTAAAGAATGCACAAATTGAACTAGAAAGACTATTGCAGGAGGAAACACAAGCTAAAAGAGACGAAGAAATTGTTCGAGCATTACAGGCACGGTAAGCAAAGAGGTAACTTATTAATAACACAACGAGAATCAAGTTCTTATTTATCGAGTCAAAACTTTTGAGATAAAATATACTGTATACTTCCAATAGATTTCTTCTCAAAAAATAGTCATACGTTTATGATATCACTTGGACATCACATGCAAGAGATTGGTTGTAAATCGGTAGCCTTTTGGGTATCTTGCTATCGTTGGGTAGTCGTAAAGAACATGCTAATAAAACTACTACTATTATAAGGAATAACAAAATCCTACGATCAGCAGGATAAAAATAGCATTATTTAGCAAGGAAATGCAACCAAGACACTTACAATTTAAGGTATAATCTTGGATACCATAAACTGTGGAGTGCCTCTGGAGCTCTCTTGAAACGTTTATAGGTGAAAAGAGGTACAGGTAAAAATAAAACTAAAATAGCAATGTTTTCATAACAAAATTTAATCTTCTTTAGGGTTTTGGCAGAGGAATGGGAGAGACGAGAAGAGCTAGAAAGGCTTCAGGAAGAACAAAATAAAATGTTGCAAGAAGAAAGAATAAAACGGCAGCAGTTTGAACAACTACAGGCAGCAAAAGAAATGGAATTTAAAGGCAAGTTTTGAACATGTCCATACCACCCTAGCAGTGGCATAAGGCACAGGAGAATTGGTTTTTATATTGGTTGTAGCCCTCGGTTTCCGCATTTAGACTCAAGAATGGTCCTTTATGCGTCGAGGAAAGGTTGGCTAGGTGAGCCAACCAAGCTCCTTCCAGAAGCGCAGAAGCCTCCTGGGGCGTTCTCAGGCTTCTATGACCGATTTTGTATCAGGTATGATACAGGCCCGTTGTGTGGCCACTCCCTCGCATCCCAGGATTACATGGGCTACCATTTCCTCTAATCTTAGGCATCCCCTGCGAAGAGGACTGTCCGTCGCATTAATGGCGAATAATTGTCGGTTCAGGGCTAGGGTTACCATATACCAGGCTTTCGCCTAAATTTGCCAGGCATTTTAGCAGTTGATCAGGCGTCTAGCCGGCGTTACTCTAAGTCAGGTGTTTTAAATTTCTGCGCCGGTTGTGTAATTCAATCCGCATGACGCATCATTGTACGCAACAGTCGCGCGTGAGGGCGGCACGCGAAATTTTCAGAAGTCAAAATTCTCAGTTTTTTCTCAGCCTTTCACCAACCAACCAACCACTCAATGGATTGACTTTTCATGTCCAGCAAAAGCAACTGTACTGACTGTACTGAACTTTTAAATATATTTCAATATTTATTTGGAATTATTGCACATAATGCCAACGTGGAAAGAACGTTTTCTATAATAAACCGTCAACCGAAATAACGGAATCGATTTAACATTGAGGCCCGTATTTTTAAAGACGTCTCAAGTATTGGTTGAACTCTGACTGCCTGAAACTAGTTATAAGTATTGATTTGAACTCAGTCTGTTCTCCATTACGTTTTCGCATGATTGACATTATTATTTTCTATTACGCAGCTGATTATTTAAAAATGTTTTTTTTTCACAAACATAATTTCTTTGAATATGTATAAAGTAAATTATTGGCTAGTGTAGCAAAGTGTAACATGTTTTATTAACAAGCGTATTGTTTGTGCACAATTAAATATACTAAATATTAAAATAGCCCGGTCGACTTATCCATTAACCCTATATATAAATATATATATATTATATTATATTAATATATTATTTAACTATTATATAGAACGTACAAAATTTATAAAAAAAAAAATTATTTACTTAATGTACCTATATATTATATTTTTTGTGATAGACATCAACTGGTAATTCATTCACCAGCTTCAATGATACACGTGCCATACACAGCACTGCATCTCCCAAATGTTGACTGGAAGAAAATGTCTATGGCATTAAGTCCGGGGTATGCAATGTATTTGCAGGAAGTAATTAATAAATATAAATAAAGTACACCCAGACACAGAACAAATAACCGTGCTCATCACACAATTATTTGTCCTGGGTGGGAATAGAACCCACGACCTCAAGCGTAGCAGTCAGGGTCATTAAGTTCTAGACCAGCAGGTCAGTCAATTCTATTATTAGTAGTAAGTAAAATATAATAGTATTAATATTACCTTACAGAAGCAGAGAAGCGTTTAAAGGAATTAGAAGAAGAAAAACAGCGCTTAGATGCTGAACTTAAGGCAGCTCAAAATAAGATCTCCAAGACTGAACTCACAGCGCATGCGCTACAGGTACAACTCAGAGTAAGTACTCTTTCCTCCTTTATACATCGAAAAACCTTTAATATAACTATTTTTATTAACTAGAAATGGTGACAGTAAATATTTACAACAGAAAATTTCTGGAACAAAATTATTACGGCATTATAAATAAATAAACCCAGTTGACTGCACGGATGGCGTAGCGGTTTAAGCGGTCGCCACGCCGCTTACCACTACGCTGAGTGTTGTGGGTCCGATTCCCACATGGGACGACACGTGTTTTCCACAAATTGTTGTTCTGAGCCTAGGTGATCTTTGTGTCCGTTTCATGTATGTTTGTAAAGTCCCCCGCGACACAGGATATATTCCTAATGCGGGAGAATAATCTTTTTAAAACAAAAAAAAAACAAAAATTTAGGAGCTGTTAAGGCTTTGTTATTAAATATCATCCTGGTCTTTTCCAGTCTAGAGCAGAAAGATCGATGGACCAACTTACAATTACAAAATTGACAGTTAGTATACTATAATAAACGAAATTAATAAATTTTTCAATAGGACCTGAATCCAGTACTTCGTAACGGTGAAAGAGCTCGACGTGCATTGTCTTTCGTGCCTACTACTAAAAGTTCTTCTGATACACTCATCGACATCAGAGCTATCAGGCACCTCAAGATCCTCGATGACGAAGAGAAATTATGATCTGACTGTTAGACTGATAAATATTATTTATGGCATTTTATGTTGTGATGGTTATTAACATGTGGGCTCGATGTCTAAAGATTTCAAAATTTGTTACTTCATTTAGATTATCAAAAAGCCATTGAACTTTTTTTATATAGTCCAGAATTTACCATCACAAGGTTCCCCCTGGCTAAAGGGAATGAATATAATAAATGAATGTTTTAATAAAATGAACGAAATTTTAAACTTCTCCACTATGCGAAAATCAAAACCAACTCCATTGATGAAAGGCAACAGATATCACAGGAACAAATTTTACAGATCTATGATTCTGATGACTAAATTCAATTAAAAAAATCAGGCAAACGTAGTTTTATTTTACACCTATTTGATAAAAAAAAACCTAATAATCATTACTGCAAAATATTGCATTGTCGTATAAATTTTGATTTACATGGTAAAACTTAAGATCTTACATGTGATTAAGAATACGGTCTTCACCAAATACCTGTATCGAAGCGACAAGGTAAAATAAAATAATATTTGAATATTTTCAAGCATCATTACTAAATACAATAGATAGTCATCAAATATGTATGTGAGTATAGTCTCAAATAATGTTATATCCACAAAAACGTGATATTAACAAGGCATCTAAGTATTATATAGACGACTTCTTGATGTAGGACATATTTATAAAGTTGCAAGAAATGTGTGGCTTTAGTATCCTGATAAATATATAAATGTTTAAACTTCGCAGTGGCTTTACTGAAATAGTAAAATATATATATATTTGTATCTGAGAATATTATGTGTAAAAATAAATTGGCTATTACTTCGAAATGTTTTATTTTAGTTCCGGACAATATTCCATATGATTATAACTCAACGTGAGAGAACCCTGCTTCGGCTGCTCCGTATTTATAGTATTAGCTAGGTTTGCAACAAAATATAGGTACCTTTACTCAACTCAACATGAAGTAATACAACTAGTCTAACCTTTAAATAGTAATCTTATGTATGGTATGTAGTAGTAGGTACTACGCGAACTCGTTTATCTTTAGATTATAATGAAATTATTATAATACGTATACACTAAGTAACGTTTCTAAACTTTGACATTAATAAATATCACATTTAAAGAAATTCAGTAAGAGGTTATTTAATAAATCCCATTTATTATTTAAAATATCTTAAATAAATCACATATTATAAAAAAACTCTATCACAGTATTTTCTAATAAGACACATGGAAGATTTCGATGGGAATGAAGATTGCCATTGAAATATTTGATTGATGAGTCTAAATGTTTTATATTAACAGTAAGACAATAATTGAATTGTAAATTCATCAATTTAACACCGTACGGTCACGTTGTGGTCGATCATGTTTTGTGATGTGTATTTATCGTTTAACTTTATGCATTAATATGAAGGATGTATTTGTCTCGTTACTAAAGCAAAAAGGAGGACATTTAGTTTTTCCATAATATTTTGTTTACTTCGCGCATACTTTACTTTAAAAATAAAATAAAAAAAGTGCTGAAAAGTCTTATTATTACATTTCTTAGATCTTTTAGTAATCATTTGATAATTTCTATGAAATATAGATACTACTAGTTGCCTAAAGTTCACCTGATATCTAGTAAGCAAAAGGAAATGTAACTTTAATTTTATAAATGTCGGATAAGTAATCATAAGTAGTGCAATTCTTTACATAATGATACGAAATAAAATAATTACTTAATAATAACGAAATAATAATGGAAAAACTTAAAAAAGTGAAAATAAACATAAATAACATTTTAAATAAATAGCACTGTACTCCAGTACAGTAAATTAAAGATAAAATAAAAAGAAGTGCCTAAGAATAAAATGAACTTTAAAGTAAAGCATTTTTAAACTAAGGTAGGTAGTGCATTTTATAGATACTAACTAGTAAGGATACCTATATGGAACAATAAAATACACCACCCGGTATCCGTAGATTGTTCTGATGAATTTCATTGATAATTGGAATAAACTAGAGTTTTTGGTACAATCGAATTCCTCCAAATGATCAAAAGATATCGCCTACACTAAACAAGTCTTGATGCAATAACTAACATTCTAGCTAAATATTACTATGCAACAAAAACATAGTGTCTTTATTTACAAGTTTTTTTGGATTTCGTGTTAGAGTTTCTGTTTGAATGTGCCAATTTTTTTTAATAAAAAAATATTTCTCTAAATACCAATGAATTTGAATATTAAAATACTCAAAATCATCAAACCTTTTCCGTTGCTATGGTGGCTGATTCTACATCTGGATATTCATTTTTATTTTACATTAAATTTTCGTATTTAATTTAAATTAGTAAATATAAAAATGAAGAACAGGACACGCTCAATTTTTTTAGCAACTTTTCAAATGAAATGGGAACTAAGTATATTTAGTGTTTACGTGTTAAAACGAAATTCGTATGCATCTATTGTTGGTCCAAACTATCACTTTCGCTATCCAATCACTAATTCTTGGCATCGCTCTCCTCCTTACCCTCGTTGGCTTTAGCTTGTTTCTTCGCAGCTTTTTCAGCTAAGGCAGCGGCCTTAGCTGCCGCTTTAGCTGCTCTTTCTGCAGCTCTAGCCGCTCTTTCTGCGGCCTTTTCTGCCGCCGCTTGTTTTGCTGCTGCAGCTTCTGCAGCCGCTATCATTTTCTTCTGAAGTTTCTTCAACTGGAACGTTATATGTGGAATTAGGAAAATGGTTTAAAGGAAAACTGCAAGAAGGAGATTGACTGAGGGAAATAAAAAACAGTTTTTATAAAGTTATCGTATAATAAATTTGTTACCCCTTCTTCTTTCCTTTCTTGGTCTTTCCTTTTTGCTGCATGTAAAAAAATAAAGAAGTGAAAATATTGTTATTGCTATTATATTCACATTATCTGAAATTATTTCGATGTGACAATAGAAACAGATTTCGACTCGAAAAGCATCCAACAAGATCCCACACTTTACCGAAGACTTGAAATATTATACAACACGTCTTCGGTTCCTTCTATAGTTTATTTATTTTATAGACGTCAGCTATAATTATTTTAATCTGCGTCCTTTTATATTACACAAAATGCAATATCTTTAAATTTAAAATAACAGTTTAAAAAAGTAGGTAGGAATCATATGTAAATAATTCCACAAAAAAATACTCATTCGCTCAAATAGTTTTGTGCGGCATACGTGTGCACGTATACACGTATGCCGCACAAAAGTTTCAGGTATACGTGTCAAAATACGTCATAAATTGACGTTTGTGGTTTTTATTATAATACAATTTATTATTACTTTCGGAAGTAATTTAAATAGATGGAGTGATTTGAGCGTACCTTCTTCTTTTCTGCTCGGTTGGAGAGTACCTCCCTCCATGCGAACTGTATGATTCTTGCAGCATGTTCCAGAAGGAACTTTTCCATTTTAGCCGTCATCTCTGCGTCATATTCGTCATCACGTTCCTTCATTAGCGGTATATATTTGATGTCTTGCTCATCTAGTTTCTTCTGTTGGTTTAAATGATTGTGATCAATATAACCAAAAAAAGTTAATTACTAAAGACCCATGGTTAAGAAGTAAAATGTTAAAAACAATAGTCTAAGGGGTGCCATTAATTACGTGAGGGGTTTACGTAGTGAGATGTCGTGAGATTTTAAAATATGTGTTTTTAGTGCAAAGGCTGGCTGGTATGCAACTTCGCGGCACTCGCAATACCATGATTAATATTATTCTGTAAAGCTTAGTCATATTTCCGTGGAGGAACAAGTTCTACTTAATTTAACCCAGTTTTCTCGCAATTTGATCAGGTATCGGATAAAAAATCACGTGATATTTGCCGAGATCCCCCCCCCTCCCTCTCCTCTAAGTAAGATTAGATGAGTTTCGGCTCGACCCACCCCCGCCTCCTAAACGTCTCACGTAGTTAACGGACGCCCCCTAAACAATATTATAGTGACCTGTAACTTTTCACACTTTTCGACTTCTTCCTCGTACTTCTCAGTGAATTCATCCAACTCCACCTGCTTATCTGCCATCTCTAAATCGTATTTCTGAAGCCATGAACACAGCTGCGTTTCTACTTTAAATCTGATCAATTGTAAAAAAGTTATAATATAAGTATTTTCTAAATTTTAATAAATTCAATATTTTTACAACTAGATTATTGTTTGGCACTGTTTTAATTACGTTAATTTAAGCCTTTTTCTTGTTGCAGCCGTAGCATGGTATAAAATAGGCACAAAAAACAGCTTATCAAATGTTAAAAAAAGCAAAACTTGCGCTCAATAATATTAGTTAGATATATCAAGGTCAATGTGTACCTAACTAGACAATGTCCACGCAGGACGACATAAGTTAAATAAAAGCAAATACACTTTATTATGACAACACCACCTAATTCCCAGAACTGTAAAACGTTGCTAGAGCACCCTCTCATTTAACCATAAAACCAACTGAGATGAAATCGCCACAACCGGTTGGCTGTCTGCATGGTTATGGTAGTAACAACTATTGCCAAACTAATTATCAGACTAACAAGAAATGAATTCCAATGTTACACTAAAATTGTAACTGTTCTTTAGAAATGTTAGATATATATCGATATCAATATTCTACCACATGCACAGAATGCCATCTAGTCCCAAACTAAGCGGAGCTTGTACTATGGCTACTAGACAACTGATATAAATACATATATACTTTTTTTGTAAATTATACTTATTATACAAAGAAACAACCAGACCAAATCAAACATTAAATGTTCATTCACACAAATGTTTGACTTGAGCGGGAATCGAACCAGCGACCTATGGAATAGCAATCCATTACGTAAACCACTACGCCATCGGGTCGTTCAAGAAGTGGGATATTTTTACGTACAGACTTTATTGAAAAGTCCAAGAAGTGGGATATTTTTACGTAGACTTTATTGAAAAGTCCAAGATGTGGGATATTTTTACGTACAGACTTTATTGAAAAGTCCAAGAAGTGGGATATTTTTACGTAGACTTTATTGAAGAGTCCAAGAAGTGGGATATTTTTACGTACAGACTTTATTGAAAAGTCCAAGAAGTGGGATATTTTTACGTACAGACTTTATTGAAAAGTCCAAGATGTGGGATATTTTTACGTACAGACTGTATTGAAAAGTCCAAGAAGTGGGATATTTTTACGTACAGACTTTATTGAAAAGTCCAAGAAGTGGGATATTTTTACGTACAGACTTTATTGAAAAGTCCAAGATGTGGGATATTTTTACGTACAGACTGTATTGAAAAGTCCAAGAAGTGGGATATTTTTACGTAGACTTTATTGAAAAGTCCAAGATGTGGGATATTTTTACGTACAGACTGTATTGAAAAGTCCAAGATGTTAAATATTTTTACGTACAGACTTTATTGAAAAGTCCAAGATGTTAAATATTTTTACGTACAGACTTTATTGAAAAGCCCAAGATGTGGAAAACCTTCATTTACCTGCGAGCTCTTTGATTTTTCTCTTCCTTCATGTGCTGTTTTAACAAAAGTTCATAGTTTTGCTTACATTCGAATTCTTCCTCCAATAACATCTCATTTTTAACAAGATGAGCCCTAGTAGCTAAGACCATTTGACGTTCTGAGTCCAAACTGAAAATTAAAATAATTACTTAATAGCCACTTAATAAACATTTAGTGCAAAGATTTTTTTTTAATCTGTCACGTTAATAGGTTCAACTGACACAAACCACCTCTAAGGTCACTACAACCCAAAATAACCAATCTTTATTTGGACTACTGCTCTTTCTGTGGAAAAAATCTTCGTCTAAGCGTTTTATGGGACATTTCACTATGACACCTCTGTCATGTCGAATTTGTGAGAAATATTGCTAAATAAATATTGTCTATTAAAACTATCTTCTCTATACTTTATACTCTTTTTTCATCTCTTTGTAATATAGATTAGAAATCCTTGTCTTTGTTATTAAAAAACTAAACTATCTTACATTTTCTTCTTAAGCTTAACTGTAGCCTCGTAGTTGAGCATTGATAGTTCGTGTTCCAGCTTGGTTATAATTTGAGCTTTCTCTGCCATCGTCTGTTCAAAGCTGTCATTCTCCTCTTTTAGTATTCCTGAGTATTCTACCAAACAGACGAAAATAATAAGATAGATGATGTCAAAATTTGTGAGTATTGTTCTAAACAATGTTTAACCCTATAAACAAGGACTAGTTACACTAAGTCTACAGTAAACGCAAAATCTCTAAAAATAACGTAGCATTAGCATGATCGTCTTCATTGTCTTTTTAAGCTCAACAATCACAAAAAAAAATCAATCTGTCAGTAGTACAATCGACCAAATCGTAGCTTTATTATAAATCTACTCATTAACAGTAAAAAATCCACGATCAGTTTTTAAAAACAAGAGTATTCTTCATTTCTTAAAACCAAAATTTCGTAAAACCAATTTTATTACAATAAAATTTATTTAATCAGTTTACTAACACCAAATATAAATATAGCGCGTACACATAAAAAATATATTTTATCAAATTGCAAACCTACTCCTTTTTATTTTTACTCCCAATTAAAAAAAAAGTTTTAGAATATATTCATTATTCTATATTTTATTTATAATAGGCAATTATGAATCCCGAACCGGAGTAGTGTATTATGAGTATGACAGTATATGTATACCTTCAATATCCTCGATAAGTTTCTTGTTGGTAGTTTCCAATTTTCTTGTGTTAATCTTGCTCATGAGCTCATCAGCTGCAGTAGTCTCCATCTGTCTTATCATGAGGTCACGAAACTGTTCCAGTGTATTCAGAAACTCAATACCAGCAGCTGCGGACTTTGACTTATGAAATAAAAACAAGTATTCTTTATAGCAACTTTTAAATATACAATGGATATTCCTGAAGAAGTTCTTTCTGTTTAAAAAGTATTTTATGTCTTTTTCTGTACCTCTAACTGCGTGTATGCGAAATTTCATGATGGTTGATTCAGTAGTTAAGCAAAGAAACCTTAAAAACAATTCGTACTTGATCAACAGCCTTTAATAATCCACTGCTGGACATAAGCCTGTCCTAAGAAAGGAGGTTTTGGCCTACTATACCACGCTGGCCAGACGGGTTGGTAAAGGGTTTGTGTCAAGTTTTCCTTCTCTCTGCAGTGCTGTTGTCCTGCTTAGTTTTTTCCCTTAGTCGGCTCTTACGACACCCATTCGTACTTACATTAGAATTTATATCGGGTATATTATAATATCGAAGATTAAAATGCTTACGGGTAAAATGTATTGAAATGTCGAAAATAGTTATACCTAAGCTTAAAACGTCTCTAAGATTGTCGATATTTTAACCACAAGAGCTGTCGAGAGATCAAATATCGAACGTTCAAAAATCAATTTACTGTTATTGAATAATTTTGCTTAGGTCAGCAGGCTTAGCCAAGTTGACATTCTACAAGCGTAAACGCTCTTAGAAAACTAAACAAATGTATGGGAATGACATCATCTTAACGTTAAGCCACGTGGTCAAAACAAACGAATAGAAAAGTCTTAGCCAAGTTGACAATTGTTCAAAGTAATAGAATGGAATGTAATCGTTTCTACAACGTTGATCGCAAAAACCATATAAATGCTAGCCAAGTCACCGTTTTGACAAGCGCTAACGAAACGAAATAGAGTTTTTTGAACGCTCACTTAACGATCGTCACAACCCAATAGTTATCGCTAAAAAAATGGCGTCTATATGTGATCCAACGTAGCAGTGTGTTGAGACAGATAAGTGGTTTGTTTGTTTACTATAATTTTGGACTATATTTACCGTTTAAAATGCATACTTTAAATATGTTGCGGTGTGCTCATAATGAAGAAGTGTGGCTTAGGCGCCGAAATAGAGACATAAATCGTCAATGCATGGAAACAATACGCGAAATGCCGGAAACTTTATTTGTGCAATAAGTACTTTCGGTTAGACAAATCGACTTTCGAAGCCCTTTGTCAAGAAATCCGGCACAAGACTTTGTTAAAAGGAACCACCGAGATTCCCCTAAAAGTTAAGGTAAGTGGACTAGTAATATAGTATTACAAATTTTTTCATTATTTATCTATAATTTCTTATTCCTTGTGTTGTTGTGCGCTCTTAGTTTCCTAGCCACAGGATCCTATCAGCGAATTGTTGGCGTCACTCAGCATCTTGCCCAACGGACAGCTAGTCGTTGCATCAGACAAGTTGTTGATGCTTTGAACCACCCTGCTGTCATGGCAAAATGGATTGAGTTTCACCACACACACACTTCACAACAAGAGTGAGTACTTAAACAATTTAACAATATTTTAATTATTAAGTGCATGTTATGTAATAAACATAAATATTATTTTTCAAGGTTCCAAAGAAGATTTGGCCTGCCTGGTGTAATTGGGTGCATAGATTGTACCCATGTAGCTTTGGTAAAGCCAAACGTTGAAGAGCATCTTTTTTATAATAGAAAAGGGTATCATTCCTTAAATGTTCAAATGGTAGATATATTATTTATTTATACTGTACCTATGTATAGCATGTTAGAAATAAATGAATCACTTCTTAATATTTGTTTTATTTTCAGATTTGTGATAGTAATCTGTGTATTTTAAATGTGAATGCAAAGTTTGGTGGAGCCACACATGATTTACATATATGGTCTTCAAGTAGAGTTGAATCATATATGCATGAACTTCATCAAAATAATGAACAAGTATGGCTGTTAGGTAGGTATTTGTAATAGTAGAAAGATCTAATCTATAGGAGATTTCCAGTGTCTAACTGATTTTTCAGGTGACTCTGGATATCCACAACGCCCTTGGCTTATGACACCTATCCTCAATGCAGTTGGTGGATCTAGGGAAGAACGATACACTCAAAAGCATGTAACTGCATTGAGCGCTCTTTTGGATTACTCAAGGCACAGTAAAGATGTTTGCTTAGAGACAGGGCTCTTCACTATCATCCTCATGTAGCTAGCAGCATTACAATGGCATGTTGTGTGTTACACAATATAGCTTTGCAAGCTGGCTTACCACCACTACAACCACATCCTGCTGCACATGACAATGGGGATGATATAACTATGCAAGATCCTACACCTGCTGCAACTGTGGGTAACCAAAGTGAAGTACTACAAGGAAGAGCCATGCTTACTTCTTTATTGAATAGGTTATAATATTTTTTTACATTGTAATTATAAATTAAACTTTTTATGTTCTCTATAATTAATTGATCTTATATAAATATTAATAATGAATAAAACAGCTTTATTATTACAAACAAGTTTATTATTATTTTATGAAAACAAACATTCATAATAATTTGGTAGTGGCTTTGGATTGTTCAGTAATCTATGACTTCGTATTTACATTGACATTTAGTACCTAATCTAATACCTTGTATTTCCAATTCACACAGTTAGCAAATACTTAGAAACCAATAACATACAGTTCCTGTATATAAATATTGGTTTCAGTTCTTACATTCCAAATCTAAATTAAAATAGGATTTGTTTAGTACTAAAAAAAGATCTAAAACTGGCCTAATATTATATACTAATTAAAAGATGAGAAAGGATTATTCAGTAATCTAATACTTTGTATTTACAATGTACTGAGATAGTAAATACTTAGAAACCAATAACCTAAAGTTAATGTACCTAAATATGGGTTTGAGTTCTTAAAATTCAAGTCTAAATTAAAATTGGGTTTGTTTAATACTACAAAAAAAACTATACTAGCCTAGTACTGTACTAATTGTAAATAAAAAAATCAGAGAAAGCTGGATTAGAATAGCAAACAATTGAAATAGAAGTTTTTTTGTCTGATATTGTAGGCATTTGAAATGTTCATAGCCCAGAGCTGAGACCACTATCAGTATATTAGACATTTTAAGGTATAATATCGGTTGAAGGTAATGATGATGGCCTCAACTGTGGTAAAATTTCAATTAATTAGTGTACAGTACCAGACAAACGATTTAAAATTATATTTTGGTTTTCTATCATTTCTATTCTTCTCGATTCCAATCGCAGCCTTTCCAGCTCCCGCTCATGCAGATGTTGCAGTCGGCGATTTTCGACAGCCACAAACTCGCTCGTGGCTCGTTCGAAGGGTGTTTGTACCCGGCGCGTACGCGCTCGAAACAGCCCGTGGCGCCGCGTCATTGATGCGGTGGGGGATGCCGACGCCGTAGGCGATGGGCTTGTCCGATATCGTCGCCGCTGTGGAGCCCCCCGCGACTTGGACGCGGTAGGAGACATCGCTGATGGCACCGGCGCGGATGCAGTGCCAAGTGGCGGCGATGGCGCTGGTGGTAGAGGGCGTCGAAGTTCGCCAGAGGGAGGTGGCAGTGAAGGAGGAGCGGTAGATGCTGATGATGTTGCTGAAAATATATAATTTTATATTATACTAACAGTGCCTGTGTGGCTTCGTTCATGTGTACATAGTTATATATTTTGCACAGAACTCTAATTCTTTAAAAAAAATAAAAGTAGCCTTAATTACTCCCAATAACACCAGCTGACTGTCAGTGAAAGCCCTGAAATGAATTAAGTGGCAAAAATGTATCTTAAAAATAAATAAAAAGTACCTTGTATAGAATAAGGTGGAATAAAATCCAACATAATTTCATCAGGGTCTGGGGCCTCGTTATATCACCATGGCTAGAACAAGTTAAAACTTTATCAGAGACACAAAGAGTCTATTGATCAAGTAAAGAGTCAAATAGAATTGTTTGGTTCGTTTATTAATCAGTAACATTAAATGTTGTCGCGTATCACGTCATTGTTTATGTTTTAAAATTTCAAGTGCCTGAGTACCTACGAATTTTCAAATAACAAAGGAAGATAATTACGAAATAACTAGTAATTTACGTACCTCTCCATAAATTCCAATAAAGCTGCGAACTGTTCTGGGCTTGCTCGAGCTCTAGATTCCATCCTACAAAAGTTATCACATCATTTAAGGTATTTAAGGTTCATCATGAGACAGGATCTTAACATAACATTTCGAGTTACAGTAATGTTTAATTTACATTCGGCACTGTGATACTATAATAAACTAATAAAAAGAAGAACTTGTGCCTTCTTCACTTACTTCTTTATCACTTTAAACAATTATTACTTCCAAAACAAAATTTAAATTCCAAACAAAAGTTTATCCCGCGCGCTCAAAGTAATCAACTTTTTGACACAGTGTTGCCAGTGCTCTCAGTCATTAGTTACTTTTCGTTCCCTGAAATGTTACATTTTTGCTACAAAAGTTAAACGTGAACTTTTTAATAAAGTAGCTATTGTTAGGTACAGTCAGGATTGAACAAAACGTATGTGAACTCCCATTGCAAACGCTGGCTAAACCTTACGGGACACATCAAAACAATGCACCACAGAACCGTATATCTTAAGAAGATCCACAAAAAAAAGACCGCGGTCTCATTTTTTTTTGTGCACGTTAGCGTCTCTATTTTTTACAAAGGGTTGCTAATGGCGTACTCAAGATTCGTTAGGCTATTCCGGATAAAGATTTGAAGAATTTCTATACAAGTGCAACATGTTGTGATTAGTTCACGTCGTAAATTTGACCCTTGTTGACAGCTCAAATTAGGCTGTCATGTGTTTATTTAGTTTACAAGTATTTTGGGATAGAACTGAAACTCTTTCACATTTAAAATCCTGATATTACGTGTGAATCTGGGAACAACAAATATAAGTACACTATTTAACTGTTTTTTTTTCTACCGTTATTTTGTATCAATACTTCTACATTACTTAAGTTGAAAACTGGGATTCGTCAGCCAATGGTATTCCACAATCAAGAACATCATAATAAACAAAAAAGTAAACAATATTAAAGAATAATTAATTGTTGAATACAAACATAAAATATCTGTAAAATACAATAAATGATGTCATTAAAGGAAATAATTCTTTTCATTACAAAAAGAGTTGTGTTTCAAACCTAAGGGGAGTTATGAATACTACTGCTTTTTGAGGACTGATCATGCATCTAGTGATAGTATTATCACGTTATCATCATCATAGTGTCTTCAAGACGAAACCCAATCATGATGTCTCTTGAATCGTAAATCATCACGTACATTGAATACAATCAGTGTAACAATAAAAATTTACACGCTCTTAAAGCTCTTTAGTGCTGAACAAAATGGACATTTTAATTTTAATCAAAATTTAAAAATTTCAATATCAATCTTGATTTTAATAGACCATAATTGTATACATTTTGCATGCCTTGCAGTGGAATCGCTTGAAACATGTACATTTAATAATATTAATACATTTAAGGTAGGCACTCGTATCATGATAATTTGAAAAACTTTAACGCTGAACTTACCTTACAAACAATAAATATGTGATCACCAGAACTTCACTCACGCACTTTTCTCGCAGTTGTACGATAACAAGGAATGGCGCGAACTCGCGAAGTAGGAAACGTGCGCGCACACGCTCAAGCAAAATCAAGTTCAAAAACATCCAAGATACGTTTCATTTTCTTATGGCGCGTTCCATTAAGAGCCATCTCTGAGTGTGATATCATATCACAAAAGTATTTCACTCGATATCACTGGTAAGGAATTAAAGTGAAATACTTAAAGTTGAAAGTTAGTAAACTGTTTGCAATAAAAATCTAGTATTAAAAATCTCGTTCTTCTCATAAGTTACGATAATTGCCTTACATTTTAAAATTATATGTTACGCGAAGGGTCAAGTCACGAAAAATGTGAGAAATGTTACGTTCTGGCAACACTGGTTTGACAATGTTAATTTGACGTTAATAAGAAAGCTCACCATAGACTAAAGTACAGATTTTTTCCAAGTACATGGTAGAACGAGCGATCAACTAATTCGTGTCAACTTGGCTAGCAACTTTGCGTTTTCTAAAATCGTTTACGACGAGGAGTCAACGAATTTAGAAAGAGATTCGATCCGATACATTTGTAACTTGGCTAGGCCTGCAGGTTAGAATAGTGACCATCAACGTGAGAAGGCGAGCGAGCGAAGCGAGCGTGCCGCGACAGTAGCTGACAAACATCAGATCCACTTTATTCAGGTCCTTCGATGTCACTTTTGAAGATTATTATAACATTCGACAATATAAACTCGTTATTTTAATTTTTGGTTTTATAGTAGTTCGCCATTTTACCCATAGGTTCGATATTGTAATAACATTAGTTAGGGAATACGATACCTACCTACTACGCCACAAGTCATCCAACTAACTATTGTGAGACGTAGGTAGTTTAATATTTCACATAGATTAAGCGGAGAAGAGCCCATTCAAAATAAGTCTATTTCCAAAATGTGTCATGACTTTAGACCTTACGTATCTCCGTAAAACTTCATGTTAAGGTGTGAGCAGTTACTTACCTCTCTTGGCGTTACACGTTTCTGAAATAATGAAAACATCAATTCAAATTGAACATTCAGCATCCATTGTTAGGTACTTAAAATTATTTACAGAACGCCATAAAAATCAAATTTTAAAAGCTTTGCACGCATTTTAAATATGCTGAACAATTGCGCGATACGTCTCGTAAAGTCGCAGATTTATAGTTTACAGAATAAAGTTTGTGCTAGGTGTTCATCGTAGTAACTGAAAATTTTAGTTTCAGTTTAAAACTAGTTCAGCTCCAAAATTAGAACATTTAAATATTTGCAACAACATTTAAACTGTTTGCGAGAAGTGCAACTTTAATATACGGAATTTGTAACTAACCTTGTACCTAACTTTTAAAAAAATGGTATAATATCACGTTTACTCGACTCTTATAATAAACACTTTAATAGTGTGGACATATTCATCGGTTCTAAGTACAATTTCAAAAAACGAGTTTCGTTTAAATTACTATCATCATAGGCTTTCTAAAATGTCAACATCATTGCACTGAATGGCTGGTTTTACAGGTTTCTAGATGATTTAAATCTTTTAATGTATTTATTCAATTTAATTTTTCCCCCATATTTATATATTTGTATGTGTTATTTATTTCAGTTATTTATTATATTTCATATTTTACATCAATACACCCATCTTTTCAAGGTTTACCAATCAGTTTTAATATTATGTATTGTCATTAGCATATTCATCCACTCTATGTATCTACCGTGGATAACTTTTATTGGCTACTCATGTAATCATAGTTTACTACCTAGTTAAGAATTGCAGCTGTTGTTATCCCTAAAAAAATAAAATAAAATAAATAAACCGTACCTAGCTAATTCAAAACGGCAGGTTTTTGATTAAGAAGAATTTTTCAATTTTAAGCACGCGTACTTACCTGTTCAATCATTTCGTATACCGTAGGCCGGAGCTCTGGGTAGCTATTCATGATATACATAAGGTGGCTCAGTTCTGGGTTTAAGCGATTCTTTAAACTAATATCACCCTGAAAATTTTAAGCAACAAATACAGATGTTAGAGTACAATTTTATTGTTATATATGTTTACGAATTTAAGCTCATACAAGAAATGAATCATCGGCATTCATTTTGTACGTTACTGTAGTTAATAATATTAAAACAACATTTTTTTCATCTGACACACAACGCCATCTAGTTTCAAACTAAGCAGAGCTTGTACTATGACTGAGAGAATACTTATTCACTTTTCTTTGTAAATAGATACATATTATACATAGAAAACACCCAAACTCCGAAATATTTGCAGATCATATAAACATTTGGTCTCTCATCTCGAACCCGAGACCTTAGCACAGCAGTCGCACACGCTACCACTGCACCAGCGAGGCAGCCAGTTACTTTAAATGCCATCAAAACGTAACTGGAAATCATCTATCTTAGACGTCCTTTTCTTTCATAGTCATGTTAATTCTGATTAGTCGAAATCAGAAACGAGTATATAATGACTATGTCCAGCAGTGGACTATCAAAGGCTGTTGAAAAATTTTTGCTCCAATCTCTGATTAAGGCAGTCAATCCATCCGAAGAGATATCCAATTTAAAAAGTTACCTGTTTTTTCCAGTTTTGTGATGCGTTTCTTTTAATATCAATTTTAAATTACTTACAGCTTTCAAATCCTCCACAGCCGCCATGTTTAGTACACTTGCAGAAAATAAAGGGTTATCGTATTGATCAAATATGAAGATCAAATCATCCATGTGAGTGGACGAGAGCACGCTGCTCAGAGTTTTGTACTCTGCTACCAGGTCTGGAAGACAAATGGCCAACTTGCACTTATAGATGGCCTCGTCAAGTATCTTAGTGATGCGTTCCATTTGTATAAGACATTCAAGGTCGATAGGAGATGCGGCTGAAAAAACAAACATTAATTTTATAATTCTTTATTATCCTACCATATCGGAAAAAAGCCAAAACTTGTACCTAATAATAATAACCTTCCACATCTCACACACGGCCGTCTGATACCAAACTAGGCAGAGCCTGTAAAATGGTAACCAGACTGCTGATAAACATGCTTTTATTTTTCTAAATACATATTTCTTTTCGCGCGTATGCTTTATTGGTGCAGATCATACAAATACATATGTATGTATTTGTATGTATGTATGTATTTGTATAATCACACTAATGTTACGAAGGTGAGTTTGTGTGTGTATTTGTATGTTTGTGACTTATTTGCGCTCAAACGGCTGAACCAAATTTTATAAAATGTAATGTTCAAAAGGGATGTGCAAGGAATTGAAATTTCCGATTAAATAATACAGGTTTTAGTGTATCTGATTAACTACGGGTAAAGAGACAACGAACACATAATCGTGCTCGTCACACAATTAATAGATAATGTAAAATATTGAATAAAGAAATCCACTTACAATTATCCTTGGTAAGATCCATTTCTTTACTCCTATTTGCGCTGGCATCAGACTTGGTGCTACTACCACTTTTGGTGCTGGAAGAGAATGAAGGTGAGGCCGAAGGGGACTCAGCGGTCTCGCTCGATACCTTATCCATTTTCCTATTAGTAATTATAAAGTTGTACGATATTTTACTTAATCAGCTATTTTGAGGGATTAGACTAGCACAGGCTATATTACGAAACAATAGTAGTCACAAAAAGTAACGAAAATAAATAATATCAGTTACCATGGTGACGTATCCAAGTATCACAAAAACATAAATAGTGCTGTTACTGTTGAATTACATAGTGAAAAGTAGACTAAGGAAGGGAAATGTCTGGTAACGCAAAAGGCAGTTAATAGACTCTCGGTTACATATTTGAAAGCGTATGAGTTATCCCATAGATTTATTTACAACTGTCTTAAATAAAATGCCTTGTATTCATCACAGATATTCCTGTAAAGCAAGCCCAACAAAGCAAGTCTTAATACCATTTCTAGATGACAAGGGGTTGAACGCCTTTAGCTGAGGCATCATCAAGAACATACATTTCGTTCTACAATGTACGTTTTGATCTTATTCGGTTTTGACACGACGTCAATACCCCGCGGTAATAGACATTGACCGCTCCATGCCGTGTATTCACACGAATGAGAGTGCTTTCACAGCACAACAATTCTTGATTTGGATTTGGCTATAATGTATGTCGTTCTGACAACTCTATCGAAATTTTCGTTCTTTCCACTTGAACCTCCCGCGTGGTCCCACTGAACACTCAAAGTATACTTGGACCCCCAACCCGATGGTGCGAGAATAATTAGTAAATTGAAATTCAACTTCAACCCCCAAACATTATACAACTGAAGGAGATTACATTTTAGGATTAAAATCTACCTTTGGAAACAAATACAAATTAACGGCTTTATCGCTTTGAGGCGATCCCTTACAGGCAACTATATGCAAAGACTATATTGAGGGGGTCACTCATGTTAAGTCAAAAATGATAGAGCGTCCCTGAGCTCTGCTATCAACTGGTATGCCTTCTATTGATATAAAGGTTAACGAGCCGGCGTATGACCTGATCGACTACTACCTCCTATGAACATCTGCAAATCATAAGCCGTAAGTGCGTCGCCTACAGTAAAAATGTTAGTTTAATAACGTCAATTACAACATTCATTATTACATTTCATCATTTATATAGATTTTTTCAAAACACCTTCCGTAAAGTTTTGAATGTGGCTTTAAACGATCGAGCCTGGCTTCAAGCACCACTGCCACTTCGTTTGGGTGGTCTTGGAGGACGCAAAATTGTAGATGTCAGCCTTACAGCATTTCTGTCTTCGAAAGACACACACAGAAGAGTTAACCCGGAAAATTCTAATAAACACACTGTTGGATTCTGAAGTGTTTTACAAGGCCGAAGCCATACATGCCTGGCGGATTGCTTGTCCCAATACAATATCACCTGTTAATCCATTCTCTCAGAGACAATGGGACGCGCCACTATGTATTTTAAAACAAAAAAAAAAACACTAATTAATACATCAATAAATCTTGCTGAGCGTTGTGTTGTGTTGAGCTTGTTTATTGGCTGTGGGAGAATAGGAATCAGGCTTATGTATTCAGGCACTTCCAGCACCCACAATGGGCACCTTGTTGGACGATATTACATTTCGCCTTATCACTTGTGTTCGGTTAGGTTAGTGTTTACTTGTGTTTTCTGCATCGTTGTCACCGCGGAGAAGCTGTTGACAGTCTATGCCATCATGGCCTTTCTCGTAGCAGAAGCTCTGTTCGTATATCTCGACAGGCTAATATAAACGACATTATCCGTCGTACTCTTGTTACCGACGGCGTTCCAGCTGTACGTGAACCCAATGGTCTGGTATGAGACGATGGAAAGCTGTCAAACGGCGTAAATACCAAAATTTAGTAGGAAATTACATTTTTAAACCGAGACGCTAGAGTCATGGGGTCCGAGTGCTCGTGCTATGTATAAACAACTAGCTAAGCAACTGATCGACACTTCTCGTGATCAGAAGGCATTTTCATAGCACGGAGAATTAGCATTGGCATTCAACATGGCAATGCTGCCAGTCTTCTGGGAACGCTACCAGTAGGCGATGATGCGGAGGACTTTTTTGATGCTTGTATGTAAATAGTGTAAATCTTTAAATATTTTAATTGCATTATAATATTTATATTTTTTAACTAGATGATAAATTACATTTGTTGCAATACAGGTATATTTCACACACAATGAAAATATATTGGACAATATCTACATGTTTACAAATAAAACAATATTTTTTTAAATAATATTATATTCATTTATTTCATTCTTTAAGTAAAATACAATAATATAACAAATATACAATTTACTAAAATATATTGTTTAGAAAATATTTAAAGACATAGAAAATTACAGTAAATAAAATAGGAACGGTTCATTTTATGTACGTATGTCGACTGCTTTACGTGCTTATATTAAGAGTATAATATGTGTATTTGGCACAAAGAGTTAGAGAATCCCTAATTGTTCGCACCACTTGCTTTAGCCGCCTTCGCGGCTTTAGCGGCTGCCTTAGCTGCAGCTTTAGCCGCATTTTCTTCGGCCCTTCTTAGTGCCTCTTGCTTTGCTGCTGCCGCTTCTGCTGCAGCTATCATTTTCTTTTCGAGTTTCCTCAACTACAACATGGTAAGCACAGAATTAAGTGTTAAAAAGTTAGTGATAAGATGACAGTTTACGCATTTTATATACATATGTTCTAAAAATTAACAAATCTTTTATACATATTTACTAAACTACATAGTAATTAGAAAAGAAGTTCACATTAAGTGTTATCACTCATGGGTATTCCATTTGACAGAACTTGTCAAATAAAGTCCTTTACACCCAGCGCCCACTATCGGCACGATATAGCAAGGGATCCTTACACGCAAACGCACTCTGACGGCAATTATTGCCGAAGATTCCTCAGGCATAGCGAGGAGTGCTTGGAAATACCGACGAGTTCTCAGACGTACCGAGATGAGCTTAGGTAAGGAGTTTACAGGCTTGCCGAGGCGTGCTTAGGAATGTCGAGGAGTTCTCAGACATGTAGAGGTCTGCTTAGGATTGCCACCGCCTGGTTCCTAGCTTAAATTAAAACAGTGACAACGTTGCAAGCCAATAGTCGTATTCATAATGTTAGATAGGACCTAGTGCTCATTGCTATTCTTGATGACTCGGTGTCCTCAATACTGCCGGTTGCTTCAGCGTCCTTAGGTTTGCCTTGGCTTCTGAAGACTTACGAGGTATACCGAGGCGTCCCGAGGTATGCCTTACTCTACCAAAGACTTCTGAGGTATACTGAGGCGTCCTTAGGTATGTCTTACGCTGCCGAAGACTTCCGAGGTATGCCGAGGTGTACCTTGACAGTCTTGACCTGTCATGCCGTACCAATAGTGGACGCCGGGCCTTATTGTACTAAAACTATACACCATTTTGTTTTCGTATTGTGATTCTTTACATTTCGTATTTCCTAATATGAGGTCTTAGGAAATACAATTAACTAAAAATTTATAGGATTTAAAGAGATTTAATATTTTACAATTTAACTCATCGAATTTTATCATTATTTATGTAAAGAATTACACTACGAAAACAAAATGGTCTACAGACCATGTTTTTTTTGCAAATCATTTAATTCTAACTAGTAAAATTAAATGTCTATGTGGTGAAGGATTAAGAATACAGAACACCGCCTCTATTCATCTCGTGTGTGTCGTAAGAAGCGACTAAGGGAAAACTTGACATAAACCCCATACCAACCCGTCTGGCCAGCGTGGTATAGTAGGCCTCATTCTAAGGACAGGCAGCTTACTTTATCCAGCAGGGGACTGTTATAGGCTGATTATGATGATAATTAAACAAAACGTACCTTCTTTTTTTCTGCTCTGTTGGCTAGTACCTCCCTCCATGCGAACTGTATGACTCTCGCGGCATGTTCCATAATGAACGCATCCAGTTTCGCTTTCATCTCTGCATGATATTCGTCCTCACGCTCCTTCATCAGTGGTATGTACTCAATATCTTGTTCATCTAGTTTCTTCTGTTGGTTTAAAGAATACGTAAGCTCACTGAGATATTTTTTAACATCAAATGATGAGATGTAAGAATAAAAGAAGGATAAATTATAATAGGGTTAAATACCTAAGTTGAAGTTACAATTTAATAAATGGGCGTTTCTCTCTAAACTGGGCAACTCATTGTCTCAGGCTAATTTTGTTAAAAAAATAAAAGACCGTAAATATTTCGTAGATAATTCCAAAAATCAATACCTTAATCTACCGCTGCTCAACATAAAAAATCGACTAAAATAAACTTTATTATATTAAAAACGTTTTTATAGTTCTTAAAAACCAGTCCCCTGGCATGTCACCAAAGCAGTATAGTTACTTCAGACTAAATTAATCGAGATTGTATCTATTGGAATTAATCGAATTGTTGTATTATTAAATCAATATTGTTTGATTGTCAATGAGACCTATTTATTTTACATAAATATTATTTTACAATTTAAAGAAAGGCAATGAAACTTTGTCTTCGCATTTAGTGAACAGTCCCCCTGTCTATATTTTAAATTACGTGTCGCGTAGCCGAAAGGTTAAACAACGCCTTTTATGCGTGTAACGCAACGCAACAAGTTTGAAGTTTGCGCGATTGCCGCCATGACGACCCGAACGCCAACTTATTTAGTAGTGTTCGAGCGTCCTTCCGTGGAAGCTGCGTTGTAACCTGACAGCCAACAGTCCTCTGGTAAGGATTATTTTACTTCTATTTATGTATTTTAATGATTCCTTCAAATATTTAAATTGTTACAATAGATACATACTTCCTATGTGCAGCAAAGTAGCATAGATCAATTACATTTTGTACTACTCATCAATGAAATCAAATTAAACAGTCCCCTGGCAACAGTCCCCTGCCTTTCTACAGGACAGGGGACTATTTCAGCATCCAGAGGACTGTCTAAATTATATTTGTTATTGTTTTAGATTTGTTTTGAGAATGGCACCAAAGAAAAAAAAAAGCCACTAAAGAAGAGATTCTACAAAAGAAAGGGAAGCAGAGCGAAAGAGATATGAGAAGATTAAAAACGACCCTCAGAAAAGGGAAGAACTTAAAGAAAAAGAACGCCTTAAGTACCTTAAGAAAAAAGAAAAGGGAACTAGAAAGCTTGTTAAGAATATGACTCCACGAGAACATCGAAATGCCAAGAAGAAGTGGAAAGAGCATTGCACCAAGTATCGCAATAAGAAAAAAGTATTAGCAAATATTACTAACTCATTTATTAAAGACAATACTCCAGATTCTGATGTATCTACTTCAAGTCAAATGTCAACACCTAAAGTTGCTGAAATAATTAATAAAAATAAAGAAAAGATGCTTAGATATAAAATAAAGAAGAAAAAAGATAAAGAAATTAAAGAAATGCAGAAGAAAGTATTAAAGTACAAAAAACGTTTATCGCGACTAAAAAAGAATATAAATCCAAAGCCTAAAGATACACCAAATACAAAGTTACAAAAAATGGCAGATACTCCAGAATCAAGGAAAGATCTAGTCAAAAAAGCTGGAGATTATATTGTTGTGAAATTGCTTGGCAAAACAAATATGGAATATAGATATGCGAGCATAATTGACAAGATTGATGAAGAAGATGGCGAAATCCGGGTTACATTCTTAAAGCTCTGTGATAATAAAGGCCAATTATTTAGATACGATGATGATGATGTGGCAGACATTACAATGGACCAAGTGGTACAGAAGCTGTCTAATCCCAATATAGTTTTAAAAGGCAAATGTTTTACAAGTTTGATTCACCTGTAGATGTTTTCGAGAAAAAATAAGACTTTAAATACTGTGTTTTTTTATCTATTTATGCTATATTTTAGAAATAACTACTTATTTTTCGAGACTGATTCTGTAGTGTAAGTTTCAAAGTACTGAAAGTCCTTTCAATATATGTGATTTTAATTAATAATAAGTAAATATTAAAATTACAGTGCTAAGTACAATATTACATAAAGATAGTTGATTCTTTAATTTTTGATTATTCAGTTACTTAATTCTTAAGCTCCAAAGTTTGTAATAATAAAAAAACATTTAATTTCGATACTTAAATTGTATTTTTTATTTAAGTTCACAGTCCCCTGGCTTTGACAACAGTCCCCTGTATACATTTTTCAGAAAATGCTTAATATTTTCTAAAGTAATGGGAATATTTGTGGTTCATCTGCCCTATATTGATAAATAGACGGATACTTGTTCCCTAAATAAAATTTATTATATTATGAGCAAAAAAGTTGCCTAGACAGTTTCCTTAGAACGAGTTGCCCAGTTTACAGAGAAACGCCCAAATGCATTATGAAAAAAGGGATTTTATCTTATAGTTTCGACAATATTTACGACAATACTTAATTCGTCACGTACTAAATTCTAAATTTATGGAGGTTAAGGGAATCTGAATTTAGAATGTATATTTTAGTCTGGTTAAAATAGCCATTCAAACTTACAAACAAACTTAAAATTACAAAACTATACTACGAGTATTTTCAAATAGAGATTTGAAATCAATAAAATTAGATATACGCAGTAAAACCTAAAGTACAAAAAGCAAAAAATTGGTATGCAAGCATGAAGAATTGGATATGAAACTGTAGAGTTTTATAACGTAATAAGTAATATTTCAAAAAAAATTGTGCGAAGTTAAGGATAAAATACTAACAAAACTAACTAGTAACGAATATAAGCTGAACACACTCACGGATCAACTGATCTGAACTTTTATTACTTTACGAGCAAGCCGCGATCTGTCTGACATTAGCAGGATCCGCTAATGGTGGTAGATAGGCCCTTCCATTAAAAGGCAACCCAACCCGTACTTCATACGAGTACATAGACAAGGTACAAATTTAAATCTAAGAACTTATTATGATTGTGACCTGTAATTTATTGCACTCCTCGACCTGCTCTTCGTACTTCTCAGTGAAGTCGTCCAATTCAAGCTGTTTATCTGTCATCTCCGTGTCATATTTCTGAAGCCACGATGACAGTTGCGTTTCCACTTTCAGCCTTTCAACCACAAAAGATGATATTATCTAAGTAGAGCCTACTAATATCTAATATACTGTGATATATTTGCATCGTATCAACCTTGGATAAAAACAGTGATAAACCTATTTAGACACTTTTCTATACTTCAAAAGAAAAATAGGAGGTTTCCGTACAAATGACAAAACTATGCATGTAGTGGTCGTGATTGGGATAAATCACACTCTAGATGCGATACCAAATTAAGTTTCGACTTACGTTCTATAGTGCATAAAACCCAAGTTCTATAAGTTATGTTGTTTTTAGGGTTAACAATAACTACATTTTGTTAAGAAAGATCACGAACCTTCGAACGAGCGGCAAGGGATAATGGGCTTCATTATTATGCGCATAAGATCGGTAATTGGTTGCCATGCGATATTGTTTACATTTGAAACAGTTTCTCGATTTCAGAAACAGCTCTTAGGAAAATTTATTAGAATGAAGTTTGTAGGGGTCTAACGAGTGGTATAAATACGTTAATTATACATTAGTTAATACGTTTGATTTCACTGATCGCTGTTAGCCGACAAACGGCGCCTCCGCAGGTATTGGGTGAGCTCACGCTGCCCCACTCTGAAAACCCATCTGAACCAGCTCCTGATCAGAGTGAAAGCCCTGTTGAGCACTGATAACGCTGGAGCTGGGACAGATACATCGAGGATATCACCGACGAGTGGCCCTCCGTCCATCGTCTCTGCTAGCCGCCGCCTTACCAACACCGCCTTACCAACACCCTAGCTTCGGTGCGTCCACTACTACACACAGACAGGTATCGAGCAGCAGACCGTACCGAGCTCTTTGCCAACACCTCGATCGCCAGTTTAGATCAAAACCGACCACGGACGAGATAGTGGAGCAACCTTCGAGTAAAGTAATTCGGCACGCCGACAGTTCCCGAAGAAGACCTACCTACCTACTTTTCCCCGGCTACGGTAAAGACAGCCATACGCCGGACCAAGCTAAGAAAGGCCCTGTTCAGTGGCGTAATACGCACATGACACTTCCCTCAGAACTGGAAGGAGAGACGTATCTTCATGCTCCCAAAGCCGGGGAAGAACGTACTGAAGCCGGAGAGCAATCGGCCGATCACCCTGCTGCCCATCACCTCGAAGGTATTCGAATAACTCCTGTTGCGTCCCCTCACCCCGCACATTCCCCAAGCCACCACGCCGGACTGCTTTAGAAGCTACCAACATCACCAACACCCCGGCGAGTAGTAGTAGTGGTTCCCACCTTCCTGAAACACAGGACATTCCGAGTGGTGGTGGAGGGGCAGCTAAGCTGCCCCCCGCGCCGTGGAAGCCGCCGTTTCTCAAGGAAGCTACATATCGAATATGTTGTACACGCGATAAACCGACGACATTACCCGTCACCGAGGGGACAGTGCTAGCGCTATACGCCTACGACGCGGCGTACATAACAACGAGCCTAAAAGCCAACCACGCCGTGATAAAGATGCAGCACGCTCTAGACCTCCTATCTCCCTGGCTGTCGCAGTGGCAACTATCGATATATGTGGAGAAGTCTCAGGTGATTGCCTTCACCTCGCCCCGGAAGCTCCCACCACCACTCCAACTATAGGACAAACCGATCCAGTGGAGGAGCTCGGGTAAGTGAACCATAGCGCGAGTAAGGGCAAACCGAGTCCTGCTTCGTCCAGTGATCTCGTCCGTCGTTCCTCTGCGAGCCAAGTTGAGTGTGTATAAAGATTATGTACACACCCAGCACACCTACACCGCCCCATCGTGGTTCGCCCTCACGATCGAGTCTGCGCGTGCAACAGTCGCTTGCACTGCGCGACGTCGTGCAGGTTTCCCGCCGTTATAATTCCATGTTACACTTGTATCCGAATAATTTTCCAACCACTATGTTCTATAAACTGTATCCGGACATCTTTGTTTTTCTCAATGACAGATCTTGACTCACCTCCGCGATGTTCAAGCGTGCCAACGCGTCCTCTTGGGAACACATCCGGGGTCTAGCGACTTAAGACCTCATTTAAAAAAATAATCCTTAGGGTGCATAAACCTTTCAACAGTCTTTAAATGTCTAATTATCCTGTTCACTAATTAACAATTTGTATTTAATGAATGTACTCACTTGCGAGCTCTCTGACGTTTCTCTTCAAGGAGATGTTGATGGAGCAAATGTTCATAATTGTGTTTACTTTCAACTTCTTCTTCTTTTAACATTTCGTTTTTGACTAAATGAGCTCGAGTGGCTAAGACCATCTGACGTTCTGAATCCAGACTGAAAATAGAAAAAATCTTAACTTGATGTTTAACAATGAACCACTAAACAATACTCCTATTTGATTGAACTAAAAGTAACGGAACTATAGCAGCTAGAATTTGAAAAGCCTTGACAGTTGTTTTTAATACAATCATCATCGTGTTTTTGCCGTTTTCCTTTTCAGAAATCGCATTGGAAGGAATTTTAGCTAACTGCTTTTATGGGCGGTCACCGGTCTAACGCCAACCCTATTTGATTATTTAATCCTTTTCAGGCGGTACTAATAGGTGCGAAAGATAAAATAGGTTAAGAAAAACAGATAAGGCGAGGAAGCTAAGGTAAGAGACATCGTAACCTTTATAAAATAAAAATCGGGTAGGGTAGAAGGCAATAACTGATATTAGTACTTACTATAAATGGGATCTAAATTACTAAAATTGAGCTATTTCATTACAATAACAATCCCTAGCTGTACCGTCTACTTCTAACGACGTTAGTAACTGAGAATACTATGTGTCTACTCCTGAGATTCAAATTTTAAAAGATATCATCTTCTTATTCTTTTCTCAAAGGTTATGAAAATGATGATGAAAACCGAAAACCGAAATAACCGTTTCTTTTTTCGGTTTTCATCTTTTTTTTTAGAATTTGAAACGATGTGTGATCTTAAAATGACAGGTCTCACACTTTCTTCTTGAGCTTGACCGAAGCATCGTAACTGAGCATAGCGAGTTCATGTTCCAACTTCGTTATAATCTGTGCCTTGATCGCCATCGTCTGGTCAAACCTCTCATTCTCTTCTACTAGTAATTTTGAATATTCTAGACAATAGTCCAAAAAAAGTAAATTAGGAAATGCACGTTTTACGTCATCTGTAACTTAGTTTTAAGTTAATAAAAAAAATATTATTCAATTCACCATCACTCAGGCAAATTTTAATGTTGAAGGTGTTGCGATTAGGCTCACACAAATTTTACTACTATGAACAAAAAGAACAATAAATTTTTATAGCTATTGTTTATAGATTAAATCTCTCTCGGCGGACATTTCAATTATCACATGGACCTACTATAGTTTAAATCTTCTCATTTTATACCTTGAATGCTTTTATTAAGAGTTTCATTAGAATCTTCAAGTTTTCTGGTATTGATTTTAGATAACAGCTCATCAGCCGCTGTCGTCTCCATTTGTTTTATCATAAGCTCACGAAACTGGTACATCTCATTCAAAAAATTCATAGCTGCAGCTGTTGATCTTGACTTATGCGAAAGAAAATAAATGTTTTAAATAAGTATTATAGTTAAAAAAAGAATTAAGTATGTTTTACGATTTAGGGAGCAAACAAGCAGACGGGTTACCTCATGATGCCCCACGGACACCTACAATTTAGATACACGTGTGCACTGTCACCCTTCGAGCACCCCTCTCCCTCGCTTAAGGAGAGGGAGAGCGTTTTACTTAAAGTTTATTAAACACTCAAAAATGTAAATCAAATGACATTAAAACTATAAAACATCTTAGTAATTGTAGTCTTTAAATTACAACAAAGTTTCGTAGGCGCTTACTTACATGACTTGAACTGATTCGTTTCTGAAATGTGAAATAAATTTATTTTACACATTATAAAGATATTAGGTCCGTGTGGTGACGGATTAAGAATACAGAGTGTCACCACCCCTATTAATCCCGTGGGTGTCGTAAGAGCCGACTAAGGGAAAAAAACTACGTAGAACAACAGCACTACAGAGAGAAGGAAAACTTGACACAAACCCTATACCAACCCGTCTGGCCAGCGTGGTATAGTAGACCAACACCTCCTTTCTAAGGAGTCCAGCAGTGGACTATTAAAGGCTGTTGATGTGATGTGATACAGATATTTTATTTTATATTTCACTAACTGACGTATCACACATTTTATTTCTCTAGATTCAATATTTTGAATACTTCTTCATTAAATCAAAAGACACCTACTGCAAGCTATTTTACCTGTTCGATTAATTCGTAAACCGTAGGCCGAAGCTCTTGGTAATTATTCATGATGTACATTAGGTGGGCTAGTTCAGGATTCAAACGATTCTTTAGACTCAGATCACCCTGAAAATGGCAATAGCAAAAGTTGACAACATATTGTCATCAGCCATTTATTTTAACAGTATCTCTTTTTCGGTGCTGTCGGCACAGTTATGTCAGAACAGAAAATCCGAGAGAGGAGTTAAACAAGCAGACAGAAAAGTTGCACTTTTCCAAAAGACTTCATATTGGGCACCAGCTGTTGAACATCAGTTGCTGATTGCTGAGCAGTAGGACCTTAAGAAGTGTGTTTTATATAATTCTACTAACCTGATAGTTTAGCATGGATGTAATTAAATCAAGAATATTTTATCTAACAACTAGCGGACTATGATTGTGAACTGAAGTAACGATCTAGAATTGCTTACGGCTTTTAAATCCTCAACAGCAGCCATGTTCAAAACACTAGCAGAGAACAATGGATTGTCGTATTGATCGTAGATAAATAGCAAATCATCCATGTCAGTGGACGACAGCACACCGCTTAAGGTTTTATACTCTATTACGAGATCTGGGAGACAAATGACTAGCATGCACTTATAGATGGCCTCGTCAAGAATCTTAGTGATACGTTCTCTTTGTATATTGCATTCGAGATCTATAGGCGAAGCCACTGCAAGGAAATATTAAGCAATTACATTAGATGTGTGGGGGAATGGGTGTCATGTCCCTCCAATACAAAGGGAGGATCCTCCGACCAGGCGAGGTGATCATGCAATTATTCATATACAGCGATACAGGATTAACAGTTAGTTAGTTATTTGAAATGTCTATTTTGACCGGACTATGTACTTCTAAAAAGTTTAATTTTTTTCTTCCCGAGTGTCATAACTCGGTGTGTACGTGGGTCACTGCTGTTGATCCTAGTGTACAGGAGTGGAAGGGATTAGATACGTTAAAAAGGACACAACAGTTTAAAGAAGCTTCTGTTCCCAAGTCTGAACAAGTATTTCAGGGCGATTTGCCAAACTTACCATTGTCCTTAGTGAGATCTATCTCTTTATGTTTAGGTTCGCTGGCAGCAGACTTGGTACTGCTATCAGTTTTTGTGCTCGAAGAGTAAATAGAAGGGGATTCCAATGTCGCGAATGATAAATTATCCATTATACAGAGTTTTATATTGTGATATGTGGGTAACTAATATTTTAGTTTTGCATAAATAAAGCTATATTACTGACACTATACGTTCCAGTAAAAGTAAAATCATAAATAATTATAGAATATTCTGTTACTATGCTAATATAGTCTTTGATTAAGATGGACAATACTAAACTAAAATAGAGGTCGGATAATCAAAAGAACTGCTTGGTTTGTTTAGAGAGGTTTTCTACGTTACATTTATAGAAAACCGTAGATTTGCTGACAGTGTGATTCTTGAATTTTGTGAAAAGTTGTACTTGCAAGCAATACGAGCAAAAGAATAATTTAAAGAAACCGGCTAAGTACGTGTCACCAATCGTATATTGTAGGGTTTAATAACATTATCGAAATAACTTATTTGTTTTGTTTTTATTTATGTACAAAACTTTTACAAATTCTCTCAAAACACTTTCGAAATATCTATCTAACGATTTTTCACATTATGGGATAGATCATAAAAAAATCAATCTCACTTTACACTTTTTGCAAGGAAGGTACCAAAATGTAAAGTTATTTTATTTTTATGATTTTATTTTACTGGGTTTTCCTTATCCACCTAATACCTTTAAATGAGTAATTCTTCTATATATAATCTGAATCTCGGAAACTGCTCCAACGAGGTTCTTAGGACATAATACGTAAAATTAACCATTACTTTACAAAAGTATTGTCAGTATAACTAACCCTAAATCGGATCGGTTAATTCAATGCAGAGAATCATCGATCATCATCAACAGCCTATACTAGTCCACTGCTGGACATAGGCCTCTCCTTAGAAATGAGGTTTTGGCCTACTATACCACGCTGTCCAGACGGGTTGGTATAGGGTTTGTTTCAAGTTTTCCTTCTCTTTGCAGTGCTGTTGTCCTGCTTAGTTTGCTCCCTTAGTCGGCTCTTACGACACCCACGGGATGAATTGGGGTGGTGACAATTTGTATTCTTAATCCGTCACCACACGGACAGCAGAGAATACTACTTTCCAAAACTGACTAATTTGACTATCTCTACAATGTGATCAAAATACAAATCCTTGTTATATGTATATTGAAATAATTATTATAAAAACAACACTATTAAAACTTTTCACATTATAGTTAAGCCTGAAATTCGACTGTCGATTTAAGGTGACGCGTATAGGCATTACCTAAAAAAATTGAGGATCTAAGCTTAATTCTTTTTTGAGGCTTTTCGTAGATTTTTAGCGATACTGCCCATCACAACAATTTAACTAAATTCCCAGTCCCAATTAATAAAACATTGTGACACGCCGCACTCTCCCAACCACATAGATAATAAATTAATCAATATTTAGTTCCGTTGCTGTGAAACTATCCATACGTTTGTTCAATAACATCGTCACTATCTAGTGAACAGTAACAGCTATTCGGTGGAGGTGCATACACTGGGATTAGGGTACAACGCCAACGTCTTGTTATAATCCTTGGTCAGTACATTTGGTAAGTCATTAATAATAATAACAATATTATTTATTTCTCTCAAAAGGTAAGTAGGTTCATTGGTTTGAAACTAAACATAAATGACACCTTAGTGACAGACAGAAACACCAGCTAGCTCACTACTGCTACAAAGTAATGGGTTCGAAACCTGTGTGACTAGTCTACAGGCTCTCTCCTTATCACACTCATTCGGTGAAAGTAACAAAAAATTAGGTTAACGTCGGTTCATTCCGATCGTGTCGTCCCAACCTCTACGACCTTATCCTTAGCAATCAGATTTTTATATTTACAATTATTATTGTCGTGGGACTTACCTAATCTATAGATGACAGGTGTACTCTAAATATATACTCTACAAGATGTTTTATCACTATTTGACTTTACAGTTGCAGTTAATAAACCCCCAAAATGACAAAGAAAGGTAAAGTGAACAAGTTAGCGCGCATGTCGGACGAGGAACGAGCACGGTATTTACAACATCGCGCCGATATTGAAGAAGAAGCTCGAAGAAGAAAACAAGAACTTATATCCAAGTTTATCAAGGTACAAAGAGTATTCGAACCTTATTTATTACGATTACCTACTAAGATTTTTTTTTTTTAAAAACAACTCCCGCATTAGGAATAAATCCTGTGTCGCGGGGACTTCACAAACATACATGAAACGGACACAATGAACACCCAGAATCAGAACAACAATTTGTGGATCACACAGAGTGTCGTCCCATGTGGGGTTTGAACCCACAACACTCGGCGTAGTAGGAAGCGGCGTGGCGACCGCTTACCACCACTACGCCATCCGTGCAGTCGAGTCATTTAGTACATCAATGACATTATTGCGCATGTCGCCGGTCTCGCGATATAAGAATATCTATTAGTTTGTATGTTTTTGAGCTTTGAGCTTTATGAACTATATAAAATACTAGCTTTTGCCCGCAGCTCCGCCCGCATGTATGTCGGTTATGGCGGTAGGAGCCTATGTCCTTATTCAAGAATAAGACTATCTCCATACCAAATTTCATTCAAATCGGTTCAGCGGTTATTGATTTTACCTCAATCCTTACCCAATCCTTACCCAAGACTCGGATGATCTCTGTGCCAAATTTCATCTAATTTGGTTAAGCGGTTTAAGAGTGAATAGTAGCAGACAGACACACTTTCGCATTTACAATATTAGTATGGGTTTCTTTAAAAAAATATTTTAATTCTTTATCAGCGCTTCACGTCCCAAATTTGTCTTTGATATCCTCTATTTAACGTCATCATTGTCCATCCAAATATTGCTTTTAGCGATAAGGCCGCCCTTTGTACCGATTTTTTACCAACCGCATTTCTTGTTAAAATCCAGTTGGCATACAGCTTATTTCTGAAGAGGTAACAGACAGATAGATAGACAGATTGATAATAGTATATAGGATTATTGGTGACGTTTGCACTATAATATTTGGCTATACGCTGTTCTACGATTACTTACATTATGACCAATCGGGCTATCGCATTTAGTAATTCCAATCAGGCATCATACCTATTCATCTTAAGTAGAAATCGGAGCACGAAAATCCGTTCGCAGTAAATACCTTCAACAGGCATCTAGTACCTAGATAATTTTTGCATATAAAATGAAGACGGTTTCCATCCCAGTACGCTTAGATCTTTCAAACTACGAAACGGCTTTTAATGCGGTTTTCATCCATAGAGAGAGTGATTCAAAAGGAAGGTTTATATTATAATTAGGCGGCTTCGAACGGGTGCAATGTAGATACTACCTAATAATACTACTAATGTGGTGTCAGTTTGGAGTAATTATATTATTATTATGATAAGCCTATGCTACATCACATATGGACATCTTTATATGCAATATAAATGGGCTCGCTCCACTCCTGCCAACCGCTGTCGCTGCCACCCGAGGCGGACGGCCCGACGCAGCTATTTTAAACAATACAGTATTATTCCTTATCCAAATAAATATGTTAGATACGTTGTGTATTTAATATAGATTACCTTGTACAGCAAATCAACAAAGTAAATATCTTAGTAGATATCAGAGATTTAAAATACGGGGACAAAGCAGCCGTCGGACCGCGTAGGTGCGTCCCGGGTGGCATTAGCCTGCAGGTGGGAGCGTGCCTATATTGTATATAAAGATATCTTGTAGTACAGTCTATTAATTATTTACTCCATACTGACGCAACATTAGTATCGACATTTACCCGTGCGAAGCCGCGGCGGGTCGCTAGTATAAAATATATATAAGTATTATTAACGTATAGGCTTAATAAGTAATTTCAATTGCGTTTTTCAGAACAAACTCGACAAAGAGGAAGCCTACAGTCGTTTGAACACATCGAAGATAAATCAAGAATGGAGATTCATATTACGCAAAATAAAATGCAAACAAATGACTTTGGATATTCAGGTACAGTTTTTTTTTATTTAATAAATAATGATATAAATATATTTTTAGACAACGTCACAGCAAAGCTGCGTGAGGGTATTAATTAAGTCTTTGGTTCAAACATCAATTGTCTTACATACATATTTCGTAGAAATATCATATATGCCGATTTAGTGTAAAAGTTTTGTCATTGTGTAAGCATCTTTATTAAGCGTTGTATTAAATAATATGCACTATCCTTCTAATATCTTTTCTCTATCAAAAAAGTAAAGATCATTGAAGTGTGTCACGGGTTCGATTTTCGGGTCGGACCAAATGTTTGTATGTTCTTCAAATATTAACAAATAATAATAATGGTTTCATAATACAAACTCTGCTTAGGTCGAAACTAGATGGCATTGTGTGTCAAATGTCAAGTATAATACTCATATAAGTTTAATAACGCTTTGGAAATGCGAACACTATCTTTGTCATCATCACCACTTTCCATCAAGTTGAATGAAAGACAAATGCCGATTAAAATAATTAACCATAAAAGAAGGAAAAATAGAAAATAACTTACGCCTGCTGGATTGGTAGCCAATGAACTTCAAGTAATAGAATGATGCAATATAGGTACCTACTTTTTATTCTCTCACAGAATATGTTGACCAGCTTTAACTTCCTCGTGGAGCGCAAGGATCGCCTGATTGCATCACTGGTTCGAGCCACAAATGACGCAGACGAACAACACCGACGCGCTTTTCAGGCGCACACCGAAAATATCAGCTATTTTCTAAGTAAGCACACATGGAGTACCTATACTTATTTAATGTTTGGCGGGCCTATTTAGGGCTATTTAAGGTCGTAGGTTCGATTCCCACCCAGGACAATATATTGTGTAATGAACACGGTTATTTGTTCTGTGTCTAGGTATAATTTATCTATAATATGTATGTATTTGAAAAATATATAAGTGAATGTTTATCAGCAGTCTCGTTACCATACCACCTCGGCTTTTTTTATGATCAGATATATTATTATTATATTATTTTCATAATATTACATACGTATCTATATTTAAAGTAGTTCATTTTAATATATTTAATATGTACATATACTACTACTATAGGTTTACATGTTCAAACACAATAATTCTTTTAAGGTTAGTTTTAATAGGTATGACTTGAAAACGAAATAAGTTATAGTTAGACATCATATTTTAGTGGGAGTTGCTTACTTCTCCATTTTAGGACTTACTCCCAATTTTCTATCTTTAATTCTCAATATTCCCGATTAGGGGTATTGACTATAGACTTGACCCCTTTTATCTGAGTGACGTATATTTACACAATGTGGGCAATGTTGTTGTTATTTAATATAAGTTTCTGGTTATCCCATCGAGGAATCAATTTAAAGGTGTGTTGTATGAAGGCCGCAAATCTTTAGCAGATATTTGGCTTTAATAAAAATAATCTCTTGGTTGGTATTTCGAACGGTATTTTGTCATTGCAAGATCTTTTCACCAATAACTTTAAATTATCAGACTTTTTCCTTACTTGCTTGCAAATGTGAATTGAGCATTCAATAATAAATTTGTTAGACATAGGATACCAGCGCTTAGATAAACTACAAACGGAATTCGATCTGCAGAAGAACACTCTATTCGAAATATGGGACAAAGAAGAAATGAATCTGACAGATGACCAAGAGAGAGCTGAGTTTAAACTGAAACTAATCACCTACATACAGGACAGAGACTTCAAAAAGTACAATAAGGAAAAAGAACTACAAAGAGCTACTGGAAAGAATGATGCGCGATTAGAGGTGAGGTACTTCTTGATTTATGTTTTCATTTACACACACCAGCGTTGTACTAGCGTTTGTTGTCATTGATGCGCTCCTAAGGGTCTTGTGTTGTTCAGTAGTCTTCCAAATAATCAGTGGGATCTATTTACCCTGGGATCAAGAGGATACGCGACCCGCAGCATCGGGTAGCGTCGCTTACAGTGTTGTACTGCGTTCCCAAGCGAAAAGTTATTAAACAATTTAGCAATCCTTAATGTAGAGTGAGACATACTATGTTGTTTCATAAAAGTTTGACGAATTGTAAAGATATAACTAAAAAAGAAGTTCATTCCGTGATTCCTTGGTAAGCTCTTTCATTTGAAATTTTAAATGTGCAATTTTTTTTTAGGGCGGAATATTTTTAACCTTTTTGAAAATCGATAATTAAACAGCAGGTACATAATTTTTTATTCGATTTATTTATTTTGCAAAGTAAATATTATACAATACAAAAGTTCATGATTCTAAAACTTCAAGTCGTCTTTCCAATCATCACAGTTAGCTCTGCCTTTTTCAGAAAGGCACAACATCAGATTCTTGGAGAACTCGCATTTGTCATCAGAGTTTTCTGCAATTAAGAAATATTTTACTCCCAGTACTCGTAAAATACATTTCAACGAAATATAAGTATAATCCTTTTTATTTAAGTATGAATAGAACTTACACAGCCGTTTAGTGTGACAGCAAATCTGCCGTGGCTTCAAAATTAATACATTTTAAAATATATTTTATTATTATTATTTAAGCTATAATACAATGGATGCACGGATGGCGTAGTGGTTTAAGCGGTCGCCACGCCGCTTCCTACTACGCCGAGTGTTGTGGGTTCAAACCCCACATGGGACGACACTTTGTGTGATCCACAAATTGTTGTTCCAAGTCTGGGTGTTATTTGTGTCCGTTTCATGTATGTTTGTAAAGTCCCCCACGACACAGGATATTTTCCTAATGCGGGAGTTGTCTTTTTAAAAACAAAAAAAAAAAAAAAAAAACTTAATCAGTGGGCTCGTTCTATTTTTTCTCTTTTATATGTTTCAACTCTAATTAAAATTATATCTCGGATCAATTGTCTTTAATTAGCTCAATGTTAGGTCTCGTACTAAATGTTAGTCTCTTTACATCAGTTTATATCCATTGTTGTTAAAATAAAGAAATATGTTCATTTAGCCTCCTTATGATTCCTGCATTACAGGCGTTCACGGGCAGCGGTAGTGACTTTCCATCAGGTGAACCATCTGCTCGTATGTATACCTATCATAAAAAAGTATATTACAACTTATATGGCTACTTTTGTTATAACTGGTTAAAACTACACACCATTATCCAGAATTTGGAAACACTCCTCAATAGATTCCTGCAAGAAATCTCTTAGGTCTTCATTCTTTACATCCTTAGTGATAGCGTGTGTCACCATATACCTGTCTGGCATGCCGTCCTCCCCTGTCTGTAAAGTTTATACTGTCAACTGCCTTTAACGACTGATAGATGAAATGGAGTTGGGTATTAAAAAAATGCAATCAGTGCTGTACTTTTGCTGTGCCATGAAAAATATTTTTTTTATCTTGTCCGTGTGTCTTGTAGTTTAATACACCACCGGATAATAAAAAACAGTCAACAGTTCACCATCAATACTATGAGCGTACCCAGCATCTACTTAGGGGTGAGGCAAAATTAAGTAAACTAGATAAATGATTGGAATTTAATACACTATTGACTTCTCAACTTATTACTATAAAGTACTAAAATACCTTTCGAGTCTGGTTCTAACTGGACTATTATTTTTATGTTTTGATATTTTAATCAAAACGTTCATTAAGATTGTGCATTTTTTTTCTTTTTTTTTGCTATGCTAAAACTCCGACACGTTATTGGTTTATTGTCTTTTGATAATATCATTATACAGCCAAAAACATTTCTGGAGTTAATTATTATTGGTGTTACACCGGCATTTAACACATTCCTACATTTCCAAAAGTCAATCACTTGGTAATAATGACAACAACTGTGGTAGACGGGGAAACTGGTCCTCAGGGGCGATCGGCAGACTCACCATCCACCTACCAGCTCATAGTGTTGCTTGACGAGGTGTGTAAATTCTTTAAAAGAGTGATTGCAAAGCAACTCTCCAGAGTGGGGCTGGATCGTGCAGACTACCAGTACGGTTTCCGTTAAGCGCTCTCCACCTAGGAGACGATCCTGCGCGCTATCCTCAGACATGACCAGCGCGTTCAAGCAGGACCGGGTGTTTTGTGAATTTAAAATCACGAAAACTCAAACTCAAATATCTTTATTTCATCAAAATTTTAAAATTATTCAAAATAAAAATATTTTAGAAAAAAAACGGGTGTAAGTCAGGGTGCTGGCCCCATCCTCCAACCTGACTTACACCTGTTTTACAGCCTCAACTAGCCCTACTGTGGGTACGCTCATGATCAATTCCACTTATTATGGCAAAAATTCCTTTATCATACATTATAATTATATAATATATGGTGATAATGAGTTGGACAGCGAAAGTCGTAATTTAAAATGATTAACTAGTCTGCTTTAGAATGTATTCCTGTCTAATTACTGTATTTTCAAAATAAAAGGGCCGAAAATACGAAAACGCGTTTTAAAATTGGATTTGGACAGAAGTATCTACCTTATGACCTGTAAAAAAAATTAAGCTTAGGCTTCATAACAAATGTTTATAATTTACATCCATGCGGTGGAGACTGAAAATAGAAGCTAATATTTCATAAAATCATAGTGCGTTTCGTCATGATGATGATTAAAGATTTATGTACTCACCATATCCAAATTCTCCATAAAGCAATGTAGCGCACAAGCTTTATTGTCCATTTCCTTACTAGAATTATTCTCGGTAGAATTTTTCTCATCACTTCTAAAATTATCTTCGTAAAGCTTAATCTTATGGGTATTTGGATTATATTGACTTCTTTGTCCAGAGTTTTCTGGCCGTTTTTCGCGTTTATACCTTTTTGGTGATGTAGTGGAATGATGATTGCTATATTGGGACATTCCCTGATAGAAATATTTCATATATATTTACTTAAAATATTGAAAATAAACAAAATTGCTTTTCTGCATACTATTGCATATATATAGTACGTATATATATATTTATATACATATACGTACTTACAAACATTATTGAAATAAGACTAAATAGATATACGATTTAGACTGGAATGACATCCTTGTTCTGATCAGGGAAAAATTATTAGCTGAAATTAAATTCCAATAGACCACGACACGGGCAGTGCTTGACCTAAATATACAATTAACAGTGCTAAGTACGATTGTATAAAACTCACAGTTCCGTATTCTCCACTTTGAGGGAAATCTTCTCTTCTATTAAAATACTCATTCTGATCATATCTTTCGTCACGACTATTATCAGTATTGCCATATCTATCCTTTCGTTCCCCCATTCTGTCACTATAACCTATTCTATCGCTACTACTACCCATTTTATCACTAGAACTACCCGACCTATCACTGTTAAAACCCATCTTACCACTTTTACTCCCCATCCTATCATTGTTACCACCCATTCGATCTCCATTGTTACCCATCATGTCGTCTCTAGTATTCATTTTGTCCCTACTGCTCATTCTATCATCTCTATTATTCCTATTTTCCTTATTGCCCATTCGACCTCTTTCCCAGTTGTTACTGTGAAGTTGACTTCGAGATTCCTTCCAGTCTTGCTCGGAATTCCCTTTGGTAGAATTGTTGCCCTCTTGTTGCATCTTTAAGCACTTTTTGTAAATGTTCTTCAACTCAGCTTCTTTAGGACCACCGTCAGATCGACAGTTTAAAGCCTATTGATGATAAATTTTTGTTTAGTTAATGAGGTACTTAGCCGCTCAGACTATTAACTAAAGCTCATAAGTATAAATGTGTTACTGAGAATTGGAATCTATTTTCAGAACTCCAACGTCAGTACTCCAGAACGTAATTATCCAACCAGGAACCTTTAACGACATAATCAATTTGAGATAATTGTCCACTGATATGACATAATTACAAAAAAAACTACGCAGGACTACAACACTTCAAAGAGAAGAAAAACTTGAAACAAACCCTATACCACCACGCTGGCCAGCAGCGTGATATAGTATGCCAAAACCTCCTTCTAAGGAGACGCCTATGTTCAGCATATAAACTACTAAACGCTGTTGATGATGATGATTACATAATAAAGAAAAGTATACTACTAATGAAATATTCTAATCTGTGTGTACTCACATAGCATTCCATGATTAGGCAAAATATCAACACATAATACTTGACGAGGCACATTGTCATTGTAGCTCGCAGACCAACAATACTGTGTGGTGGTCATGGTATACATGGTTTTATATCATAACGGCTTCCATGCTTCAATACTCACAACACAAAGCACCCCACATCAAATATGACTAATTGCTTTGTGACGAGCGTAAAGCACAGGTGACAAAAAGAGCAATGTTTTCAATTAAATGCCGCAACATATAACATGGTTTAAGTTGATCTTGATAGTCGCTACACACCGTTAGTCGTTGAGACATACTAACTAACTGTAAGGTCTTGTGAACTAGAGAACTCATTTGGGTTTTGGTTGAACCAGTTTTACTTCAATACCGATATTCCCGAGTATTTTTTATCGTTATGCCTCCGTGACAGAAACATATAGCGATGTTCCATGATTAAACAAGATGACCATACAAACGCATAGCTCGTTAGTGGTATATCCATGCATATGAAGTTTAGGCGTCTAAATACTTCGTTACCCACCCTGCGCTAATTGGTACTTAAATGAAGAAATTATAACTCAACTCAACTCAAACTCTCTTTATTTCATAAAAAATTTAAAATTGTTTGAAATCGTCCCTCATGTAGATTCCAAAGTCACAGATCAACACACACAAAAGCAACAATCTCTGTTTTGTCAAATAGTAAGCTAATAAATTTAACAAAAATCAAACCCATACAAAATCTATGATATGCCTGGGCCGATCTACAACCGCCCGTTTTCAAGGAGTTGAGCCTTATGAGAAGAAAGGGCAAACAAACTCATGGACACTCTTTAGCAATTCACAGATAGATACAATGGCACTATTAAATATACCACAACATTGTTTTGATGTGTGCCAGTATTTATAATAATAATTACTTGACTTTTATTTTATTAATATTATGTCAGGTATCTATTTTTATAATATTATGTATGTCATGTGTCTGCTCCAATGTTCGGTAGGTACTTCGGTTTAGTACAGTTAAGCATATTTTATAGGTAGGTACTATATTAAAGGAAATGTAGGCTCGATGAAACAAACAAAGCTATCAACTACCAAAACTATGTGTGAAATGTGTTGCATACCTAATATAGAAGATTTCTTGAGGTAAATTATTTTATTTGTAGTCTTAATGAGGAATCATACGAATTGGACGAATGATGATTATTTTCCAATCACCGAAAGCAAACTGCAAAAAATACTCGCATTTTTCCTATGAAACAGTCATGGCCATTAACCATGTTCCATCTGCCTACAGGATAGGATTGTACCAAAACATCCTATTCTGTATGTTTCAGAATAATATCAAACAATGGTCATCAGCCATCAGTCACGGCTGTCACATCATGTCAGATGCCCATCACTCTATAGGAAGTACGTGAGCACGGCCAGTGCCCGTAATTGCAGGAACACTGTGTCTAATCGGAAATTGCAAATCCCCTGATATACTCGTTTGGGTTGGCAATTTTTTATACTCAGCGATCATTTATTTTTGTTAGCTGTCTCGTTTAGATCATACGTTTAGGATTACATTATACTTAGTATTAAGAATAATGGTCATGGTAACGTGATTGACCACTTATGCACTTACGACGTTAATAAATAGCGGAAGTATATATTAGCCTTATTCATATACGACGTTACGACTCAAAGTTAAGTCGAAATCTGCCCAAAGGAAGATTTCGATTTAAATTTGAGTAACCAGGCTATTGAACCTAATACGAATATTACTGCGGTTATATGCGAATAATGCGCATTACTACTAAATATAATTACTACGCATATTAAATGGAATCAGAGATTTTTTTCATTGAGAAAAATTAAGTACTTTTTTGAGATTCCCCTGAAAACCTGTACTCTGGAATTCAAACAGATACCAAATCAGATCCAAGGTAAGCGACGGGATTAGTCGACCTGAGAGCATATTTATTTATCTTACTCACGTCCAGTAAATAATTGAAGTCGACGTCTGCGCTTTAAATGATAAATGATAGTTATTTCTGTAAGTAAATCTTTTAAAATATTTTTACAAGTCGAACTTTATAGCTAGAAGGAGCCGGCATTTCCTAAGACTCACTCTGGGAAGAAACGCCGAAACAAACCACAGAGGTGTCTTTTTTTTAAGTCCGTAACAGTATGGGGTCTGGGTAGGCCTCTTGAGGAAAGGACCATAGTTTTGAGTCAGCCTGTCCATACAGACGGTTTCATCGGACATTGTTCGGTAAGAATTAAGAAAGAATTGCACTTTACAGCATGAAGAAGAATTGCGACGTTTCTGCCGCCCGAAGCAGCTAGAAGTCGAAATGTACTGGACTAAACTTCGTGAAGTGTACAATTCTTATTTGGAAGAGCATAACCCCATCATGAACCATTATCAAAGTTTGAAGGAAAAAGATGAGTTTTACCAGAAAGAAATAGCGAAGAACGATATGCAAATACAATTGGCTACGGTAAAATAATATTACTTCTTACTTAATTGATTATACACAGTTGAATGTAAGTCAGTTTAGTTGTGTAATGTAGAATATTTCTCGCACATTGAAAAGTAGAATTTGCAGAGGAACTAGGGTTTGATAATGTTTTTTTAAACAGAAATAATTAAGGAAGCTTTTAGACAACTAACTTGGATTTTACGGTATTAACCATACTAGAAAGTTTGAAGGAATGAATTTATGAACACCAATGAGGTTATTATGCCTAAATATATTGAAAATGGGAACTGTCCAAGAGGTATAATAATATGTCCTTAAAGAACCAGCATTACAAAGAGATAATGATAATAGCGGGCACATCAAGTATCATGGTCATGATAAAACACCTGATTATTGTTCCGAATAACTTCCTTCAATGAATATTTGCAGTGTCACACAAACATTACTACGCAAATACGCAAAATAATGGTTACATAGGTAGATACATTTTTGGCGGAGACACTTGTCAACCTTGATAAAAGGCACCGGAACTACGCCTTCTATGAGTTCTACATACCTACATTGCACAACAAGTAGACTACATTAAAGCTAGGATGTTACTTACTCAATAAACAAACTTTCTTATATAAAAATGAGGTAAGACTAGAAGAGCTTGAGATTGCAGCTTTTTGGCTTCATTCGGTAAAAGAACCAACTTTTTTCATCTCTCGGAAACAATACTTTTACACAACACACACACACAACACTTCTATCCCTATGTACTTTTGTGTGCCCCGTTTCTACTCAAAAAATTCATCATGACTGGTTGAGTAATTAATTCTTAAAAGTCTACTAAACAAAAACCAAAATCGCCTTTATAAATATTAGTAAAGACACCTGTATTCGGATTAGTATAAGGCTGTTTCGTAGTAACGTCACCTTTGCTTCGAGAAAAAAAAAAACGACTTTGTATCTTTTGTGTTTTCTGTCTAAGTATTTGTTTGAACTGTTATCAGTTTATGAATTAAAACATTATGCAACTCTAACATCCACGAACATTATTAGTATTGGTAGGTATACCTATCACTTCCAGAATGTATGTTTGGATGACAATCCAGAATGTATGTTTCTATGCAATGATGAATAAGCATAATAACTATAGAAGGTACATAGATATGTCTGTTGGCAAGTATTTTTTTTATTGTGATTCGCATTTCATCAATTTAGGTTCATACAAAACTTTAGTCATATAAAAGTACCAAAATAAAAATAAAATGGTACTAAAATAAAATACTACTTTTGTCGCCTACAGGAAAACCTGTTAAATCTCCAACAAGAATGGCAACGTACAACGACCACCTCAACGGACAAGCTAAAACGTATGTCTAAACGTAAAGAAGAACTATCGCGGCAGTGCATGCAGATTAAGAAAGACTCCAAAGCTGAGAGAAGCAAGCACAATCACCAACTTACCGTTATGGTGAACGCTAGCCAGGACGCTGTTCAGGTATCTAATACCTATATTGTTTACGTAGAGAAGTGACGAATTCTGTTTTAAATTACTCTTCAGTATGTCGAACAATGGATTATATGAACAATATTATGAACTGGATGCGAGAATTTGAAAATCAATCTAAGGGGCGTGCAATGGGAGAAGCCTATGTCCAGTAGTGGACTGCGATAGTCTGATGATGATGATGTCGAACAATCTGACTGAAAATAACATCAATATCAATAAATTGGTAAAAAAATCGTGTTTTCATCATTTAAACATTTTCAGCGCCTTGAAGCAGCAAATGAAACGTTAAATAAAGCTCTACAAATGGCGGAAATATGCAGCAAATACGAGCATGAGGGTGACGACTTAGTTAAGGATGTGGACAACGAGATTGAATCGGTAGACTTCGAGAACCTCGATGGAGATATGATCGTATGTAATTACCATCTTAAACATTATACCAATTCGTACACTTTGTACGAATTGGTATCCATTCCATTCTTCTATTTTGAACTTTACCAAGGAAGTGTTGAATTAAATAATAGGTACTTTGATAACAGCATATTGCCCCTTTAACAACTTTCTAGTCTTAAGTCACGACAGAAATCATTACTTTCTGTACATTACACGATATTTTAAGATGTCACTTCTGAGTATAGGTAAGACCTTAAAATATTTGCAACAGATTTTTGTTTTGGACTTTTAATGGCATAATAGTTACAATGATAAATTCCTAATGATAAGTGTGCTAATAGACAGCTTCAGCCTTACTTTCATGATCATTTGTGGTAGACAAGCACTAAACCGCCACAGTTGCTCGTTAAAATTTAAATGAAGCACTGCGTCTGTCTTACTGTAAACAATTGCTATCCATCTGAACGTGTAATGTCCTCGTAACCCGAAGGACCACTGTGACCAGGACAGTGAACTATTAATGATCTGAACTTAAATAACATAGAACCGATTTTTCTTTGAACCAAGAACGAATGCAAGCAGTACAACAAAATGAACAAGTTCCTGATGAAAGTGAACCGCGCTAGGGTGCAAACGATGTGCCTGAAGACTGAGAAGTCCAAACTGGTTAAGGAAAACGATCAGCTGAAACACTATATCAAACGTTACTTGACGGAGCTGGCTCTCAAGGGCAAGGACCGCCCCTTAAGTATGAAAATACGCTCGGAGGTGCAGAAAATTGATTCCAAGATTTTGTACGTATTGGAGCTTAATATCTATTCCTGTGTGTGTTTAATCTACTAACGTGTAACGGTAATTGTTTTTATTGTTGGATTTTATAATTGAATATAAAGAAATAAACAGAAAGTTATCTGTATCTAAATTTCAAGCTACATCAAATGGATTGGATTAATTATATCCAATTACACGTCATCAACCTACACACTAGATAAACGATTGTTTAGGGTGTGTAGGTATATCAAATCAGAGTATTGCTCAGTCTCCAATGGTATACACCCAGTTGATTTTTGTGTCATGGTAATCTTTATTTAAATTCAAAATTTCTATTTTTAAAACTAAGAACCTAGCAAAGACTTTCCACATTACAGATTAAGAGATATGTATGGTCCACCTAACGTATGTTTGTCAAAGTCGGACAGATCCGACATCTGCTCTGACCTCTGTCTGTTAAACTTTCCAGGCGTCCTGTCACGTGCATAGAGGGTGCACTTTCCAACGCAGTGCAACATGAGAAACGACTTAAGGATCTGGAGAAACGCCAGAAACATTTGGAAATTAGAGCCTACCCGCGAGTGCAGTGTTGGACTTAGTCTATATTATTAGTCCCTTACAAGTTACGACTGCTAAGAGAGCTGGTACCTATATATTATTTAAGCTTAAATTTATAGTGCCAAGGTCAACTAATGAAAGAAGCGAGGTTAATCTCACATCAATGGTGGACCAAATTGTACCAACACATATGTGTATAAAGTTGTTTTCTTTTTTGCATTAAAAATATAACATAATATACCTATTTAAAAATTCTTGTTTTAATTCAATTATACATTTCAAATTATATTAGTTAACAATTGGAATTTAACAGCGCGGTTCACGCTCTGAGTCGATGGCAGCGAGACTGAAAAATGTGTAACAATACTTTTTTCCGACACTTCTTGCGGAACTTCATTCCGATCGGGGTTCCATAGACCCCTCACGTCGTTTTTTAGAAGTCGCACATTATTGATTAGATTAAGGTATATGTAATTTCAAGGTGATGCCCGCTCATGCATTTTAAGGCTGGTTACGTAGGAAGGTACCAGGGGTTTTAATCGGTTCCATTCCGACACACACTGCCCCACCGCCAGCTTTGGTGGCGTTCTCCACACGTTGGCCACCAAATAGTGTATCAATTTTTTTGTCCATTATGTGAGATTAGTTTATTCTATAAAGGTAACAAATCATCTGGTAACAATAAATTACTGTTTACTTAATTTTTCTAAATTCCTTATTTTTAACTTACTTTACACTGTAAACATGGTTCCTAGTGCAATGAACATTTTTAGATTTTTAGCCACTGTGACTCGGTTGTTAGTTGAGGTACATGCCTGTTTTCTTTTGTAAATAAAAACCTATCTTAAAAACTGACTATATGAGTCATTGTAACCACTATTTATGTGAAGTGCTCTTTATATACATGTCCTTTAAATTATTGGTGACATCACATCATGTAAATTTGATTGAGATGCATCTAGTTTTTTTTTTTATTTAACATATAACAAAGCAATTTACAATTCTTAATTTTATAATAGTGCAAATGAAAACCACTGAGGTTTGTAAAAATGCAACAGATGCTACATCAAGTGAGGTTGATAAAAATTAACACCATACAGTAAAAATATATGCATCACTATGTAGGTAGGTACTTTTAAAATAATTATATTATCTAAGCGTATGGGAGCAGAAGGGTGAAGTGAACTCCGAGTCAGGCAAGGAGAGGAAGAGGGATTACTTACAAACATGAGTAGGCCATGTTTTCCAAAAAGAATTCCTTAAAATTATGTTTGATATTTTTTTCGTTTAGGCATTTATTTATATCGGAGGGGAGTTTATTAATTAATCCTGGTACTATGTCTCGTGTTGTTCTCTCACCGAACAGCACATGCCATTTGCAACCGGCAAAATACCCAATTTAATGTTAACTTGTATGTCGCCCGGAACATACTGCTACTTGTCGTTTTATGTATGTTTGCAAATACTTCTCTGTATATTTTTGTTTTTCTTTAGTTAGGTTACCATGGTATAAGCTCTGCCTAGTTTTGGATCAGACAGCTTAGTGTGAGGGATTTTAAATTATTATTATTAGGTATCAGGATACAGTAGGCCAAAACCTTCTTTCTAAGGAGAGGCCTATGTCCAGCAGCCGACGATTAAAGGCTGTTGATGATGATGATTAGGATATAGGTAAGTATTGATGTCTCAGAATTAAAAGAATTTTTTTTTAAAGATAATGGAAGATAAATTTATTCATACTATTTACATTATAACCGAATTGAAACAGAGCCTAAAACTTTAACATTATTACACATAAGCTTTGAACTGCGGTAAATAAAAAATAGAAGAAACATTTCTAAAGTGACCTAATAATTTTAATGTACTTTAACAAATATTACTCTGTTTCTAATTGATTGCATGGCTGCCAGTAAAAACAGCATACTCTTTCTCTCTTAAGTAAATTATATCAAATTACTTAATCTGATAATGGAATGAGGTTATATAAAATTAATACATCCAATAAAACTGTTTCTAACCTAACGGAAAATTTGATATAACCTTAAAAGTTTCCTTCCATAGGCACAACTCCAGCCATAGCATTTGACGAATTATCGTCTCCTAAATTCCAAGGGTCATCCAGCGCTGCTAACAGTCTCGCCAAGCCCTTATGACCTTCGGTATCAATATTTTTTGTCATATCCTCATTAAATGGCACATATTCGTCACACAAAACACTTTTTCCTTGCGACACACCATAAATCTCATACCAGCCCTCTAAGGGCTCATTTAAAGGTCTCTTAAGCCTAATGAGAACTTCCTGATCATCCACGGTTTTTACGTAAAATCCTTCACTGGCAGTGACTCTGGTGACTTTGCCCCATAATGTTATTTTCACGCCATTTTTCTGGGCTAAATTACCGGCTGTCACATATGGAACGAATACGTCGTTGTCCGGATACTGGTTGTCTTCGAAATCGTCGTGGTCCCCCATTGTAAAGAATATATATATTAGTTCTATCTTAAGATTATAAACTTTTCAAAAACTATCTTTCGTTACAAACAGTTACAAAACAAATAAGTTGTTGCTAACAAGCGAACTTGCATGACAATCATGACATGACAATATTGACAATTCAACTGTTGAATTGTCAATATTGTCATGTCATGATTGTCATCGTTGAATGATCATCGAGCATCCCTATTGTTGAATTTCAACAATAGGGATGCTCGATGATCATTGATTTTCGATGATCATTGATGTTAAAAGATAAAACATTGATGTTTTAGCATCAATTTTGCATTAAACAAAACATCGTAACATCGATGTCACGGACAGATAATCGAAATTTCGTCGCGGACACACATCACATCACATCATCACATCAACAGCCTTTAATAGTCCACTGCTGGACATAGGCCTCTCCTTAGAAAGGAGGTTTTGGCCTAATATACCACGCTGGCCAGAAGAGTTGGTATAGGGTTGCTGGTTGTCCTGCGTTAGCTCCATTAGTCGCCTCTTACGACACCCACGGGATGAATAGGGGTGGTGACACTCCGTATTCTTAACCCGTCACATAATCGCATAATCGCACAATCTCACACACACATAATCGAAATCTATCATTTTTATGAGGACGCAATGGTATCAGCATGATTGGGAGTGTATGAGTTAACAGAATCGCATACCGCTGAATATATTGCAAGGGTTGTCTGATAGATACAAATAAAGTATTGGCAGTGGTGACTGATGGTCTAGCAAAAGTAGTGAACTACTTTTGCTAGACCATCAGTCACCACTGGCCAATACTTTACTTACGTTATTGATATTGCGTTTGACAAAAAAGTCCGTCATTTCTTGAGCCCACTTGCGCTTGATTGCAGGCTTGCTTTAAATGCTTTAAATGAAAGAGAAAATGCAAGAGGTATGCGGAGAAAGCTTTGTTACCAGCAGCAAAAGTTATTCCTTTAACGGGAATGCTAAATTTGTAAATCGACGGTCTGCACCCCAAAACACGTTGAATTAAAAAAATGCATGATTTTTTTATTCAATTTTATGGTAAAATAATACGATTTTATAAATATTACGATTTTATGGTCGTTTTATCGAGTATCGATGTTCTGCTATCGATGCCAACATCAATGTTTTTACAAAATCGACCACCCCTATTCAACAATTGACTGAAATTGACACGTTTTTAACAAAGTTGCCAGGACAAACTTTTCAAATTAGCATCCATAACCTTTTATTTTAGACGAGTAAACTTGCCATGTTTGTCCATTTTTTTAAAATATGGGATTATTACAATGAATACTACTTATTCGTATCTACATTTATTTTAGTTGAATTTGAGGAATTAAAGCGTTTTGCAATTGTTGCATGGCAATTGGACATTGATCACGGCTTGGCAAAACCATCGAACGGTGAAGTCGTGCTCTCAATACACATCTTAGAGCGGGGTGTCCGCTTCGGAAGCCTTTATCCTGTATTTGCAACAAAAGAGACACTGAACGCACTGGGTACAAAAATCTCATAGTCTCTAATACCCTACAGACTACCCACAATAGTTTCAGGTAACTGCATTACGATGATGCAGTAGACATTCAACTGTAAAGAATAACAGTGGAACCTGTGGTGGAAATCTGATATTATAAATGCTTACAATTTTACTGCCCTGTGGAGAGAAGCACTCCTCTGGGTGATTCCTTCCTTTGGACTCGATCCTACACGGACCTTGTGACTTTTAAATTTCTGTTTGGCATTATCAACTTTTCCATGTTGCTTTATGAGACAATTAAGTCAAGGCAATTGTTTCAGTTAAATATGACAAAGGAATAATAATTTCTGATAGACTTTCCTTCAATCAGATTAACATGATTTGTTGGCACATAGTGTTCAAGATATTTACAGCTATCTGAATATCAGCGTTGTTACTCTTCTTTCACTACCCAAGCAGAAGGTACGTAAGTGGTGGGGAAGGTTTAGGCAAAAAGCGTAGTTTCGGAGACTTTGGTTCTATAAGTTCTAAGGATAAACGTGTATTATTGCAATGATTATTTTCACAATATCAATAAAAAGGCTTTCACGTGTGACGTAATTTCTTGTTGGCTCCAAATCGAAACAGCGATTATATAAATTACAGAATAAAACAGTATAATAGGTACTTACCAGTACCTAAGTCCAAACAGAAAATGAAACTTTATTCATGTTCATCAACATCATCAACAGCCTTTAATAGTCCACTGTTGGACATAGGCCTCTCCTTGGAAAGGAGGTTTTGGCCTACTATACCACACTGGCCAGACGGGTTGGTATAGGGTTTGTTTCAAGTTTTCCTTTTCTCTGCAGTGCTATTGTTCTGCGTAGTTTGTTCCCTTAGTCGGCTCTTACGACACCCACGGGATGAATTGGGGTGGGGACACTTTGTATTCTTAATCCGTCACCACACGGACAATTATTATTCATGTTAAGGGGTTTTAATTAATTATTTATGTAACAAAGTTGGAAGACTTATAGCTAAAATAACATTTTAGTAAAGCATTTAACAATGTGTCAGCCAATGACAAGTCTCCACTTAAGCCGCATTTTCACGTTACGAGTGGGCTTGGACCGAGTGCGCTCATACGAGCTTGCTCGTATAAGAGTGCATTCGGATTATAGTATATACACGTTACGAGTTTAATAGCAGCCGAGTATCATTTTATCTAGTTGTTTCATTGCACTACATTCATTTTCAAGATGTCCGATGATGACGATCTTCTACTAAGAGGTACAGAAATAGTGGCAGATATGTTAATTACTGAAGCACAAGAGCACCTAATAAGAAAGAAAAAAAGAAAGAAAAAATTTGGAAAATATGTTCTGAGACGTGACCAGCTGGGTGCTTCAAATAATTTTCTTCGTGAAGTGGAAATTGAAGATAAGGAGACTTTTGAAAACCATATGAAACTGAACAGCGAACAATTTGAGTATTTACTTCAAAAAGTAGCACTAAAAATACAAAAATCAGATACTGTAATGAGGGAAGCACTACCTGCTCGAGTTAAACTTCAAATAGTTTTGCGATATCTAGCTACTGGCGATTCTTTTCGCAGTTTAGAAAGTCACTTTCGCGTACCAAAATGCTCTATATCCTTGTCTTTACCTTCAGTACTAAATGCAATTTATGAAGCATTAATTGAATTTTTACAGGTCAGCATGATTAAGTATAAAAACTATTACTTTTTATTCTTTTTATTTAAATAGTAAGTACAAACTAAAATCCGTCTCAAATTATATTATAATAAATCTCTTAATAAAAAAATTATTAATTCTTCTGCTCGAGTAATAATTCCACCAATATTACGTATTGCCTCTTCTAACTCCACGGTATCCTATCTGGTATCGTAAGTCCTGATATATTTATATTATTAATAATGCGTTGTATTGCAGCATTTCGAGCGTCTTTATTTTTGTATAGATTTAGCTTCACATGCCACAACACTTCCTCCTCTTCGTAAAGCTCCACAAACCTCATAGTGTCACGTTCACTCCACTTTTTTTTTGTTGACGCCATTAAGTATGTTTACGTAAAATGATATGAGTGGACTCGAAAAAATAGAACCGCGTCCGAGTCCACTCTGATCGGTATCCGACGTCCGAGTGCACTCAGATGGCGTGTTTACACGATACGAGTTGCATCCGAGAGCACTCGGTCTGAGCCCACTCGAAACGTGAAGCGCTTTATAGACAAAATTATAACTGTATAAAGTTAGTGGACAGACAGGGTATCTTCAGCTTACGTTTTCTTAATAATTATAGAATACATATTAAATCTAACGAAAAATTAAAACAGTTAAATTACAAATATACAAAAACTTGGTTAAAATATAAATACACATTAATCATTACTAGGGATGGCATAAAATTACAGTCACATATGATAAATATGATTTAAAAATCAATTCATCACACCTGTGACTAATTTCCAAAACCACTGCTACTGAATTATTATTATTACGCGCAAGACTCTTGCAAAACGCAAAACTACTACTTTCTCCTTTTATAGATGATTAGTGTTAGAGCAATGTAATAGTATATTTTTCGCTTTTTTATTCATTTATTTAATAATGAATTTGTTTAAACGTACAAATAGATACTAAGAGTCAATCGAATAGATACTAGGAGACTTAGCGTATTTTATAACAAAATTAATTTAACCATTAACAAAATCCCATAACAATTGATATTACACCATATTACACGTATAGTATACAAAATAATGGCAGTTATTTACTGTACCAAAAATTAAATACATTACGTCTGGAGATACCATGAGCTCATAAAGTAAAAATTCCCTACGGGGCCTTATCTCAAAAAAGATAATAACGTACCTCACGGAGTTGCATATATAAAAAGGAGTTGGCCTGTCCAAACATTTATTCCCATTAAGATAATCCACATTACCTGTCGCTATGGTTGTGTCAAAAACGTTTCTATTTATACTCGTTTTGTGTTTGGCGCATCAGAGTTTAAGCAAACCTACTAGTGAAGGTAAGACATTATCGTTAATAACATTAGTGAGTAGTTCTGTACCTTATTTTTCTTAACCTAGGTTGTAGCTACTAATTCTAATTACTAACAATACTTACCGCTTGCAGATGGGCTAAGCGAGGGACGCGGAATTATTTCGACCATTTGGGATTGGATAACTTATCCCTTTACGTGGTGGAGTTCTACAGAACCCGAAAAACCAGTAACCGAACAACTAATCGGGTCAACTACAGCTAATCAAAACGATGTAGTGGAGACTTCAAATTCCAATATAACTGTATGGTGTAACGACCAAACTTGTACCACAATGAGATGTGACAAGACGGGGTGTAAGAATGTCACTTGTAATGTTTACGATACGAATGTAAAGGGAGAGTGCAGAGAGTACAACATATTAGTCGAAGAAGAACACGCGGTTCTTATGCCCACTGACGCTACGACAAAAGCGCCTGTGCACATTGAAACAACGGAAATGCTACAAGCAAGCTCTGAAAAGCCCTCCACTGACAAAGATAATGTTGTGGTTGAGCAACCGTTAGAGTTAGAAGCCATTATATCTTCGACAGTTAATCAGGATATCAAGGATCCTCAAAATTACGAAGAACGAAAGTAATTTGAAATTAAGGTAAGTGCACGTGTCGTTTACTAACACCCGTTATATCTACATATAAGAAACATATTAATAAAATGTTTATTTTACATAATATGATAATAATAATATATAGAATTGTATTATTGGCCGGATAAGATTAGTTTTAGGTAACTATGGTAATTTTATATCTTATATTTACATATTAGAACAATGTGATATTTTATGGGTGATGTACTTACATACGCTTTTATTGTTTTATTTTTACTAAACTTTATAAAAAATACTACCTACTACTAATATTTACTAATCTACTATGTTCGTACTATATTGCAGTTAGTAGATGACAGTTGGCAAATATACCTTTTTTGTCTGCATTTCTTAATTAGTCGCATTAACTCTATTTTCAAGTAGGTTTAGAATTAGTTCATGCCAAATGAATAGTTCGTTTACGCGCTGCGCGTTTAACTCCTTATTTATCTAACTAAACCACCATCATCTTTACATTTCAAATCAATATTAAGAGAGTTCTTTGTAAAAGTGTAGGTATTCTTTGATCTGATATAACAATATAGGTATTATAGCCGAATTTGATGACTAAAAACCGCCTTTTATTTTTCAGGAATAAAAGAACTAATAAACTTAGATTTAACATTTTTATCCTTTGAAGAATTAGATAAAGCTGTTAATAACATTATACACTCAATGCTCGTACAGTATACAACGACGCTTGTGAACAAACTAATAAAAAATTTAGATGTCAATTCAGTTTGTGTAGATGGAGTTTGTTATTACACCAGATGTCAAGAAAATAAATGCAAAACGCGTTATTGCAAGTTCAACATATTTACTAATGAAGAAAAATGCGGTCCAGTTACTCCAACCATAGACAATGTAGAAATTAACGTAGAAGACAATGAAGTTGTTCCATTATTAAAGAAAAGGATATCTTAAATAAATAAAATATTTAAAAAAGTATTAAACAAGTATTTTATTTGTGTTGAAACTACGTTAAGATTAACTCAATTATACTTAATTTGAAAGACTTTCCTTATCGCTAACGTAACGTCCTAAGATAAGGTAACTTAAGTTTGTAGATATCATTGTGTTAATAACTCAGTTACACAGAACAATATAGATAACGGCACAAATACCTGTAGTACTTAACTCATGATGCATTTAATTTTTTTTTCTTATTAATGAATTGGCATTCCTTAGGCCCTTTGGCTGTTAGTCATGTGGGTAAAATCTTTAGATATAACAAACATCCATTTTGCCAAACCTAACGTATTTTTTCAGAAATGTCAATTTTTAATTGAAATTACAATAAAGATCGACACAGGGTAACAAGATTTGATTTTGAGTGAGGTTTATAGTTAACATAGCTTGGTCTATTATAGATTTGATAGGACCAGTTAACCTGAGAAGCCTATTTGTAACTATTAGGTCATGCCCTATGCTACAGGGTTCTTCAGAGCTTTAAAAGATTAGCAACTAAAAGTTATGTTGCTTTTACAGTAGGCATACGTCGGTAGGTGTAAGTATCATGCAAGGCGATATGAAGGGATGTGGTCCAATTCGGGTCGTATAGTATCGTATGCAAGCGATCTGACATGGTGTTAACGGAATATCCAGATATCAAAAATACCAGAAGACTTACTTTTTCCGAAAAAAAAAGTATCCAAAATTTTTATAAGTGAAATAATAATTTGGCGGTGGCTACATGACCTGAGGTCGACTTCGTACGATTTCAAGTAGGTAATTAGAGCTTGTCGTGAGTCGTAACTACAATGAGACAAATAACACAGTAGTAGGGGAACCCCACAAGGGTTTCGGGATTTACTCGAGTGTGGCAGATTAACATAGGAGCAATACGTTACACCCCCTTGAGTACTTCCACCATACACGAGCCCTACATATAAGGCAGAGCATCTTTATTTTTTTACGTGTGGAAACCCCCTCGGTCCGTAACCCCTCCTCAAAAAAAACCGATGGTCAGAAATACTCGAGCGTGTAAGTTGGGTTAATTACATACACTAGCGATTTGAGCGTGATATAAGGCAGAAAGAAGGTCATAGTTCCAAAAAAAAACACATGACCTTGAAATTTTGAAGCAAACAATGCAAGAAATCTTATTTAAATTTTCGTTTTCGTGTATAGTCGTCATATTTTGTAAAAATACTAAAATATTTTTAACCGTCAGTTTTAAAATACCCTGCAAAATTTTCGACAGATTTTTGGCTAGCATAATAAATAGGCACATCAAGCTGAACCGTCGCGACTGTATTAAATCTAACATGATCGGGTATTTCGAAATGGTGATTTTTTGAATATGCAGTTTGCATTTTCAATAATTCGCTACGAGGTTGTGTCACTAAGATCGTCAGACCTTTCATTGGGAACATTTTTGGCATCCAAATAACATATATCCATAAAATATACCCCTTATATTTTTGAAAACCTGTACAAGCTTTTAACACCGCTAAAAGTGGAAACATTCATTCATTTATTTCAAATAACGGTCCCCATGACGCTCGAGTAAATCCCCATTTAGCATCATGGGCTCCCCTACTACAGGGGGATCCCTTGGACTGAAAATATAGCTCCCATTTTTCGTTGACATATATATATATATATATATGTCTAGTATTATCTTGAACTAAAGAAAGAACGAAAACAGGAACTGAGAAAAAATTACAACATAAACATGTTAAAAATAACAACCAACTCATAATTAATAAAAGTTTATTCTCACTTATTTACAATACTCTTACAAGCTAAGAACAAACAGCAGCTGCGAATTCACCAGTCCACGTATTACCAAAGGGGAGATGATTGTGCGACAGATGTTTTTGGAGCTGTTATAGGACACACTTATTAAATCCTGGGTGTTATCCCCAGCAAGCTATATTTGAGTACAACAAGTTAGGTTATATAATGGATAAGTTTTAGGACCTAAAGAATTCGGTTAACTTTAAAGTGGGAATAAAGTTCAAGTAATAAGCTGGAGCCTTGATAGGGATTTTGCCAGTGTGCTAGAACAGAGGTGGAAAAGTCGGGACTGGTGATACAGCGTGAATACCAGTGAATACACAGCTTAAATAAAGTAATTAAAGAACGTGACTATGCAAATAAGTCTTCTCTATCGGCAGCCAGCGTGGGTGCGGCGGCATCTTCCATAGCGGCGAAGTTCATGAAGTGAGCGGGCCGGTGCACCTCGTGGTAGAACTCGCGAGGGTTGCCTAGTTGGACGCCGTATTTCATATTCGGATCGTGACGGACACCTAAAAATATACGTTGCTATAATTTCTTACATTACAGTAACATAATGTATGTATGATTCAAAGTAAAAAATGTAGAAAGTAAGAAATTGTGTATTGGGTTCACTGCAAGGGGCAGTGGGTTTACCCTTGATATAAATATTTGAATCTACATTCAAAGCATTCATATCGACGCATTAGCCATGACGTTATTGCCACTTATATTACCCGAATTAGTCAAAAATACTTCTAAACTTAACAATTATATCAGTCTAATCAACTTACCCATGAAATTATAATTCCAGCTACCCTGCGAAGGTACCATGAAGTATCCCAAAAATCGGTCAGACAGCAGCATTTGTACCCTTTCGTAATGGCTGGGCAAGTATCCTTTGGGGTTATTGCCTCTGTCCGTGTTGCGTGCGCCCCACTCGTAACCGCTTGGCGTCAGTTTGTAGGCGGTTAGCGAACAAGAACCCGGTGTAAATGAACACGTTATGATGATAGTCTTCTCGCCATCCCACGATGAATTTTCGGCCATTATCTTCGCATGTGTTGTTATGTCCTGTAAGAAAAGCATTTTGCTAACTTTAACGGATCTGTTAGACACTAGGATTTAAAAAAAATGAATGTAGAACCTATTCTATGTGGTTGTGATCTGTTCAATTTTGCATTTAAAAAATGCATCCTGGCTAGGGAGTCATCTGCGTTAGCTTAATTTTTGTTTCTTATTGTTGAGTATAAAAGAATAGGAATTTTAATTTTTATTACCCTAAATACCTTCATGGTCTTATACTACTTGAATTTTTGACGTACCTGAGGCGATAGTTGAGGCAATTCATTTGGTTGAGTGTGCATCCATCCCAGCGGCTGTAAGTGTTGCAGAGCAGGGTGCTTGGGCAAATGTCGCGGTAAATGCACCTGTTGATGAGTGCCCCACTGCGGGGGAACCACTGCGCACTGCACTTCACGGACCATTGGATTGTCGGCTGGTGACGTGCCGTAGAGGTAGCACGCGATCTGTACAAAAAAGTTTCATTGAAACTGTTAAACGATGATGTATTTTAATACCGTAAAAACATGTGTGGAAACGAGAAACATTTGATATTAAAAAGTGCAGTCTTTTGAGACAGGAAAGCGTCTGTATTGTATATTCTACAGAGCTTTCACTGAATTATTCAGATAACAGTTTCTACAAGTTAATAATGGCTATTATAAATTTTATTACAAAAGTAAGAATATCATATAGGGCAGAGTACTAGTACTCAACAGTGGGATAACTTCAGTAGGAAAGATTTAAACAGCATATGACATTAAACAGACTTCAATAGTAGCAAAATACTGTACTAGAACAAATCTAGCTTCGGAGATAAAACCCCCACATCTAGGTTTTAGTAAGCAAAAGAAATTGAAGATAAATGTAGAAACTGACCTGCGCTCGTAAGTCAGAGATAGTGACAAACTTCTTGAGCAAGTTTTTGGGGAGGATATAAGTATAGCCGCTCTCCTTGATGTCGTCTGAGCTTACGTAAATGTGGTTTGTACGGAGATGTAAATTGGTGGCGGAAATAGCACGCACACGCCATTCAGTCTTCGAGCTGTAAAAATTTATTTATTTATTTAGGCATTAGTTACAACCATTCTTACAAGATATACCTAATACAATAGATGTAGGATATTGTTATCTATGGCAGCTTACACTAATTTACAACTATTAACACAATTGAGAAAACATGGCCTGTGTAATGTATTATATTAACTACTGCTTAAGTATATTGTTAAAATTATGATTATCTCTGCCTATATATATAATTAGCCTATTTACACCATTTCTTCACTACATATTTTAAAACACCAGATAGTATTTGGTTAAGGCCCTTGATGGTATTTTTATAATTAAAAAAAAATGCATTGGAGAAGAGATGCTTTAAGATATTATAGAAATTGCAACTGAATATAAAAGACCTACATTTTTTGCAGAAACCCTCAATACACAATGTTTATTATTTTTTAAATTAGTAATGCATTTAAAACAATATAAAATTTTCATATTTTTTTTTTAACTTTTAGTCCAGATATAATGGGAAATGCTCACCTGAAGGTCTGTGACTCATAATTGCTGGTAGTTGAGGTGATGATTTCATCACCGTGTTTGTTCACTGTTCTAGTTGTAGTTGCAGTAAGTTGGGACTGTTCTTTACTTTGCTTTTCAATCTCGGCGATCTGTTGACGTTGTGCGGAAGGTGCCGATATCTCCATACCAAGAATGATGTCACGGATTTCGGATTGTGTTAGGGAGGCGACGTTGACGCTACAAAGGAAAATAAAAGATGAAATATATATAAAAATATTGCGATATTAGACAATATGGTATCACTATTGAAATATAGACTCGCTAATAGCAACGTTGAATACTTTCGAGGCCTCATTATACTCATTTATTAGTATGTTTTAATCCCTTAAAACTACTACAGATATAGGTGGCGCGAGAAACTTTGAAAAAGGGCACTTACTTGTTTTTCTTGCCATAATCAGCGAGAATCAGGTCTTTGAGCTGCACCTCCACCTTGATCCAGTCATCGTCAGATAATGTTGGCCAAATGTGATGAGGCTCTGTCAATGTAGTCTTGTCTGGCTTGAGTAACACTTTGGTTCGTTCTGTATTTACGTGAAGTGCTCGTAATATAAGTATGAGACGACTGAATGCCTGAAACAAAAACAAATCTTTAGGATTTTTTTAAACGTAGAAGTTACGCACGTCATATGATTGATTCTGCGTCTATTCTTTTAAACCTTATATTTTGTAGCAGTATATGATCAGATAGCGTAGTATCAGACGCAGGCGCCGTGACGTCAGTGCGATCAGCAAGCGCCACGACTGCGCACGTCCCCAGAGCACAGAGATTCTCTGGTTTCAGGACCCCTACGCGGTTCATCACTTCATATAGTTTTAATAAAAATATAATTCTGTTTGTGCAAGAAAATTTCAATTACCCTTTAAATAGAATAACAAATACAGCATATAGTGCATGTTCTGCCGACAGTGAACTCCATCAATTTGCTGTATATTGCCAATTACACACATGTACAACACTTTATAATACTCACGGTATATGAGGAGATAGTCTTGAGCCAATCATCATACAAGTTGAACAATACCATTTGTGGCTCCGTCGCTTTTAGGATAAGATCACCGAACTTCTCTACTTTAAGACACGCCTGGAATGGCAGCTGCAGCTCTGAACCCTTAATCACGATATTAGGGAAGTCGAGCAAGTGAACCTAAAAGATAGAAATTTATTTAACTTCTAATGTACTTTTTTCGCAATTATTAGGTTAAAAAGTATGATTTCCCCTATAAGCATTTTATGTTTGAAAGGAATAGATTGGAATTCGAGCAAAAAGGCCAAGTAATAACTACATTTTCCAAAAAAAAATGCTACTACTGTGTGGTTTTGTCTTATTATTATAATATACTCACTTCAAGAGGATCCAACATTCCTTTCCTTGTTACAATAATCTGTTTAGGTTGCTCCTCCACTGGTAGTGAACGAATCAAAGCAGCTACTTCTTCAGCAGTCTTCCATTTGGCTAGCTAAATACCAACAAAAACCAAGTAAACTGAATGTAATGTGTGCAAAAGTACTTTCGTTTTATTTTTAAATTATTATTAATTCTATTATATACACCTCATACATAACAGGCCAAAACCTCCTTTCTAAGGAGAGGCTTATGTCCAGCAGTGGACTATTAAAGGCTGTTGATGATGATACATAACATAAATCTGACCCAAAAAAAATATAAAAAAATGAAATAATTAAAAAAAAAATTAGTTTCTTTCTCACTGTAATATTGTAATACCAATATTATTTCGACTATAACAAGCACAGAGTGAATCTCTAGCTGCCTGGTCATTTTTGTGGTATAGTGCTGATATGATCAGATAGCGTAGTATCAGACGCAGGCGCCGTGACGTCAGTGCGATCAGCAAGCGCCACGACTGCGCACGTCCCCAGAGCACAGAGATTCTCTGGTTTCAGGACCCCTACGCGGTTCATCACTTCATATCATACACAGAAGGAATTGGGACAAATTATTTTTTATTGGTAATTAGTAAATTTTGTTTTATGGTATATTTTAAGTTTTTAATAATGGCGACGTGAAACCACAATAGTTTATATATACGAAATAATCTCGGTTAGGTACCTGGCCAAGACGTTTTTGTCCCGCCCATACACTGGTGTGAATGATCTTTAAGAACAATTGTCCAGTACGAGGGTTGAAGATAAAGATGGCACCGTTGATTGGTTTAGTAGTCAAATTGCCTTCGAAAGTCTTGTGGATTGTCACTCGATATACGTTTGTGTCGTCGACGAACCTGTAGGAAATCGTATTGAGTTTTAAGTTACATAAAAAATTATGAAAAGGGAAACAAAGTAATGTGTATAATTTATACTCTCGATTGTCGGCACTTGGTGGAACTTGTTGAAACACATTATGAAATCAAACAAAGTGCTAGACTTATGTTCGACTGTTTAAGCAGTGAAATATAAGTACAAATGTTTTATTTCATAATGTTATGTGTACTTTTTTAAAATCTGGGGCAATCTATGTGATAGGAGTATTTAAACTCATACCTACTTTGAAACATCTGACTACAAATTGATACATCAGTACAGATAGAAAAGAGGTAACCCAAGTTAACTATTTCTGTTAATTATATGTCTTTTATAGCAAACGACGACTTTCTATGGATGACTGTGTAAGCTTTACTCACCAAATAATTTGATTAGAAAACAATTCGCCGTAATTCTGACTTGATAGATAAGGTTCAGTAGGCTCGGATGAATATAACTGCAATGCTTTACGGATACGTTCCCGCAATACATATAAAGCAGGGTTTGCCTTCATTATCTTAGCCATAGCTTGTTGAATAAGGGGCTTACAGCCAGGGAACCAGTTCCCGTACGCACTGAAAAGAAGTTCACATATCAAAACATGTTAAACTTTTATTTACAAAGGTATTATAATTTTGTTAATAACGTGAAACTAGTAGTTATCATTTTACATAAGAGACCATTTTTTAGCATTCCATGGATTCACCGTGCGGGTGCGGGGTCCATCGCTTGATAGATTTGGCAACACATGCGACTTCGACAGCGCCTGGGACTTGCGACCCAGGTATAGGTTTAGGGAGTACTTCTTGCGACGCGTCACCGCTCACCTCCACTGTCTGCTGTGTTACTCCCCCCCTTTACCTAACCATACTTGATATGAGCCCAGCAATGCCGCAGGTATTAATATTATACAATGTAATAGTTATAGAAACTGTGCGATTGCCTACCTGTGCAAGTTATAAGCCAAATCGATAGCAATAAGCAGTCCAGTGGGCGAGGGGTATATGGACATGTTATCAGTGGTGTAGTCCAAAAATTTAGCTCGGGCGTAACGTTCCACGTCGTGAGAATCGTAATCGCCCCAACGCAGTTGTATATCCAGCCAGTATTTTTGTGTTGTCGTGTTGTCCATTGTGTCTCTGTAAAGCGTAAAAGAAATTTATAAACTGGAAATAGAAAAAAAAATGTGCTAAAATTTGCTATAATTGAAGCAGTCATTTTTATTCGACCAAGAAATCATTTTTAAACATGGTATTTTTTTAATTACCTTTCCCGACAATCTGTTCATGATGGTACTATATGGTAAAGTACACGAAGAAGAAAGCTCATAGACTACCATTTCATTTAACTGCTATCATTATCTTCAGAATTCAAGGAGGGGCAGTCTATATTTAAAAAAATAATAATAAATGCAAATCTTACTTGGTGTCAGCTAATAATGAAGGCCTAGAAACATTCCACTTGTATGCAGAGAAGAGTAGAATGTCTGCGCACGATGAGTTCATTTTGTAAGATTTACGTGGGTGAATGGTTTCTTTTTGTACTGTCTCAATTTCCAACGCGTCCAGTTCTTGATCAAAGACCTGTGATTTGAATCGTTAATTTAGTAAATTTCATATTATTAAATATTGTATCCAATGATTAACTAAATCAAACTAGGATGGTTTACCTGACACAAATCCATGACGATAGACTCGTGAACCTTCTGCCACAAATGAGCTCTGAAGATTTGGATGAGAGATATCTTCAGTGTCGGGATTTTGCCGTGCATGAATATTCCCGTTAAATCCAGTTGCACCTGTATAGAAATGATTTGTATGACTACAATCAATATTATATTATATTAAAAAAAATGCCTTTAAATGACTACTTTTCGTTCATTTAGCAAGTGTTGTTAGCAAGTTAAGTAAGAGTACATTTAAAAAATTGTAAAAAGGCACACTGTACTTGCTGCCTTATTACACATAACAATTTAGTAATGTAGTAGTAATGTAATTTTTACAAACATAACAATTTAGTTTGGGCCTAACTTGCCAGCAACCGAACTGTGGTTGCCTATTTTAAACGTTAATAAACGCTTTAAAACTGCAGTTGAACAGAAATCGTATTGTGTCTTACCTGGAAACCAACATAGACGTTGGCTCTGTTGATCGTCGGTGACCACCAGAGCGTAAACCGACGGTTGGGGATTTGGTTTAAACCAGATCTTTGAGCGTTGGTTAGCTTCTTGTACTTCATCGATTCTTCGAAACCTGACGCTTTTTCCCTACACAAGCACAATGTAATTCCGCATTAATATAAGGTACTGTAAATACTTTTGGAAAATAAATCACTGCTTTGAGTATAATATCAAAGACCTTTTACATTATTAAACAACAATATCTTAAATTTATTAAATTCAATGTCTTTATTATAAATACACTTACCAGAACAGACCTTCCCATGTAGGGAAGTATGTGCCCTTGAAGAGTGTATGTTCGAGAATACCCTCGACTCCTCCAAGAGCCTGTATCATGTCTGTGCGGTAGTTGTTCAAATTCCACAGCTTGCCGTCGTGGCGTTGATGGGTCCACCAGAATGGATTTTGTTTTAACACCTAGTAGAGAAAGCATTACCGTGATTTCAGGTTAACTTCTAGGTAACTACATAACAATAGAGCTTTAATGGGTTTCATTAAAATAACGATTAAACCTCTTAAGTGGATGGACAATGTGAACATCTGATTTATTTGCAATGCTATTCAAATATCATACAAATAATTATTTCGTTGTTAAATATAATCTCTCCCCGAATTAAATTTATAAATATATAACTACTTATTTAAATACTATTTATACACAAACCTTAAAAAATAAAATAAATGGGATACTTTAAAATAATTTTACAAACATACCTGATACTGTTTAAACTCAGTACGAATACGCCATCCCTTATCGTAGGCGAGTGTATGTCTGTCTTTCTGGAACAGCGTGTTGATACGAGGAATACCTCGGTCCCAAGAATCTTCCAAATCTTCTAATGTTAGACGTCTATAACAAAAAAGGTATACACATCACCAAACTCGAAATGTAAATAGTATTTCCGTACAATATTTATTAGATATATTTGATCAGATAGCGTAGTATCAGACGCAGGCGCCGTGACGTCAGTGCGATCAGCAAGCGCCACGACTGCGCACGTCCCCAGAGCACAGAGATTCTCTGGTTTCAGGACCCCTACGCGGTTCGTCACTTTAATATGCTCACGTAGCATCAAAAAACGTTTAAGAAAACGTCACGAAAACGAAATATTACGTCATATCTGACCTGTTTTGTGCATTGGCCTCCTGTCTCTTGAGCGCGTACTCTGCCCAGACTCTCTGCGAGTCGACGAACTCCGCCTCCCATGGTTGTATGTAGCGGTACAAGTTGGGGATAAGTTGGTCCTCATCGTGGGACATACCTGAGCGGAAGTGAGTAATGGCTACATCCGTTTGTTTCGACCACCGAAGGTCGGACTGAAAATAAAAGAGTATGCTGAAAACAAATTATTTTTACAGTGTAGAAAATAGGGACAGCACGGAGACGCGCATAAAACTTGGCAGATTTATTACATTTTACATTTACAGTTAATATTTTATGTAAATTTTTAAAAAATATAAATTGTAGTAATCTAACCTATCAATTCCACTTTTGCATTAACAGCGTACCGTTGATGGGTAAAAGTTGGCAAATTTTCTGTAAGTAAAACATTCATAATATACAGTCATAGCATTTCTCACCTGTGGAATCAAAACATGTCCCATGGACAACATGCCGAGCCCGCCAAGTTCCTTCGGCGTATAGAACACCACGGGAGGGAAACGCGAAGGCATTTTTGAATTGAGACCGATCTTGATACGGGTTTGGATCTTGTTCTCACACTTAACGAGCAAGTCGAGCAGCTCTTGAGTGTTGACGACAGCTTCGCGGAAGTACGTCATAAGACCTGTTAAACAATACAGTGATAACCATTGTCTACTTCCGTGGTGCGGCGGTACTACATCCGACTGCCCCGAAAAATATTTGTGTGCATTTATTTGTGTTTAAATGTAAATAAAAACATGTTTATCCATATTGTAGAATCCATACCAGGGGTCTAGTGAGAGTTTATTTCACATCAACTCGACTGTCACGGTGACCGTGTTCGGCGTTGCGATTGGTCCACACTGAGATCTCACCAAAACCAATGAGTCGATGTGAAATAAACTCGCATTTCGCCCTCAGAAGCTTTGCTGTACGGTGTGACAGTATTACATAATGTTTTAGATATTATTTTTATATGGGGTTGTCAACATATACATTGTAATTTTTTATGATAGGTAGTCTTCAGTTAGTTATACGAACAGAATAGTATCATCTATCTATCCTCCAATGTGTTTTATAGACAAAAATATGAAATGTTCACTAACCAATAAGTGCTGTGTTCCACTTGTTAACGATTTTGGTGAAGGTGGTAGAGCCGGACGCCATGAGTATCTGCCGCACGCGGTTGTGAAAGCGCGCGAGCGACTCGTCGTCGACGCGCAGGTAGCACTGCGCTGTACGTTCTTTTGTCACTTCGTTCTGTAAGTTCCACACGCCGTCACGGTGGCACAGCTCCTCGTGCTGACTGCGACACTAAGGGAACAACGTAAATATATAGTTATTAATTAATATACGTGTAATTTTAAAGTTTTCATAAAAATCAAATACGAATATTCATCAACAAAAGAATAATAACAATTTTAATCAATGCTGATGATAAACAAATTGAGAAGATAGATGTTATTTGATGGTTCTATGTTTATTAAATGAAGGTTCTTGGCTAAACGAAAATCAATGTTTAAATTAAATGTGGTTGTTATTACTATATATTAATATCTTAGTAACATGCATATATTATGTATTGCATTTTATGAATGCAAGTGTAGGATTAACATTAATTTGTAAGCTCCACATTCACTAAGTTTAACGTTTCTCCTGCTAAAATGAGCATAAAGATAGATATAAATAGCAGTACGACCAGTTTGTTGTACATTTATAATATTTGTTTCAAGAAAACATAGATTTTTCTTAATTACTTTAATAAAATGGTTTTATTTTTAAGATTTTGAGAGACTTTTTAAGAGAAATTACACAGATTATGACTAATATATTTTATAGACAAAAAGAGAAACATCTTAAAAGAATATCCTGAAAGCTTCACTTACTTTGGGTAGAATTCGGCACTCAAACCCAGCCATATTAAACAGCAGATTCGGGTTATCCTTAGAATATACAGACACGAAGCTGTTCTCCCATTGAATTGTAGTTACGGATCGCGGGAGACGGTTCTTGATGTCCCAGAATACAGCTCGACCACTAGAGACAATTACAGTTTTATTAAAAACATCAATTCACTTATCTTTTAGAGCTTATTCTTTTTAAGAAAGCATGCAATTATCAATATACGCCCAAATAATACACAAAAGGGTTGATTTCTTGTAGTCATTTTTTACTTACAGATTTACATCATGCTTCATGAGACGCATCCTGGCATCTCTCGGCCAACACTTCTTGTTGTTGTATCCCACTATGTTTTCATTGTTAGGATCTGGATGTTCAGTCAAGTAACGCTGGATCAGATCACGAGCTTCTTCCGCCGAAAATCTGTAAAGTATTTCAGTATTGAATTTTTGTAAAGAAATTTATGAATATATTTGTGTTATTACAAGCTAAGTAATATTTTAATAGACAAACCTGAAGAAGATATGAATCCTGTCTACATATCGGCAGTACAATCTGATTGGGTGAGCAGACTCTGTTTGTCTGTCCTGATAAGACAAGAAGTCGTTGGGAAGCTGCGGTGGACCTGCCATCTCACTCGCACGTTGTAGACCGAGTACCAATAGATCTAGCACTAGACCGTAGTATTGGACAATGAAAGAGGCGAATTGTAAACCTCGAATTATCCCGTACGAGTTCGTGTGGTTCATATCCTGTGAAAATAAATGAAATTAACCTTAATTCACATGTAGAGAATTTTTTATTTGTAATTTACAAACTAGATTATTTTAAGGACATTTCCAAATAATTTTCATGTAATTCAAATAAGAATGTAAACTTTGATTTATGATAAAAGTGTATTTCTGTATTGTATTATTCCATATTTGCCTTAAAAAGATACATAGTTTTCTAGGAATTACACACTCATTTATATGAATATTTTTTCAGTTTTACTAAACAAAATTTCGTTGGGAAAATATACAAATATGGGTTGTTACGTTACCTTGTAGTTAATGATGACATTGTTCTTGGCAGTCATGTAATCAGCAATATTGTGGTCCACGATAAGACGCAGGAGTCGATTGAGCAATGTCAGATCAATCTTTTCATATAGTTTCTCGAAACGTGACTCTAGTAATACATTGCATTCCCCTTCACCCACCTCCCAAACATCTTGTAGGTTATTTATACCTGTAATAATTCCTTATATTAATATACCATTACAAAAGACAGTCTCCAACAAAAATAATATAAGGAGTAATGGCTGCGGTGGGCGAGGTAGTACTGCGCCCGCTGTTTGTTCTAACATTAACTCCAAGCTCCTGGATATGTTAAGCACTAGGCATTGGTAAGTCATAGAGTGTAGTTGTAGCTTGAGGGATGTTGCCGTTTTTGTATCTTGTTGTGATGATAGTGCAACCAACCAAGGTGAGGTTTGTAACAAGGGGATGATCAACAGGGTAGATCTCCTTTGCCACAACACACACCTTGGGCAGTTACTAAGCTTCTTTGTCGTCTGGTGTTACAATGCAGCCTTGATGGCAATTATTGCATTATTAGTCCTTCTACTGCCAAGTTTACTTGTTTTAGATAAGTTTAATTATAGAATTACGAATGCTTGACTAGTATAGAAACTTCGATGGATCAGTACATAATGTTTTAGATACAAAGGGTTAACTTTGACCATTTCAATCTAGGTAATTATAATGCTGGTAATAATCAATCATATAACAGTGATTAAAGAAATCTATACACATAGACTACACTAATAAATAAATAAGTAAGTTTTACCTTGACACCACTTATACACCAAGAGAGGCGAAGGTTCTGTATCAGCTGGTTTCACCCATGGAGGTAATAATCTACGTTTGTCAGCTTCATACCACAGGTATTGATCTAAGTAAGCATCTGTAATTTTCTCCAGTGGCTCTACGTCGTAAACAGGGACTAAGTGCGAGTAGAGATCCATGAACTCTATTCCAACCTAATATGTAAAACAAAACAAAATATTTTATGATTAATGCGAGGAAACAAAATAACAATGGCTTTATAATTGCATTATACATAAGAACTGCCACTTGCGTAGCTGTGTTACGGTATATATAAATACTACAATGAACTTAAATAATATAAGTAAGATGCTTTTGATCTATGTAATTTACACTATCACTGAAGAAATCTATTATTATAACTATTGCCAATCAAAAGTAAGGCAAAATACATAGTTACGGTCTTATACACAAACACGCGACGCGACTACTTACTTTGAAGTTAGAAAGTGTATAAAGTACTGATAAAAAGATCAAAAAATCTTAACCCACCTCTCTGAACGTCCTCTGCGTAAGCAAGTGTCGCTTTATTCTAGAAAGGGCCTCGTGAGGATTGTCATAAGCCTGTTCTATAAGTCCTAACTCTTCTCTCTGACTCTGGTTAAGTCTAGATTTGACACTGTAGGCTTCCTTCAATCTCTCCAAGGCTAAAATTAGCAGCTTAGTATCGTGTTTGTAGGACAGAGGCGGGAATGGTATAGGAGCGAACCGACGAGATTCTAGCCAATGCACCGTCGTCGTGTAGATTGCTACAGCTTCCTCAGGCGAGATGTATGGACCATCCTAATACAGTAAATTTGAGTTAGTATTAATATTATAACTAATTTTAATACAAAAATGCGGAGAATCTATTACAGACAATTCTAATTATGTATTATTTTATGAAATGCTCACCTTTAAATAGTTGTGTTGCCTCTCCTGTTCTGCTTTCAGATACAATCGTGTAAGTCGACCTAAGTTCTTCTTACAAACAGTCTTATCAACTGTAGCACCACGACGTATTCTCTCTCGATTATAGTGGGCAGTGTTCGTCCACCAATCAGCCTTCATTTTGACGTAGCGGAGAATCATATTTTCTATAGGAGTTGGTAGACCTGGCACCTGTTTAGTGAAAATAACAATTAAAATATAGAAACCTAAATCAATTTCGTTCAGTTTTTTTTATACAAATCTCTCATAAAAATGTTACAAAGGGCAATTCCAACCTAAAGTATTTTCTAAGTAATGTTTTTATTATTAGATTTAATGATAATTACAAAGATAAATAGATTACCTGTTTAATCAAGAAAGTAATACAAATTGAGAACCCGTTGATTCCATTACAATTTTAGATTAGTTAAATTGTGATTGTGTGAGGACAGTATAACAGCCATCACTTACCTTCCAAGGAATATTAGCTTTCCAACACCTCCAAGCTTCAGACAAATGCTGCAAGATAGTTCTAGCTTTGTTTTGCTTGATACCTTCAGGCATCATATCCACAATATCGTGCATGACAGAGGCTCGCAACTCCAAGTCGAAGTGGGACTCCACTCGCTGTTTCGTCACCGTTTTAGCGACACCTATTGAAGAGGATATTGTCATGAATAACATTCATCCATTTTAAAACAAATTAGTTTTCTGTTTCAATGTTAGACCTCTGATGTCTAATGTTGCTTAAGCAAATGAGTTTTTTAATACAATCTTGTTCGTGTGGTGATGGATTAAGAATATTGTCACTACCCATGAGTGTCATGAGTGTCGTAAGAGCCGCCTAAGGGAGCAAACTATGCAGGACAACAGCAGTGTAAAGAGAAGGAAAACTTGAAACAAACCCTATACCAAGCCATCTGGCCAGAATGGTATAGTAGGCCTATGTCCAATAGTGAACTATTAAAGGCTGTTGATGTGATTGTGTGAATACAATCTTGTTCAGCTTCATGGATCACATATTTCTTTAATTGTGATATTTGTAGTATTTTTGTTATTCCGTCGATTTTAGATAAAACGCTTGTGTAAGTTCTGATCGTGACTTGAACGAGTTCGACGCCTTAAGGGAATATATTTTTTTAAATTATTAGATACTCCATTAATGTATTGAGAAAACTGCTTGAGTAAAATAATAAATAATACACGATATGAATAGGTTTCTTCCTATGTTACTATGGTTAACCACCTGTTTAACCATACTGGTTGACTAGAGTAAGTAAATACACAATTGAGCTTAAACATATGTCTTGTAATGTAAATGTATCATGCTGGTCTTACCTTTTGAATGTCTTCCTTCAAACTGCCTCGACAGTAAATTGCCAAGCCAACGCTCCAACAACGGTGTAATACCTCTCATGAAGAACAACCACACTCGCCACCCTGGCGCCCAGATACCGCAACCTGGACCTTTCGATACTGGACCCTAGGATTCACATTAACTTTGTGTTATTCATGTTATATAAGGTTTTTATTAAGAACTAGTAAATAACGATGTCTACACACAAAACACACAGTTATACTTCCAAATTTAATTATGATATTTAAAAATATGTAGTTTTATCTCTGTTTAGAATACAAGTCACTTGTCACTCAAGGCGAGATAGAGGATCATGTCAATATACTGTCTACTTACTACTTTAGTAATAGATAAGTTTTTTTTTTTTTTTTTTTTTTTAAATCTTTATTTGATTCGGGGTTTTGATCCAGTAAGGATATGCCAACCCCATTGTACCTTGATACATGGTAAACACAAATAATTTTTGTTAAAACAGTCTGGTATATTAAATCATTGCTGAACTACTGTAATCAGGTGACACAATTTTTTAGCTGCTTCTGACCTTGGATAACTCATTATGCTTTGTATTAAACCCACATCTAATAAATTTATATTTAGTTCTTTGAGCAAAGCCTCGCGTTCATTTTTATTCCTGTCACAATCCATCAGCAAGTGTTGCACATCTTCTATTTTATTACAAACAGGACAATTAGGTGAGTCAGTTTTTTTCATTAAATGTGCAAATTTTGCTGATGGATAGTGACCAGATCTAATTCTAAGAGCTAGTTTCACATAGTGTCTGCTTAATCGAGCGTCATCAAACCATGCGACCTGAGGAGGCATTGCCTGAATGGTTTTGTACCAGATACCATTTTCCTTAGATCTATCGTTAAAATAAGTAACCCAGTCATCATAGCAGCATTTTTTAAATTTAGACACTAATTCCCAGTCATCAGGTAGATAATTTAGAGCGCTTCCATTTACAGCTGCCAGTTTAGCTATTCGGTCTGCCTGTTCGTTTCCCTTAAGACCAATATGTGCTGGAACCCATTGCAACCTTACATCTTTTTCACTTTTATTTAAGGAAATAATAGTTTTTAAGATTTCATAGGCTATCGAAGCACCTCTGAAGCCAGAAGCGCATCGAGCCATATGCTGCAGCGCACTCTTACTGTCCGAAAAAATTACAATTTTGTTTGAATTTAGATTTAGGTTTTTTACATAAGATAATGCCTGAAATATTGCAATCAGCTCCAGCGACATCATGCATGCCTCATAGTTAACTTTAAAACCAGCCGCATATTCCAAATTTTGATCATAAAAACCAGCTCCCGAACCACATTAACTTTTAGACCCATCCGTAAATATCTTATGCCACTCGCTGTATGTACTGTTTAATTCTGCCACTATGTTATTCAACAATAAATTAGGCTCATAATTTGTTTTTGAGGATTTTATACATTCCAGGTTTAATTTAAAATAGTTTTTAGTTTCTATATCTGTTACCCAACCATCCAAGGAAAACATACCATGAAGATGGAATGAATTAATATTGCATTGGCTCACATCACTAAAAGTCTTAATAAGCAGCGGTTTTCTCTTATTCGCCCAATATCTATCAGTAGACAGGACGTTTAAATTTGATATTAGGTCGACAATTTGATTACTATCCCAAGAAGCCGCTTTCAGACTATATTTATAAGCCAAGAATTGCCTTCTCAGAAACAATGGCATTAATAATAGATAAGTTGTATTCATCAAACTTGTCTTGCTGCCTACTATTAACATAGATTCACCAATCCAAAAGACTGTAACTCGACTTACAGTGTTTTGCCTTAACAACGCTCAATCAGTTTCTTTATGTCGGTTTTAATACCCCTGATCAACACTTTTGTTATTCTTAAGTGTATTTTAGAAGGGACAATAATTTAAAAAATACTGTATTGTATTGAAATTAGGGTTTCAACATGGTAAAAAACTGTAACAAACCTTTCAAAGTCAGAAGTCGTTATCAAAAGTTACAGTGTATTGGATTGTCAAGATTGTCGAGTCAATGACAACTACTCATTTGAAATTAAAAATTGTGAGTTTTAAAGCTACCTATTACTTACCGTATTAAATCTATAATAGATCAAGTGCTTGAGATCTTTGCACATTCGGATTTGCCTCATAAGTTTATACTTGTATCGGTACATTCCCGTCAATTGTCCCACGTGCGCGAATATATACTGAAGACCGTCGGCAAGTTGGAACGAATCTACGTTGTTCAGACGGTATTGAACGTGAGAGTCGACGATCAGCTTTGTTAGGCGAAGAATTTCACGACATAAGTGGAAGGCTGAAAAGTAATTGTAGTTCTTAGATTGTATCTATATAGTATTAAGTTAAATTTAATTTGATTTGTATTGCCATTGAAACAATAATATAAAGAGAGACTTAACACTTTTTAATGATTTATCAAGGGCCATGTTTTATAAAAAAGTACACTGTACACTTACCATTACCAAACCGGGACTTCTTTCTTTCTTTAGTAGTCAATGTTTTTACAGGTTTCAAATTAAAGTTGTAGTCCAAATGTAGATAATTCAAGTTCTTGCGGTGGATGAGCAGGTTCAACATGTTGTAGCCTTGGCGGCAGACCTGTAGACCAGCTTCTACCCAGTCTAGTGTTGTAGTTTGGAAAAACTTTGTTGATTTGAATGAGCGGAATAGGTACCTGAAGAAATATATGTACAATGTGCCTGATATAGTTGGTAATGTGCATATTTAATAACCATAGCAAATGAAGATGTACTAAGTCAAGTGTCAGTTCAGAAAACAAAAATCAACTGTCTTGTACCTTTATAGATGAAAAATATGTCTATGAATAGATTGCCTGTGAGTAATAAAATAATTACAGCAAGCATGTTTACTCAAATGGTTAATATGACAATTGTTTCTTAAAAAAAAGGTATATTAAAGTATTTTAAAGAGGATTTAGACTTTTTGGATTGATTGAAACACTGAAAATTAAACTTACCTCTTTTTCTGTGGTTTCGGAGGTCTGTGTTTGAGAGCATTAAGTACATAGTACTTGAGTAATTTCTGGTATGATACTCTTACTTTTACTGGTTGGCCAGGAGGGCAATGCTCTTTGTACCATGTCTTCACAAGGGGTACATCGATAGCACGCCTTGTGCGACCTACAGGAAGTAATTGCTTATTTAATATTGTCACATATAAAGATTTACTTATATATTATTAATGGCCGACTTCCGACTTGTAAAAATATCTGAAAACATTTACTTGCAGAAATAAATATCATTTCATTACATGGTTAGAATCGCGCATATTACGCGTGATCATACATTGGGTATAAACACACAACAACTTTTGTGTAATGACTGATAACTCCTTGTATTCCTACTACTTCTTCATAGCTATTTAGGTGAGTTATTTCTTGCATGTAATTGTATGTTACTTATGTTAAATAACTTTATAGAATTTAACTCACATACACAAACGCAACAGATAAAGCTTTATTTTATAAATAAACCTTTGAATGTTAATATGGAACTTGGTCACATAATTTTAATGAATTAAAAGGCTATTATAGGCATTATTTATGTCTTTACATTAAAATGTTTTTTGTTAGAATTTACCTGATCTCATGTTAAAAGGTCTTGGTGCCCACAGCAATGCAATTCCATTAGCTGTGTTGTCTGTATAAAGTGCAGTCTCTTGAAGAAACGGGCTGACTTCTTCAGGCAATAAAAATTCTTCCTCATCAGGCAATGGATCTAAAGACTTGACCGAATGACGGTGAGATATCGGATTGATTAATGGATCGAAGTAAAATGCTGGCAGATCGGGATCCTCTGTTTTAATATAAACGACGTTGGGTGTGTGGTACCTAAAGAAAAAAATAATGTATTTTAAAAAATGTACTTATCACAACCTCTCGAAATGTGAATAGGATTTTATTGAATAGGCATTCACTTTTGCCTCTTTCATCATTGTCCATCAGATGAGTTGGAAGACAATTGCATTGCAACTCATCGTAAATTAAAATAAACAACTATATGTATATTTTTTATTTGTAAATGTCACTAAGGTTTAAGAATAAAGAAAAGATACATGTTGATGACTTACCAAGATAACTGCACGAAATGTGGTAAATTGTTGTACAGATATGGGAAAGCAATTCTGTACTCAGTTCTAATTGGCTGTCGAATAATGATCTTATTAATATCATTAAACTCATTCCAGTCTTCGTCGCCAGCAGAGTTGTCCTTAACTAGAGGCTCAAATTTCGGCCCGCCAGGGATCGCCATATTCAAAGCCTTAGCCGTGAAGAAACTTTTTGAGTCAAACAAGTAAAAGTAGTTGTCATCGACTAAATCTGTCAATAACTGGTTTCCAAGACGGTACAGAGTGGCCATTTGCGGCAGTGTCAAATTCCACTTCCTATAGGTAGAGCCATTGACATGCTTAGTACCTAACAGAGGTTTGTGATCGTAGAACCAGGATGCGACAGCTCCATCTTCTTCCGGATCTAATTCAATCTGTATGGGCTCCAGAGGTTCCACATCAAGAATATTGTCAGCATAATCTAAGGGTGGTTCTTCATCATCGAATGGTGGGAACCTCATTCGCTTAAAGTGTCTACGATCACGTTTTTCTCTACGCATCATGATCCACATAGTGCCCCACTGAGCGATGTAAACAGGTTCTATCACCCATGGGATTTCATTAACGAAAGTGATGGCTCCAGTGATATGATAAAGGACTTTTACATCACGTATCTGTTCCCAGGGCATCGGCATGTTTTCTAGGAGCTTCATGACTGCATGAGGCATATATTTCAATGCGCCCAGGTAGACTCGTTTGTCGTGTCTGTATTTGCGACTGGTCATGTCTCCATGGTCTCTGATGATTTTTCGAATGTGCTCTGGCGGCATGTCCTCTTTCTGCGCATCCACAAAGCCGAATTTTCGTTTTTCGGCAAAGCGTTTGGACTGAAGCTGCATCCATTTTTGAGCTGTATAAAAAAAACTTTTAATTTAGCAAATGGTTGCTTTTGTGTGACAAGAGCTTACATGCTATAAGAAAGAACAGAAGATTTCAAATTTATTTCTAACTGACCATAAATGCAGTTAAGTATGATAATATTTTAAGTACACATAAAATTTCAGGGGATCAGAAACCTGCATTGTTTAGGTGTTTAGTTAAGAGTGTTGAGATAGCTCTAAGGCCCTCTAAGATATTCATAAAGTTTAGTTTGTAAAACATTATTTTATATGTACTTTAATTTATTAACATGTGTGTATGTATGCAATATCAGCATTTACCAGTGAATCTCAAACTGGCAAATTATACTATTGCAATTTACTATTACCCCATTATATGTATATCATATACAATTATATATTTAGCTTTAACAAGAAACCAAAATATATACAGTTTTGTAGTAAATAAGGGGATATAAAATTAATGTACTTGTATAGAGTTGATAGAAAATTAATATTTACACCTGGACCTGACATTTATCACTTTGATGTAGGTGAAAACAACGACGACAGTCGACATCACACATTGTAGAGGATACGATGTGTCACGATTAGGAATATATCCTGTGTCGTGGGGGACTTTACAAACATACATGAAACAGACACAAAGTACACCTAGACTCAGAACAATAATTTGTGGATCACACAAAGTGTTGTCCCATGTGTGTCCATCGAACCCACAACATTCAGCAAAGTAGGAAGCGGCGCGGTGACCTCTTAAACCACTACGCCATCCGTGCAGTCTTATTTATTTATATGTTTATAAAATAAGATACAAACCAACTGGCTGACTGATTGAATAAGGTTTGTTGCTAAAGATGTATCGTAAGGTTACTCTGACAGTATTTCTTTATAATGAACATTTTTAACCATTCTTGTTAGTTACATAAATTCCCAACCCTATTTATTAACTTAGTGGTAGATGGTGGTGATCTGGTATCTGTGACTGGTACCCCAGAGATGGCAAACATGGTAGTGGACGCCAACAAAAGAGATGGGCAGATGACCTGAGGCTAACAGCTGGACACCACTGGAGAAAGGTAGCGCAAGACAGAACCCAATGGAAAGTGCTAGAGGAGGCCTATGCCAAGAGGCACTCTGAATTGCGAGATATTTTATAGACTAATCTTATGAACTGTTTAATATTGTATTTAGATAATTCAGAATAAAGGGCTTATTATTATTATTATTTAGATGGTGGTAGTTCTAAAAAGTTTAAAAAGATAGGTGTCTAATTATTATTTTTAACCGACTTCAAAAAAAGGAGGAGGTTCTCAATTCGACTGTATTTTTTTTTTGTTTGTTAGCTCAGAACTTTTGACTAGGTGAACTGATTTTGATGATTCTTTTTTTATTTGAAAGCTGGTGCTTCCCGTGTGGTCCCATTTCAATTTGGTTTAGTTCTGATAATGGCATCCATGAGAAAACTATATAAGTCTTAAATTTGCATTTAGTATGTTCGCGACAAATAGACGAATAACTCAATTTCTCGCAAACCGATTTCGATAATTCTTTTTTTATTGGAATGGATGTACTTTAAGGGTACTTTGATGAGAGTTTGGTTAGATTCTGATGATGGGATCCACGACAAGAACTCTTCAATTCTTAGGAGCAAATTAACGATACACGGCTGAATCTTTTATGGGCTATATGGATATTTGAGTCACCTACAGTAACGTCGTTATGGTCAAGTAATTGTCGTCATCAACAGCCTTTAATAAGCTACTGCTGGACATAGGCCTCTCCTTAGAAACGAGGTTTTGGCCTACTATACTACGCTGGCCAGACGCGTTGGTATAGGGTTTATTTCAAGTTTTCCTTCTCTTTGCAGTGCTGTTGTCCTGCGTAGTTTGCTCCCTCACTAGACTCTTACGACACCCATGTGATTAAAAGGGGTGGTGACATTCTGTATTCTTAATCCGTCATCACAGGGTAGATTGCCTCTGTTGAGATAGGCGTTTCTTCCTGACTCCCTTTGTTTCATTCAAACGGCGCTGTCTCATTTGAGCAGCACGTTTATTAGGTCTACCCATATTCAGACAAATTAGTAAATGTACTTCAGATTCACTAAAAAGCAAAAAATAAACAAAAATTTTTAACAAAAAAAAACCGACTTCAAAAAACACTATTCCAAAACAAATTAATATGCACTAAAAAGGAAAAAATGCATATTCTTCTACAACTTAATAATCAACTTACTTTTTCTACTCATCTATATGTAGGTACGATCTATGTGTTAACCGCGCAAGAAGGTAGGTAGGTACCTACCCATTTCAAATCTAATTTAACATATACCTGTGAATAACAAACAACGATCAAAATATTTATTTGAGTTCTCCTAAGTAAAATAAAATGAATATAATGTAGTTACAATTATTGTTATTTTTGGAGTCGGTGTCAGCCAAGGAAACCCTACGATATACCTAGCAATAATAATACGAGAATACTTTAAGACTCGTCAACTCGCGCGTGCGACACAAGCACTTCTCACTTATAAGGTGTAGGTGACACCGACTTGGCTGACACCGACTTGGCTGACACCGACTGCAAAAATAACAATAATTGTAACTACATTATATTCATTTTATTTTACTTAGGATAACTCAAATAAATATTTTGATCGTTGCTTGTGATTCACAGGTATATGTTAAATTAGATTTGAAATGGGTAGGTACCTACCTACCTTCTTGCGCACTTAACACATAGATCGTACCTACATATAGATGAGTAGAAAAAGTAAGTTGATTATTAAGTTGTAGAAGCATATGCATTTATTGATAGAGAATATAATACTGAGAATATATTAACCCTACCTTCGCTGTATATATATGTAGTGGTTATGTTTGTTAAATTAAATCCACAACTGTTTAATAAACTATCTATTATAAGCAACCGACACAGACAAGACAATGACCAATTGTGTGTTGTGAAGTCAAGTACAGCACTAATGCAAAAAAGTATTATCTGTATGGCACCAGTTGCCCAAACACCTTAAACAATTAAACCTAATTGCCCAAACACCTTAAACAATTAAACCTAATTAATTTAAAACAACAATTAAAAATATATTTAGTCAGCAAATGTTACTATAGCATAGCAGAATACTTAACTGACACAAACCTAAGTACATAATATTAATGTTGTTCGTATTGTTGTGACATATGTTAAATATGATATATTGGTATCTTGATGTTATGAATTGTAATGATGAATGTTAACTTGCGATAAAATTCTGATATTTATTAATTGCTGGAATAATGCATGATGCTTTACTATTATTACTTTTTTTTTGTATAATGTAATATTTTAATTTGGAAATTATTTTTATTTAATTTTTTTTGTTTTACATATTGGTTGACAGTTATTTGAAAATGTTTATTTCCATTATGATTAATCTTCTTAAATTTTGCTAGATTTCGTATGCCAGAACTGGTAAAACATGTAGTACATATCACCTATATAACATCTTCATGCAATGTAAAAATTGTACTGTATCACTCATGTTTAAACGAAATAAATAATTCTATTCTATTCTATTCTATAATTCTGTTGGAATTGATGAGTTAAAAAAAATAGTTCCACATACAAATATTCATCCAGGTGAAAAATTTTCAAACTAACTTCATACTCGGATATATATGAAGATTTAGAGTTAGTATGAAAGACTATATTATTTTATAAATTTAAATAATAAAATAACAAAAAATTATTAACTAATAACATTTAGTGCTTTTATTTTAAAGATACTACAAAAATATTATTTAATTTAATGTTTCACAATTTAATGCCATATTTTAATTATTATTAAGATATTGCATTAAATTGTGAAACATTCACACACACAACAAACAATGTCATGGGTATGAAGATTTATTAGCTTTATTATTATTATACCCAATTGATTTTCATAATCCAATAATGTTAAAAATATTGTTCATTAAATTAACATTCATAAAAAAATATTTCCATTACTATAGTTTTTAGATTTATAGTCATGGTTCTGATGATTATTAGGGTAAGTATTTTAGTGTCTATAATCGGAGTTTCTGTAATTACTAGCTTTAGTATTAAAATAGGCATCGCGCTTGAAGTTGAAACTGGTTTACTAAATAATAATCTCACACATGGCCGTCTCATTCTAAACTAGGCAAAGCCTGTACTATGGTAACCGGGCTGCTGATAAACATACTTATGTATTTCTAAATAAATACATAATATTGATAAATTACACAGACACAGTACAAATGATTGTGCTTATCCCCCAATTATATTTGTCCTGGGTAAAAACCAAACCCACAACTTCTGGTTTAGCAGTAAGGGTCATTAACCACATAGTGATAAGATTTAGTACAGTTTTCTGTAGGAAATAGTGACTGGTTAATGACCATATTTAACCTAGACATGGACTTTAGAGCATTACCAACAATGTTAAATTTTAGCTTCTATTATAAACAACACACAGAAAAGAGGATCCTGCCAGTCCTACATATTTATAGAATGTGATTGTAAATTATAGTTTATCAATCACTGTTAAATCAAAAAATAACCTATAAATATGAATTACAAGATTCAAGCTTACCTTTTTCCTTTATCTTCTCCTCAGGTATGTGATGTGGTTTTGGAGGCTGAGCTGGTGGCACAGGAGGCGCAGCTGCAGCGGCAGCGGCGTGGGCCTGCAGCGCTGCTTGCTGTGCAGCCGCCAACTGCTGCTGTGCCATCATGGTGGCCCAAGGGTTGGGCCCCAGCAAGTACGGCGGTAGCGACATGGCTGACCGCCGTCTACAACAACAAATAAGCTTGTTCCTTAATATACAGGGCGAAGTTTGAAAATGCAACTGTAACAACTGTTTGAGAGGTATATGAAATACGGAAGCAGCATGGTAAACAGACACCGGTTACATAGAAAGACCGTGTTTGAAATACGATTTAGACACTTACCTTTAGTAATATATGCTCAAATTTTGTTTTTCACTCACTTAACACCATAAAAAAACACATTTGATGAATTACATTCACAAATACAACAAAACATCAAGCTCAGCTAGCTAGAAGCCATTTGCAATTGTTTTTTTTAAATTCATGCCACAGATGATATCATCGCGGGTTATTCGGCCTTGTTGGCATTTGGTGTATGTGTATATATATTCTGTGGTGGAGACATCAAGAAGAAATTTTATTGGTTTCAAGAAGGTTTTATTTCATAATTATAGTGCTCTTTACCTCTTTATGCTAGTACAAAATAGATCAATTAAATAAATGTTAAAGGTGGAATAGCGACTCCATAGAGCGACTGGTAGTGCAAGGCAAGGTGGAGGGAACCAGATGCCGCGGCAGGGCACCTATGCGCTGGACCGACCAGGTAAGATCCGCGGTGGGAGGCTGCGTGTCCGATTGTATCCGACAGTCTGTCGACAGGGAGAGATGGCGGGCGATTATACAGAGGGCAGTGTCCGCTTATGCCGCCTTCGTGGACGTCTCAATGTGACCACGACCGCTCTACCAAGAGCGATACGACAGACAAGAAGAAAGGTTACCTAATATAAAGAAGGTCATACATACATTCTCAAGAGGTTGAAATAATAATTAGGTACTACTAATTACTAAGAGAGCGAGCAAATTCACTTTATAATTTGTTCTTTTTTAATTTTAGAAACTTATCAGCTATGTGCCTTACGAACTGTGTTATTTGCTTTAGATCACTCCATGCTAACGTATATTATATTCCAACCAGGAGCAGAGCTTTAAAATATTTGAAGTTGTGTTTTTCGAAAGAGTCCAGAGCTATGCTAAAGGTTAGGACTTTTTCCAACAAAAAATCTATACGATCTATATAATGTTATGTTATACTATACGATCTATATATTGTTATGTTACACACAAGTGTATAGTTGCTACCTTTTATAGAAACCTTTAGGTATATGTTTTATAGAACACAGAAAAGTGTAGTTATTGTTGTTAGTAAATAAGGAAATATAAGTTTCAGTCTCTCTCTCTACTCTTTCCCTCTCTCATATTTAATTTAAAACCATGATTGTCCACGACGGCACTCTGCAGTAAGCGGCATTCCGGCAGGGTTAACAAAAATTTATACATTTATCTAGACCTATCCAGGGAGTGTAGAATACTTACTCACAACGCACACACAACACACGCACACAAAAAAAGGATTATGTTATCTCATCAGCAAAGATTTATTTATATATCTCTAAAACTCAATGGTGGAGTAAGAACAATATTTTCCACAGAATACATTTCATTTGATAGCTCTTCGTTAATTTCATGAACCGTCTCTTTCGCCAGTTCCTCATCAATAGACATCAATTCATAGTCACTATTTCGTTCTGCACTATCTTTAGAATCATTTTGAATAGAATATTCATCGACTATTTGAGTTAATGCATCTGCTATTTCAGAATCGAAAGATAAGTTATCTATATCATATGTATGGTTGTCATCTGGGCTTATGTAATTGTTTTTGTTATAATTGTTCTCTAGCTCGATGTGATCAGTCAAGGTAACATTAATATTATTCCGACATTCAGGAGACACCATTGATTCTTCTTTGTTCCTATAATTCGTATGGTTTATATTTTGGAGGTCTGCGTTTGAAGAATTACTGTCTTCTATCATTTCAAGATCAGATGCATTTTGAATTATTGCCTTCATTGTATGACCATCATGGTTTAGAACACTGTTAAGTAATTGTTCAGAAGATTTCACTGAAGTGTAATTTTTGTCTACCATGTCCACATCTTCAGCAATTGATCTTTCTCGCTCTGGTGGTTTGATATTTGCTCCATTTGAAAACGAGGGCTGATAATTGCCGCCAGTATTTTTGAAAATACAATCTTTACTGTTATTATCTGTAGACGTCTGTTCTACTGAATAACCTACTCTAGAATAACTAAAACTAGAATTGGTGCGATTGTCACTTTTGCTTCTTAATGATTCTAATCGTTCTACTAGTTCAAGGTGATTTTCTTTAAATTGTTGAAGTAGTTCCTTTGTACTGTTATTTGTGATGCCGTATTTTCTTAAATCCTGCTGTATATTTGCGTTAAGCATATAAAGGGCTGCTTCATCAGTTTTTAGTGGTGTCCCAACTTCTATAGCCTTTAAAAAACAAATAATATACAGTTATTTTTAACATGATAAGTCTCAATACATATGGTTCCTTCATAAAACACAAGATATAGAAAATTATTTACGCGTGTTTCTTTTCCAATATATTCAGCTAATTCTATTGCAAGATTTACTGTTTCTTTAGGCAGGTTAGTTTTAGCAGCTAGAGCGAGTCCATAATGTTCAATCCTAGTACTGCCTGGTTCTAATTTATATTGGTATACTAATCTTCTCTGAGGATTTTCTGTTGTGCCAACATCTTCTTCAGTCACAGCTGTATGTCGACTGGGATAGATTGATTAAAACAAAAGAAAAATTAGTATTATTAATTAATGCACTTAAAAAAACCTAAATGAATTCAAGTACTTTTAATAAATATCTAGAAGGATACTTTACAAAGTTAAGTGAATAACAGAACCTTCGATTATGTTTTTGGTAATTGAAGTATAAAAAACTAAATTTAATCACTCACTTTCTGAATTTTAAGAAGATTTTTAAGAAGATTTTTAAAGGTATTTAACGCCAAATCATACGTCATGATATTGGCACAGAAGTCTTGATACCTCAGAGTATCAAGACTTCTGTGCCAATATCATGATGAATTTCTATCACACAAGACAAAAATGAAGACCTCTGAATGGTTATTAATAAAAATGTGGAAGAAAGGATTTTCACCTCTAAAATAATTAATACTATTTGGCCTACTCACGGCCTTCTATAGTAATAATACTTACTTTAACACATTGAAATATAACCCTTGCAATCTGGTCAAATACATGAAATGCGTCGTAAAAAAAGTGAAGGCACTACTCATAATAAGTTCTTCGCAAACTGCCCAAGCTACTGCCGTACCCTCCTCCACGGAAGTTCCTCTGAAAATTTAATCAGGCGCTTTACTTTTAATAAACTTACTGGTGATGTATTTAAATACAATTTGTTATATACCTGCATAGCTCGTCTATTATAACCAAACTTGACGAAGTTAATCCTTTTAGTATGTGTTGAGTCTCTTTCATCTAAAATAATAATAAAGTTAATGTAATATATGTTTCAAAGTGATGCTATTAAGTTGGTACTAGATATTAATGAAATTTTTACCTCAAATACAAAGGTAGAGGCATTTAACTCAACACTGTCGTTGAAACCTATCCTAGAGAAAATTCTATCACTAAGCCTAAAGATGGCATTTGTAGCAGGAACAAAACAGCCTAACTGAAATTAAAAAGGAAGGTATAATTCTTTTTTACCGAGTCTTCTGTTCAAAATATATATTTATTTAAATATTTTTCAAAGAACTTTTTTTCACGGTATACCTGAGCCATGACTTGCATAATAGCAATTTGTTTTATGTAAATACTTTTACCACCCATATTAGGTCCTGTTATCAATGTGAAATTGTGTTCAGGACTCGCAAACTAAAATAAATAAAAACGAAAAGTTACGACGAATTCAACGATTAGGTATATTTTTATAAATAAGTAATCTGTCTTACAATATCGTTAGGAACTGGCATCACTTGGGTGTTGTAATCCAAAAGTGGATGGACACTATTTCTTATATCCATGTAACTATTGAACTCTGGTCTTATGTAGGATCCAATTGAACTAGCCTGAATCATGCAACACGAAAAATTTATTTACACATAGTAAAATATAATACTTTGACACAAATACTTAGTAAGTCCTTACTTGAGCCATGGCCAGTAAGACATCTAATTCAGCGACATTTTCGCAAAGGGTGTATAAACTTGGCATGAAAGGTCGTAAATCTTTTAATAAAGTCGATATTACTCTGTAACAATATAGTTCAAGTATGTATTTATTTTATATACTGTCGTTCGTCTCTAAATAATATAAACGCATTTAATTCTAGATATTTTTGTAATCAAACAAAGCTGTGAGCTAAAAAGACCGGTGTAAATTGTAGTACTGAGAAATGAGGTAAGATAAACTACCCATGTTTAAAAAACGCAACTATTCTCGACAACTTGTAACACACCACAACTATACTGTGTTTAATACAGTGAAACCACGAGTGAGACAGTGCGGGAATCACCTCCACTCGTTAGAAGTAAAGGTAATTTTTAGATTCGTGCTCCACCACTGTGCGCTTTCCAAGACACTTTTTGCCTCTCACTACCAATCTGTGGAGCAAGTTATCGGCTGCGGAATTTTCGGACCGATACGACCTTCAAACCTTTAAGAAAAGAGCGTACTCCTTCCTTAAAAGCTGGCAACGCGCTTGTGACTCCTGAGTTGCAGGCGTTCATGGGCGGTGGTGGTGGCTTTCCATCAGGTGACCCGTGTGCTCGTTTGCCCCCTATTAAATAAAAAAAAAACATTCATCTTCGGCAGTTATTATCACAAAAAAAATAAACTTTAACAACAATACGCACATATTACTCATTTTCTGTATCTCGTTCAATGACTCTTTCGCTTGTTGATTCAACACCACGAGTTCTTCTGTGGTCATTGTCACACTTGCTCCACTGTTCTGGACCTAATAAAAGTACAAAACAAAATAAGTACAAGATAACCACGAATATAAGGCATCTGTCATTGTTTATTGATAAATTTCTTACTAATTAAATTGAGTAATTTTATTAATTATTTGGAAATTTGTAAATATTATAGAAGCCGCTAGAATTTATCTAAAATATCGGATACATGGTCACAATAAATGAATACCCCCTGGTAACACTTATAAAATTGACTGATTTGTCAACAGGTCCTCCCTGGACCTGTGCTATTCCGCAGCATTAATAAATGTTTATACCTACTGTTGAAACTGAACCAGTTCAAGAACCTGAATTTAAAGAACCGTAAAGAAAGTATCTAAATTTGAACTAAACATACAGAGAAAGAAAGATATGAAAACCTAACAAAGTTTATCCACTAATAATTCCTGCAGAGATTAAATGAGTACGTGACGAAATTTGTTACACAATCTAATAATAAACTACAAGATGAATTTATAAAAACACAGTCGTTATTACTTACCGACTCGTTTATATTTCATAGAAAGTAGAACTACCTGAATAAATATAGGAGGCAAATCCTCTTCATTAAAAGTCCTTCGGTTCTTAGTAGCTAATGTTAGCACTATATGGAAACCCTTTAATAAATTCTGGTTGAGTCTTAAAGGCAAGTCATATGTTTCGCTAAGCTGTTCAACAATCTTTTGTATGTCATCTATGAGCTCTGAATATGTTCTTCTAGCTACATCTAGAAGTCCATTAATATCTGGTTTGACTGCAAAACATCTTTGTAGACTTCCCATTGCTCCTTTTTCTAAATGAGCGTCGTCTTGAATAATTCTTTTTATACGGTCCGATATTTCGTTATAGCTTGAGTTTTCGAAATCCTTGGTTGAGATAAAAAAGTAAAAATAATGTAGTACTACTGAAACTGATGACTACTATGTAAAAATTAAAGAGATTTCATAAAATTAAAGGAAATACCAATTTCATTTTCTTTAATTTGCCACTATCTGCTTCACTAAGAGCTTCTACTAATTTTGGGACCAGCTCCATAGTAACTTTCAGCAATAGTACTTGATTGAGTTGTGCTTCTCCAATTTTGTCAATGTTTTGGTTCGCAGAATCCATGCAAAGGAAAAGAATTTTGTCTATCTCTGATAATTTCTTTATTACATCCTGTTTGAACATATCAATGTCTTTATTTCAAATAAAATTAACAATAAAGACCCAATTAAAGTTACACAACAAATTTATAAAGAGTTTATTTAACTTGGTGTAATTTCAGCAATTCTCGTTTTCGATTGCTGATTATGATCCGACTAATGGGGGTTTTAAAGTTTCATAAATATTTCTATTTAGCCTGTATGTAGAGTATTAAAACCAATAGACAGTAAGTATTATATGTGTTTTACTTTTATATATGAACATATGAGAACCGTAGCGTTACTTAAATACCTGTAAAGCAACCATAAGTCCAGTATCATTTTCGATCAAATCTTGTACAGCGTCCAACCTAGATTCAATGAATTCTTTATTATACGAAGGTTGGAGGATTGCTGCACGTAAGGACCTTATACCACCTACAGTGTAAGTCGGACCAAGAACCCCTAAAAGACAACAAGTAGGTCCAGCTGAGGGCACTAAAGGTGCTACAAGTTCTAATTGCGACGCAGTCCCGACATCTACAATAAAGACATCGAATGAAATTTTATTATTTCTGTAAGGTACAATAATATTAAAGACTTGAAAATAATCAAAAAATTGCATCCTAACCTATGATCATTGTGTTCTCAGAGGAATGATATTCGATTTTTAGTGATTCTCTTACAAATACTATGCACTGGATGTATTCAACGTATTTTAGGACGGCTGCGGCTGCTGTCACGGCGTAGAACCTATTTTGAAAAATTACTAATTATTCCTTTCACATGGTCACATGATATAACTAGATTTATCAGAAACAAACATCGTACAGTATCTACATATGCCAATAAAACTAAGCTTTATAAACATACGTAAACCAACAGGCATTTTAAATACTTATATTTTACACACTTTTGCAATACTTGAACATAAACGCCATTGTATTGAGGGGCACACAATGTTTGTATATTTTGCCGACCTACTGAGTCGTTGAAGTGCCTTCTCTGAACAGTGACTACGTTAACTAATGGATATTTGTCTTTTATTAGCTGATAAAGTTTATTTGGCTGCACTCCTTCGCAAAAAGTATGAGGCACAATTATCTGTAATAAAATGAAACATCGAATCAGTTGTAGCAGTTTCCTTGACGAGGTATTGAATATATTATATGCCACTGACACACCTCTATAGGATTGAAGTAATTTATTTTCGTTAGCGTGTGTGTATACAGTAAAGTATCGCTGAATTGACAGAGTACTAGATGAGGATGCTTCAAGTCTATCGCTGCCATTCCTATTTCACCACGGGCCATGCCTCTGCCTTCAGATATAGCTGGAGAATATTGTTTGTTTTACGTAAGTTTTGCTGTACAGCTATTGTTGTAATGATAAGCATGTGTTTAATGTTTACCAAGTATGACACTTGCTTCGGCCGCTGAAACACTGGCGGATCTAGTTGAACGAGTCCCACTGTATCCTCCTGTAATTAGCCTTTTTAGTAATTAAGTTTGTTTTAATATTATTCTATTAGTTAACCGAATAATCGACTCCGTGGTATCATTAGTTGTTACATAGCGACAGCATAGTTTGTTTCAAAATTGTTTTTTTTTGTTAAAGGTAAAAAGGAAAAAATCCAATCGGACTTACAAAATCAAATTTTCTTTTTAGCTTTTTAATATTTATTTTATTTAATATATTTGATACTGAATTTATTTCAGTCACTGATCGAAAGGGTGCACTAAGAAAGATCTCATATCAGTAACAAGTTCGTTCGCCTTACAAACTTAGGTCCTCTTCTAGAATCTAGGCCGGCGGATAGGTTTTCAAGCATCTTTGATGTCTGCATCTAACAATTGGTACTTTAACAACTTAAGCAAACAATCTCTATCAAGTATAGGCTCATTATAGAGATAAAAATGGTTAAGTTCGTAATTAATTCAACTGCAGATAAGAACGGCAAAAGGAAATTACACAAAATGGTAATAGGGTAAAACTCGATGGGAGTTAAGACGAAAATTAACGAAGTGAAATTAGAGGAGAATGAATTAGCTTATATAATTCACTTAACACAAGAAAATTTAAGCAGTTGCGTCACCAACATAAATTGGTGGTAGGAGTTCTAGACAATAGTTATTGATATTAATACAAGATTTTGTTTGCAACTTTATTAATTACTTGCCATTACAGACGGTTTTTATCGATTTTGTCAATCTATTATTCCTTGATAAAAATAACAAACATCCATATATCCTTCCTCGTACACTGTTGTGTATATAACATTAACGGGATTATCCAAATGTTACAACGTGAAGAAAATATATGTCCCTTTTTAAACAAATATCCAGTAAAGTATATATTTGTCTGATGATCTGCCATGGTTCAAAAACATTCAAAACGGTCGAAATTTGACACTCGTGCAATCTCTAGCTTAATTAAAATTAGAGAGTTAGGACTTCTACCAGTTCGACTTAAAGATATGCAACTTTGACCTGCTGGAGCTATTACAAATGTAAACCCCAAAAGCCACCCCTTTCTTTCCTACATTCCCTTTATACAAAACATTTGCCTGACTTTCCAAATAGTACGTGAGTGCCTACAAGTTATAGTTGGCAAAATGTAGATTATTAAGGCGTTTAGTCGTGATTTTAATGGATGTACGTAAGCTTGGTACTCTTGAAATAAGTGAAAATAATAAATACACACCTCTACTGCTGCTACTGATGTACCGAAGAGGAGGTCTGTTTTTTGGCGTGCTAAAACCGTTTGACGTTTCAAGTGCAGAATCGCTCGCCAAAACCTTTAGCCTTAGTACATTGGGTGACGAATCAGGTCTTGAAGATGTTGAGTTTATTATCCTTGAAATTATGAATGCGAAATTTATGTACAGTGCGAAATTAATAAAGCTGTTTATTTAAGGACTTTTGCTAGACAACAACATCGGTAGTAGTTTCCTTCCTGATATATTTGTATATGTAGGGAGATAATTAAATTGCCTTTAGTTTATGAGCAGCCCAACCGTGCAACCATTATTGTATTAATGTTAGATTGTTATTGAAGTATTTCAAGTAACTTTTTTTATAATATTTTTTTTGGAATAGGTGGCAAACGCGCACACTGGTCACCTGATGGAAAGCGACTACCGCCGCTCATGAACGCTTGCAACTCGGGAGTCACAAGCGCGTTGCCGGCCTTTGAGGAAGGAGTACACTCTTTTCTTGAAAGTCGTATCGGTCCAGAAAAACCCACGGATATTTGTTTTATGCAGGGGCACTGCATAGAGATGAGAACAGTATTCCATATGCAGCCGAACTTGCGCCTTATAGAGTTGGAGGCGATGGGCTGGAGTGAAATACTGCCTCAATCTGTTCAGCACACCCAGCTTCTTCGAGGCCGATTTAACCTTACCCTCTAAATGACCGCAAAACTGGACTTCGCTCTAGGTGTCGATGCCTAGAATTCCAACACTGGCTGAGGCAGTTAGGGAGGTGCTCTGGAACCGAGGCGATACGACTAACGGTACCTTTTTTGCGGCGAACGCGCAAACTTGTGTCTTTTTTGGGTTAAAATGGACTAGATTCAGTCGACCCCAATCTGAAACCTCCGCTAAGGAAGTTTCAATTTCATTCGCAATTTGATACATAATTTTTGTTTTTTTGCTGGAATAAGGGATGTCACACACTTTTATGTAAAATGTAAATCCAAGTTTACAGTTGGAATTAGTGGAGGGATTAGTTGATGTTCCCAGAGGGTAGCTTAAATTAATTCTTTTATTTTTTGTATTTTTATGGCCTGGTAACAAGACCTTTAAGCCAAGTCTTAATTTTTGATCTAATTTTTTTTCATGATATAAAGTGTGTTGCCAGCAATTGCTTCTATTTGTGAGTTAAGAACGGGCTTATCATGCTAAAATATTTCGCAGATGTTAAGAACGTACGTAAGGTATCAATATGTTTAAGAAAGTACCATTAATTGCAGGTGAAAATGTGACGGATGTCTTGGTTTGGTAAAATGGTAAGTACATAATTAGTTTTTGTTGAATTTAATGCATGTAAACAATGTAGGTATGTACCTACCCCTTTGGGAATATAAATGTGAAGGTATGTATCGTAAGTAAGTACCAACCTCCGTTTCATACTTCGTGGTAGTCCAACGGGTGGGCCCATAGGACATTTTCTTGATGTCTTTGCCGATTCTTCATCTTTGTTAAATTCATATCGAGGCGTTTTGTTTGGCGCTAATATATTTTTTGTACCATAAGGGTTAGGCGGTAATAAAATTGTACCTCTAATACCTAAACACATAAAATTTTGTATTTGCAAAACTATACCTAATAAATACAAATCATAGAACCTAAAATTAATTGTAAAAATATTTACCAGTTGACAAATCTTTCCTTACGAATTTATTTGTGAACTTAGCCTGTGCTTTGGCAATCTTTAGCTTTTCATTGGCAACGACATTCATTTCATATAAAATATATTAATAAATCAGTTAATTTATTTCACAAATTTTTACAGCCTTTTACTCTTTCAAAACTTTTCCCGCCCTTAGCCCTCGATTGACAAGTATGATTGAGATGAAAACTTATAGAATGTTGGAATGGCCAGTCATGAAATAGACAATAATTGAAGACAAATAATAATAGAAAATATTGCATGGGTTTTGTTGGCTTCAAAAATAAAAACATATTTTTTTACATATTTTACTATCATTTGTTTTCAGTCAATATTAGTTTTATAACCTTCACTTGTTAACCAGCGAGAAAATTAAATTCTTGGCAATTAAAAAAAGTCAAAAGATCAAATTAAAGCAGTGTTAACAATTTACAAAGGATCCAGGACATTCAGGGGGAAAAAAGTTTGGCGGATAAAATTTGTTGTCTTAAAATGAAAAAAATTAAGGTGGTATCAAAATCTCGTTATTTTGATGACTAATGATATAGGTATTTATATTTTATTGTAGTTCACTATTGTTAATACACCAAAGAATAAAATAATAAATTATGTAACAAATATGTATTGCAAATTGCAACTATCTATTTAAAAAACATTTAACGGGTAACTCTTATCGGTACTTATAATTAAATGATAAATAAATAATATTTATTTGTGTTGTTGTTAAGTAAATCTGTTCAGATATTTTTAGATCTTCGAAGAAGGTGTATTTTTTTAATCCGCAAACAAAGTTAAAGGAAAATAAGTGAGTAAATATTAACAGTTGGCCTTTGGAAGAAAGGACTATAGTTTTGAGTAGGCCCGTTCATATAGTGTAGCTCGTGTAGCTTAACCGATATTAGTCAAGATCAACGAGCCGAAGCGCATTACGGTTATTAGGTGCGGCCTTGGTATAGACCCTTTTTAAATGACTTCAAAAAAAGGACGGTTCTGTACGATGTAAAATTGACCAAAAAGCACAAAACATTAGGCATGGAAAATTAAGGAATGAAGAAAATAGTTCATTACATCTAAACAAATAATTATTGTGAAGTGGGTATTTGAGAATTTTTGCAATTGATTCAAGGGTTGGCAGCACTGGCATTCAAACTTCAGAAACCCAAAACGTCAAAGTTCGAGAGATTCCGGTACTGTAATTTTTTTAAACTTTTTTATTGAATGACTATATATTCATTAATTTCATTTCAGACCTCATGTTTTTAACAATAAATATGTAAATACTGTGTAATCTATTCATTCATAACCTTGAAGTATGTGTCTTATCAACTTTTAATCATGGCAGATAATAACATTTTGTGTTCATTGAATGTTGTTGTGATATTGGTTTGTTTACCCAACCTTGCGAAAATTACAAATACTGCGTCAAGCCCTAGGCCAGTCCTCAGGTAAGTCCATTAGTACACTGTCATAATCATTATTGATTATCAAGGTCATCTTATAATAACATTATTGCGGTAATAAATATTTCTATGGTAACTGTGATGATTTGATAATTACTTTGATAAAATACCTAGTAACTGAAATTGCACAATATATAGTAAATAACAAATTAGATTAGGCTGCTTTAATATATTTATAGTTTGATAGTAGCCCAGTACAACATGTAACTTACCTATCTTAATATTCAGATCTACCTTGTTAGGGGAAGGAATTGTAAGTAAAAGGATATTTCTTCTAAAATATGGTTTGGTTAGGGTAAGCATTTCAATTTTATTTAAAACATGCTAAAAAATAAGAAGTTAATATTTTTTAACAAACTTTAAGTTATTTATCTGATTCTGGACATCAGTTATCTTAGAAGGTTCCATTATTTATATTTGAAAAAAATAATTGAAAACTAACATACATTGTTTTTGCCATGTGAGTTGGCGAAGCTCTCAAAGATAACTTTACAAGATTTAGAAAGTTGTGCTTTCAAGTTTTGACCCAATACCCTGGAGCAAAATGTGAAATTTTACATAATTTTCAGATTACATAGCTTAGAGAAAATGATATCCTACTAAGTTTTTCAAATGTTATGTGTCTATCTAACAATACTGTGTGTATACATCCCCAGAAAGAATGGATAATCCTGGAGCGCTTAATAGTACAGCTATCTGGCGTACAAAAAAAAATACCCAAAAAAAAAACAATTGGTGCCCTTAATATGAAATTTGATAAAAAGAAAATTATGACAAAGTTTGAGAGCCTTTTGTGAAAAAAAAAGTATGAAAACCTAAGGGGCCAACTATTTAAAAAAAATGCGCAGTTAATGCAGTTTACAAAATGGTATAATACATAATTTTATTTAATGTAAATATGCAGTGATTGTTATTTATATATATATTATTTTTTATTGTTAGTTATATGTATCTCCATTGCCAATTTCAGCTACGGTGACTGCTGCCTGTTTCTTTGTGGGCTAGGATGATCAGCCCTATCATGGGCCTTTAGGTGACTGCAGTAGTAACCTCATGTTTAAATGTACATCTGCAACATGTAAGACCATTAATAAAATTATAGAATATGGCCATTAGTGGTCTAGCCATTAGGGAATCACGCTTCTGATCTAACTCTGTTTTGTTCTGCTCTTCAAAAGCATCCACCCTTTGCCGTACCAAGTGCCTCCATTCGGGTCCACAGTTTGCTTGGTTCTCCCAAGTTGTCAGATCAATATTGCATCGCTTCATATGTCTTTTCTGGACAGCCTTATAACGTAGGAACTGACCGCTTTGCTTGCGTTTTCTGTTCTGGAGGCCAGAGAAAAATATGCGCTTTGGTAACCTATCCTCGGACATTCGCGAGAGATGATCGGAGTATAATCAAATATGCTTCGGTTCCACGTTTGCTTTTCTAAGTACATTGGTGTTTTTTATGTGAAACTTGGATGTGACGCCTTTATAGAACCCATGTCTGAGAGGAATATAATAAATTTGGGAGAACAATAGACATGGGATAAATTTGGGAGAACAATAAACATACACACATACACTACAGTGTATGTGTGTATACACAGTGTATGTGTGTGAACAATAAACATACACACATACACTACAGTGTATGTGTGTATGTTTATTGTATTCCACCATACACTACAGGCTTAGGTCGTGTGGCTAAAGAATCTTCGACCGCAATCAGCCAAATGTTGCACAGCCGCACCAATTCGATGTTTAATCTCAGCTTCGAGGTCACACTTGGATGTAATAGTACTACCGAAGTATTGAGACTTATGTTGATTTATTTTGCTGCCGTTAATGCAAGGTCGTAGAGGTTCTGCTTCACCATTCATGTCCATTGCCATTACCTCAGTCTTATTTGTGTTAATTTTGAGGCCTAAACGACAACAGGCTTCATGTAGGTTAGAGATGAAATTTTGAAGTTTTTGTACAGAGTCAGCTACGAAGCATAGATCATCCGCGTACATGATCTCCGAGATCACTGCATTGGATACTTTAGTAGTCGCTCTCTAGTAGTAGCCAGTTTAAATGTACCTCAATCCAATCGAAAGCGTAACTCAATGCCAGAAGAACAGTTTTCTAACGCTTCCCGAACTACAACAGCGAAATAAAGGGCGAATAGTATAGGCGCAAGTACACAGCCTGCTTGACGCCGCAGCTAACGGGAAAGGACCCGGCACAGCTCATCATTAACAACTGTTACACAGCAAGTCATTTTATCATGTAGAAGTCGGATCATGTGTAGAAACTTTTTAGGCCATCCGAATTTTACCAGTATTGTTCATAGGGATTCGCGTGGCACAGAGTCGAAGGCTTTTTCCATATTAACAAAGCACCATATGTAATGGTTGATCTTGTTCTCGGCTTTTTAGTTGTAGTTGGCAAATGGAGAAAATCGCTTCGCATGTCCCCCTATTCGGGAGGAACCCAAACTGGGATTGAGGCAACACAGATTCGGCAAACGGCATAAGACAGTTAAGAAGTACAGGCAAATATATTTCCAGGTACAGAGAGCAATGATATACCTAAATAGTTGTTGCAGTCTGAGCGGTCGCCTTTGCGGGTACTTTTTCTTTGTTCCACATACGCTCCAACATTTGCCAGATAAGAGTGTCAGTCTGTTCGCCAGCAATGTAGTCAACGGATGCCATCTACGGATTTAAGCGGTACATTATTCTGAGTGCATATCACCTTGCGCACTTCTTCGTAAAAAGCACCCAGTTGGTCAGTATCAGAGAGCGACTGAATATTTTTAGCCTTTTCGAGCCACAGACCCTTTATCTTCTTCTTATCCTTCATCTCCCGGGTGAGTTTTCTGTTTTTAGCTCTACTTCTCTTTAATGCCACAGACAGTTTTTTCAACTTTTACTAGTGTCAACTGTTATCAAAGACTCAGCCAGCATCTGAACGTATTCGTCCCGAACTTCAGAGGAAGACAGCCAATGTAAGTTGTTAGGTAATAAGCACCTGGGACATGTCTCGTCGTTGGGTAATTGCGTAATCAATTAGGTGGCAGTGTATGGATCTGGGATGCATCCAGGTGGTCTTGTAATTATCTGGTAACCTAAAGAGTGTGTTGGTGATGGTAAGATCGTACTGGGCACACAGAGTCAGTAGCATCTGCCCGTTTGAATTCATTTGGTCTATACCATGTTTATCTAACACATCAGGCCAAGCATCGTAATCTTATCCAATTTGCTTTCTTGACCGGCTCTTGCTAATACATTGGTCAAGTTCTTCATAAAACCTGTCTTTTCGTATCATATATGTCTGTCTTATCATTGTTGCCCATTGCTGGCGCATATACGCTAATAACGTTAAGGTAGTTGCGTTGTTTTTGATGAAGGCAGTGTGATAATGCGATCCGAGATATATTCAGGACATTTTGGCAACTTTTTGACGATACTATTCCTGATCGCAAAACCCATACCATACCCTTCTAGTAGCTTCCCTTCCTCACGAGTTCGCCTAATGAAGCCAGCCGGGTCTTGCTGAGAGCAACAATGTCAACGTTGTAGCGCCAAAGTTCGCGGGCTACTACAGCAGTCTTTCGTTCTGGGCATTGGTTTCCGACATTTTGGTTTCGGACATTATGTGGAGTGTTAACTTTGATCTTTATGATCTATATTTGAAACACATCCTAAAGACATTGCTTCTACTGTCATAATGTCAACTCAAAGGAGTAGAATGATTTGTCGAGTCAATCACTTCCACTCGGGAGTGCTTATAGACTTGGTAACCTTGGCGTGATAACTAGTACCCGGAGATTGTACTAAGATGAAGAAATAATACGGTTTTAGAAACAACACGTTAGTGTTTCACCTTCGACAAAGTAATTGGTTTGATAGATAGCTGTCGTTTGCGGCCAGTGACTCGAAAATGCATAGCATTCTCATTAGATCTCCCGATGACACTTCTGTTAAAAGTGTGGTTTACAGAACTAGAGTTGTTTTATTGCGATTGGAATCCAGGCGAAGTCTTATACCTGGGTGGACCTGGTCCTGGATGTAGTCAAAATAATTAAAGACTACTACAGTCTAGATATTTTTAATTAGGTACAAAAAAAGAAAAATTCGTAATTACTGGTTCAATTCATTTGTATGCTAAATATTATCTGTTAGCAGTCATGCATATATTGCGTGGTATGATAACCTCAAGTCACATGATTTAAAAAAAATACCTAGATACTTTATTTATTCATTAAAAAGTTATTTAATGTCCATATTTCATGAAATTTGCAAGCCAAATGCCATAAATGCTTGGCGGATGGCTTGTCCTATTACTATATTATCCCATACCTTTTATCCCATTCTCTCAGAGACAATAAGACGCGCCGCTGCGTATTTCACGGAATTCCCTTAATTAAAACATCAACAAAACATGCAAAGCACGCTCGTTTGAGGGCTGTGGAAGTATGGGAATCAGGACTATGGATTCAGGTACTTACATCGCCCAACATAGGCACCTTGTTAGACGATACCACATTGCGCCTTACCACCTACTTTCAATTTTCAATTTCAATTTATTGCATTCCATAATGTACATTCAGGTGGTAGGCTTAAAAGTAGATAACAATTATGGACCCTGTCGGGCACAGCACTATCAGGAGAGAGGAGGAGCTGCCTAATTATGCTAGTTTGAAGAGCTTGATTTCAATACCAACATTTTCTGCTTTAAACGAGATAAACTAATTAAACCAAATAGTATATTTAACTTGCATGTTCATAAAAGGATGTAGTTGTTGATAATTTAATAAATTTATTAATGAACAATGTCAGTACAAAATTATTTTACCATTCATTGTATATCAATTTATTGCATAGTCATTCATTATATATTAATATTTATTAAATGTAAATTTATTAGATTTTATGTCTATACTGGCATGTGTTTATAATGATTAATTTTAGTTATTTAAAGTTTATAATTTATCTTCTAAGTATTCCTTGACACTGTAGTAGCATTTATTTATCAGGAGTTTTTTTAATTTGTTAACAAAAGTATTGTATTTATTTTCGTTTTTGATTTCGTTTGGTAGCCTATTATATACTTTTACTGACATGACCAATGGTCCAGAGGAGTGAATTGCTAATCTTGAAGTAGGAAGATTTAATCTACTTTTGTGTCTTAGGGTCATTTTGGATTGGATATCTTCGCGCTTGGTGTAGTGTTCCGGATATTTACGAACAAGTTTACATAATTCCAAGATGTAGATGCATGATAATGTTAGGATTTTGAGTTCTTGAAAGTGTGGTTTACATGTGTCAGTATTTTTTATATTGACCAAGACTCTAATCAATGCCTTTTGCTTAGTAAAAACAGCGGGGACGTCCGTACTATTGCCCCACAAAATTACGCCATAGTTGAGCCAAGAATGTGCGTAGGCGTAATAAGTGACAAGTGCAGTAGGTAGATCTGTGACTTTTTTGACTTCGCGTAGGGCGTATGTAAAGCTTGATATTTTTGCGCTCACCTTTTTTACGTGCGCCCTCCAGTTGATATGCGTGTCTATGGTTACCCCGAGTAAGTTAAACTCATTAACAACTTCTATCTTTGATCCATTAAATGTAAAATTGATGTCTATTGGTGATTTTTGGTGTGGATGGAAAGTTATTAATTTAGTTTTTGAGAAATTTATTTCCAGATTGTGTTTGTTCATCCAGTCCACTGTTTTTGTGAGTATTTGGTGAAGATTTTCACAAACATCCACATTAGTTGTACACGAAGTGAGCAAAGAGAGGTCGTCCGCAAATAAGACACATGGTCCGTTTATTGTTTTGGGTAGCTCGTTTACATAAATTATAAATAATAGGCACCCAATTACGCTACCTTGAGGAATAGAGGCTTTTATATCTTTCCTGTTTGAACGGATTTTTTGTATCTCGTGTGTGTTTTTGTTGAAGAATTCTAGTTCTACAGTTTGTTTCCTACCTGTTAGATATGACTCTAGCCATTCGTAAGCTTTACCCCGGATTCCAATAGCATACAGCCTATTTAATAGAATATTAAATTGAACTTTGTCGTATGCTTTGCTCATGTCTAATAGAAGACCTACTGCGTATTGCTTATTATTCAAAATGTTTAAGGCTTCTTGGACGTATTTATATACTGCTAAGATCGTGGATTTATTTTTGCGAAATCCATTCTGGCACTCATCTAATATTTTATATTTTTCACAGAAGTTATATATTCTATCTGTCATCGCTTTTTCAAAAATCTTGGATGCAGTCGGTAGTTTCGTTTAGGAGATTCTCGTGTTTCTCCTCATCTTTGTAACTACGGAGAATCTACTGACACTCTCGGACATCATGAATTTACTCTTAGCAGGAGCGCTAGCCGTATACTCGACATGCAAATATTACGAAATTATCCGTAGTCTATTTGTTACCACCGGCGTTCTACTTGCACATTGAAACTAATGGTCTGCGCGACGATGGGAATAGATCAGATGGTATGCCGGTACTGCCATGGAAGATGGGTAAACCTTTGGTGCAAGACGAAATTTGCATCATTCTCGCGACATGCCCTCTTCCAAGCACAGCTAAACAGCTGTATTTGGAAGTAGAGATGGTGCGCCGATGCCGGCGCAGTTGTAGCATGATCGATCGACGTAGAGCTGAATTCACTAGCTCTAGAAGCATGAAATTTTGCATAAATGTTCCCTAATTGTGCACTAAGAAGTGATTTTTGGAAATTCGTCCCGTAAGGGGTTAAAGAGGGCGTTGAAAGTTTGTATGAAACTTGATTAAAGAAGTTAGAAATGTAATAAATTAGACATGTGCTCATGGTTCGAAACTTGTTTACTGTATCACTATTTAAAAAAGAAACTCTAACGTCTACTTTTCTGACCAAGTATGAGTTTTCCATAAAAAAATATCAAGTTGATGAATACGTTGTATGATGCGAGTTGATTCTGTTTCTTCACTTCATTTTATTAGACGAAAAAACAGAATCAGGAGTAGTTGGTCAAAATTGAAGAAATATTTTTTCATGCAAATTGTACTGAGGCTGGTCACACTTTGAAAACTGATGGTTCAATATTCTGTGTTTTTTTAGATAAACTAAATCAGGAATATATTGTATCAGGAAAATAAATCTTTCTTCTCATACAATGAAATTCAATGTTCATTGAAAATTGACGGGCAAAAGCTAGTAGTATACAAACACTGCACAACACAAATTTGATTGTAAATTATTCACTTTCAAAAAATATAATATACAATTTAATGAGTGTTGAAGTCAAATAAATGCTTTCAATGATAAAACCTTAGATTATATATATTTCATATAATCCAAGGATAATACTTATACCCATCGTAAACGCCAGTTGCCGTTTAATCTGATTAGATACCTACTTAATATTATTTGCAAATAAACAACATTTAAAGATCATCATCATGAATCATTTCTAAAAGGTGATTAGACCCTTTTAGTTAGAGAGAAATGGCAAATATATGCCGGTTCCTCAGACTAAAGAAATAATTTCATCGTTACATATTCTATGCTCAGTTATTTAAGTCAATTGGTTAAAAAATGTGGTGATTTTGTACAGAAGATTGTTTAATACCGGAATTTTCGAATGATCTTTAAATCGAATCAATGTGTGACAATAGCTGATTTCCAATTAAAAGGATTTGTATCAGTTCAACTTAAATGTGTAAAAAAAGTAATTTAAAGATATATATTATAAGACACTTTCTTTAGAACTAATACCTATATGTATGAAATATAAAAAGTTGTTACGCTGTTGTCAACCTCTAACTCTTAACAATTTGCTTACTTAATTTTTGCACGCCGCTTTTTATTCTCCTTATGAAAAATAAAACAATGTATTTTTATAAGCGGTTATCTTTTGCACTTGACGCAATTTGCAAAACAAGTGGTCCCACAAAATATTCCATACGCTTCTATCGCGTGTGAGCGGGATGGGTGTTATTTGCTCGCCCCTACTCCGAGTGTTCTGCACGTCTGGCCATATGTCTTTGAACGGAGACAATGTTGTGACGTCGATCATAGTACGTAGCTCTCAGATGGTAGTGCTGTAGCTCGCATCACGGTTTATCTTTGGGAGGCCTGTGGATATAAGTCGATAAGCGCGTCAGTGTTCTGTATTCTGTGATATCACATTCAACGGAGGCGTGTGCTCGGTATATCCCTTCTAGTGGATCTCTCGTTGTTGCACTATTAACCTTTATCGGAAGATAAGTTATAACGACTCGCACCAACTATTGATCTTTACGAACCGTATTCGTGCATACTCTTATTAGTTAGTTTTATATTTGAAGAAAATTCAACGTATTTCAATGGCGCTCTACAGGTAAAGTAACTGATATTTATTATTATTTATATTTTCTAAATGCGTGTTACAATAAAAAAGTCGTAAATGTAGAAAAAAATAAAAGAAAGCAACATGAATTACTTTTCCTGATAAGTTAGTTACAATAATTTGTTCAGGCGTTGCGCAGAACTATAAATGAAATAGAAACAAAACATATTTTACGCTAGTGATACTATGTTTACATATTTTTTTTCATATTGAGGTACATAACTGTATGAATTGAACACTTGATCTTTTTTTTTATCAGACAATAATATAATTTATTAAGTTTCTCCGTCTTCACAACGCGTGTCAATAGAATATTACAAAGAGTCCATTTTCGTAAGCATAGCTAATATCACTTGTGTATTATATTTGCTACGAATGGCACACAAACAAGGACATGTATGAGAGCTACTTTTACTCGCAGTAATTTCTAGATCCCTATACATATATGTGTGTATCTATACATATTACGTACAGGGATATCACACTTTAAGATCTACTATTATTGATACTATAAATATTAAAATTGTTTTTAACATGAGATATCTCAAAAGACTTCATGTGTGCTTCTGATCTACTCGATCGCAAAAAAACACTATGTATAATACTAACTAGTGGCTTGAAAGATTTCTACTTCTACACAAATGACTGAGGGTCTATCCCTACTTACTGTGTTGTAGTATATTAACAGCTGGCAACTCTTGTTTTGTGTCAACGATATTATATATACATGATCATTGTTTTAAGTCATTAGTTGCTGAGTGCAACAAGTTAGACTTTAGTTACTCCTCATTGTTTTTTGTAGGAATTTTAAATTAATACTAAGTAACCCTAACTACACATGTATAATTTAATTAATGGTAATATATTTATTGTTAAAGTGCAGCTAGATTCACATGTAATTAATTTTAATCATTTAATTATCGCAGTAAACTGTAAGTGTGATTATTTCTAAATGTAATAATAGGTATAAAACCTTAATCTACAACTCGATTCTTGTTTTTTGCCCAGCCTTCAAAATACTTCTGCTTATGTAAAAAAATCTAGATCTTGTCACTTCCGTTTATAGAATATATTTGATATCCGTTACAAATTAATTTAGTGTGTGCTTATAAATTATTTATACTTTTAGTAGGTAGGTCGTAATTACAGAAAACTCATAACTACTATACATTATGTCTCTTTTGGTTTTATTCCTGTGGTTCTTTTTGTGACGAAGTTTCAAACATTGCAAAACGATATACTTAGATCAGTTTTAATTATTTTTCCAATCATAGATGTAAAGAAGAATTTTTTCTTGGTGCATATTATATAATTATAAATTTATACAAAATAATTGACGTGTTAATAATAAAACAAGGTCACTATTCTCAAGTTCAGGCCTTTAGCAAACGCACCGAGTTTCGCATATTCACGCCGTGTGCAACGTGATATTTCATTTTTTAATGTAAAGCAATACTATTTCCTGTACTTAACTGTTTTCTATTAAATCCTTCCCTATGTAATTGACATATATTTGATTACTGGTTTAAATGACCGAAAAACTGAGTATCAGTTTCTCGTACAGGCGACTCTTCTGTTTTTAAAACATTTGTACTATTTAAAATAGTTTTCGGAGATTTTTTGCGAATTAAAATTGTGGTCGAGTTCTTAAAACTGTAATCGTTTTGATAACTTAATAATTATTCTGATTCTTGAACCTGTTTTGAAAGCCAGTACTCAAAGTATAGTAAAGTGGTAAAATTTTGTTAATGGGGCAAGGTCCAGCTTTATCACACAAGCAGTTTCTTTCTCTTGACCTTTTTTATTTGTTATACGCACTCAATTTTATTGAGTGACAATCCGATCTCCTCATTTTTATGCATTCTATAACTGTTAGATAGTGAGACAAGTTGCGACGCAAATTCATATTGGTACCTATTGTATTGATATATTTGCGCTTTAATCTTTCCAGATTGACATAAATGAGTCATTGTCATTTTATCATTTACGTCGATCGTGACGTAATTTAAAATTACTGCTTGCAGTATGGTTCTCAATTCATCTTTGTTGGCTTTCATTTACTGAATCGGATTTGTCATCAAAATTTCCAACCAAAACCGAACTGTGGTTACTTGCTAAACCTGATCTATACACTTCCGTGATGTTCGCGCAATATATAAATAACTTATGTTGCGTATATTTATCCATGGCCACAGAAAAGAAACAGCGATAGTAAATATACATTGAATGCCATTAGCTTTAAATCAAGTTATTTTAAGATTCAATTAAAATTATTGGTATCTTCACAATAAAACTATTAAAAATTGACAATTTCATTATTAAACACCATAATAAATTATGTGACACCACAGAAGTTTATGTTTTATGTTAAACCGTAAAAACATAGACAATTAAATTATAATTACCTACACAAGCTGGAGATTATTTAATTTTAATTAAACATTAATACGTTTATTTTATTCATTCATTCATTTATGTATAGTCAATGGTGATCATAAAATGTCCTTACAAAAATTAAAATATTAAAACAATACAAAATATTAAAAAAAATTGCATCTCGCAAAATATACTGAAACAATATTGCCTGTTTTCTGATTTAACTACTGGAAAAAAACTTGTAACAAAGAAATCGAACATAGTTATTAACAATTCTAATGACCATAGCTATCAATGTCGATATAAATATAAAGTCCTGATAAATATAATTCATTCGACAGCTTAAAGAGCAACCTGCAGTACGCGACCCTGAAGACTTTGTCTCTGGTCTCGATAAGCGTGATGTCCCAACAGCAGTCTGTCAAGGAATTGTTCCGGACCGCTGACTGCGTGTGTTTCGATGTGGACTCCACAGTCATTCAAGATGAGGGCATTGATGAATTGGCTAAGTTCTGCGGTAAAGGAGACGAAGTAAAAAGGCTGTAAGTATTAATATATGTAAATCATAAAAAAATATTAGTAAAACTGAGTGGGATAAATAAAAAAATATAATAAAGAATAATATGGTGTTCCTTAAGTTGTGACTACTGCCAGTCTATAGATAATTAGAGAGTAGTACAAGTTTATTTCACATAAACTCGAGCGAGCGCGTTCGGCGTGTTGATGTGAAATAAATTCACACTAGGTCCTCAGCTAGATTTCTCATTGTGGATATTGCACACCTTGTTTAGCGACATAACATTAAGTTGTTTACAATCTATAGCAAGTATAACGTATTATACACTAAGCCTATTTATATTAAATATGTTAGCATAATGTAAATACATATAAATGTAAGAAGAAGAGACAAAAACATTAATTTTAAATGATACCTAAGCTGTTTTCACTTTAATGCTGCTTGATGTATTTTCGATATTGACGCATTACTTGTTATTAAAAGTGGAGTTCATTGACAGTAGCCTGAATATAATTTGAATGGAATAAGGTGACGAAAATATATTGTGTGACCCTATAGCCCTAATTGCAGTCGAACAATGGTATGATCCTGTTTTCAATGGTTGTATTGTGTTTAATAGTTTTTCATTTTGATAATAATTTAGACAATAATAGTTAAAACACTAATGTTATTAATTTTTTGTTTTATTTTGTTTATCTCGCAAAAAAAGCCAATCATTTATTGATAAATTAATTTCCTCTCTTTTGAAAAAGATTGGATATTTGGAAAGCTACGATACGAGTTATAAAAATTAAATCTATTTATCTGGCAAGCCTTTCACTTATTTTTTTATATAATATATTATACAAATCAATATTATGCGTATTTAATGCGTTGACGTACCGTTTTATCATACACAACATCAGAGATAAACTATTGAAAAAAGTACTGGTCATGTGGGATGCTAAACTTGCTTTTACACAAGCGAGGCCTGGGAAAAAACTTAGTGCTCTTACAGTTAATAAATAGAATTATCAAAAATATCGATCTATTACCACAGATGATAATATAAGATTAAATAATATATATATATATATATATATATATATAATTTTTGCTTAGATAACAAATTGTTGATATGTTGTAACACCAACTTGTTTGCCTAAGTTATCTGCGTAATCATGGTTGTTTTTGTTTACATGTAGTAGAAAATTAATAAGAAACATTAAGTAAGTTTTATCTAAATGTTGCAAAAATATTTTGTTTGACAGAACTGCTGAAGCAATGGGTGGCAACATGACTTTCCAAGAAGCATTAAAAAAAAGATTGGACATAATCCGACCAAGTGTTAGCCAAATTAAAGAATTTCTAGACACTTTCCCCATTCATCTCACGCCTGGAATTTCGTAAGTATACATTTTAATTTTGTTTGTTTGCAAAATCCAATTATTTATTGACAATAACTAATAATATAACTAACTAAATAATAATAATAACTTGATACATCTAATACACATCTGTCTGATCCCGAACAAGTCATAGCCTGTACTATGATAACCAGACTGCTGATAAGCATACTTATATATTTATATAAATTTACATTGTATTGATAAATTACACCTAGATAGAGCAATGGTCGCTCATCACATAATTATTTCCGTGAAAATCGAATGTAGACCTGGTTCAGCTGTCTGTAACAGTAACGATTAGATCACAGAAATCGTTATAATAAAACTAATTTTTTGACAATCCCTAGCATTCTTCTACAGGGACACAACAACATTATACATTGAAGTAAAATGCAATGTAAAACCAGAAGTTAAGGTTCATAATAGTTAGTGCCCTATGCACTTCACCGTTGTTTTGCAAGTGTGTGCGTGTTTTATATCTATTTGTTTGCTAATTGTGTATGTGTTAAGATATGGCGATATCGGTTTTGGAAGTAATCGGGCGCTAATTCATTTCTAGCGTCTTATCATTAAAATTTTTATGAATTAGACCAACCCGCCAATCAATTGTAAATGAGAATATTAGTAACCGTAAGTAATAATAAAAAAATAGTACTAAATATCACCAAAACAGCCTTATCTTACTTAAAAAAAAACAAAATCATTCTGTTCGTGGCTTAACTCGAGCCTACTTTTGTTTACAATAAGTTGTATGTATTCTTTTGTATCAAACGACCTATATCTTTGTAATAGTTACATATATAACTGGTTAAGCCATCCGGTAAAATGACACATGTAAAACTAGTTATACCAGTTTTCCTTCTAGTTATCAGTTATGTGTTGACCTGAATCGACATTTCTTCTCGACCGTTTCGTGATAATTTTGGCGTTTGCAAATGATCCTCAACATTATCGTTTGTGTTTGTATGTACATTTCTTGTTATGTCTCTACTATGATTACATAATATAATAGTCATACATTTTTTGGTATCTAAATTTTAAGTTAACTTCAGTAAATTGATTACAGGCCTGTTACAGTTGATCTAGTGGTTAGTGACCCTGATTGCTAAGCCGGAGATCGTGAGTTCGATTCCCACCCAAGACAAATAATTATGTGATGAGCATTATCTGTTGATATGTGAATTCATTTATAATATGTGTGTATTTAGAAATATTTAAGTATGTTTATCAGTCTGGTTATGAGTACAAGGTCTGCCTAGTTTGGGATCAGACGGCCGTGTATGAGGTGTGTCAAGTTATTATATTCAAAGAGACTTATTAGTTTGGAGATATATGTATTTAGGCGCGAGGCGCTTTAATTCATATTGGTGTTTAAATCAAATTTAAAATGTAATGAATTATCATAAAAGCGTTTTTAAACTCCAGTGCCAATCAGAAAAAATGTTCATTCTTACTTGAATTCAAGTTGAATGAAAACACGCACACTAAAAAAAAATATGGTTGATGACTAGTTGATTTGACTTAAATTATTGCAAAACGAACCTTGTATTAAATTATAAAAACATTCTAAAGTTTTGGAGAAAACTTTCTAAGGTTTTCTCTTCAAAGAGTATTTATTGTAGCGCTAATGACTAATTTTTGTAATAAATATTAGAAACAGCGTTTTTAGATAGCATATCAATAGCTTTAGTAATAATTCCGTCGGGTGACGGTAGACTGGTCTATATTAGGCCTTTCAATAGGCATATAAATGTGACTCTTATGACCTTTTACTAGGTCATCAGGGTCATTTTATCTCTATTGTTCTGGTGTCTCGTTAAAAAAAAAGCAATTCTATACTCTTGACGTTTCTCAAAAAAAATCGTATTTGATTTTGCATACCTCTGCAATTAGTGAACGGTTTCTTAGATTTTGTACTTATATTAAGAAATATGCAGCTTAAAATGTATCTTGTAATTTAATTCGGTAATCTAATTATATGTTAAAATTTCAGACAATTAGTAAAATCACTCCAAGAACACGGTGTCGCCGTCTACCTTGTATCTGGTGGTTTTCGAAGCCTCATAGAACCCGTAGCAGAGAAATTAGACATCCCACTTACCAACATCTACGCTAATAGACTCAAATTCTATTTTAATGGTGAGTTCAATTTTAAACTTTATTTTAGTTGTAATAAGTGTCTGTTGTATAACATAACATACTTGTCGTCGTTCCACACGGCAAAATTTTCATCCCCATCACTTCTATAATTGGCATTCCACCACTGCGCGCTTTTCAAGATATTTTTTCCATCGCATAACCAATCTGTGGAACAAGTTATCGTCTGCGGTATTTCCAGACCGATACGACCTTCAAACCTTCAAGAAAAGAGCCTCCTCCCTAAAAGGCAGGCAACGCGCTTGTGACTTCTGAGTTGCAGGTGTTCATGGGCGGCGGTAGTCACTTTCCATCAGGTGAACCGTCAGCTCGTTTCTTCCATAAAAAAATAAAATAAAAATATACATATGAGTATTTGTTACACACACAGAAAGTATTAAAACTGGCTAGAATGTTAAAATTAATATAAATGTACCTATTATGTTTAATTGTGAATGGAGGTTTGTTACTCAATCACGTCAGAACGGCTTAACGTATCTGGATGAAACTAAGCACAAAGATAGAGCGAAGTCTAATAGCACATGGGTTACTTTTTATCCAGAAAAATGTCGAAATCTAAATTGAAGCGAGCGAAGTAGAGAGCAAATGGTAGTAAACATGATGAAACAATAAGACGATGGAGTAACTACTCTCTGGTTAATTTTTATTTAAATCTATAGTCATGACAGCGAAGTTTTCTAAATAACTTTGCTAACATTTTCTATGTTTTCGAAGATGTAGTCGTGTCAGTTTGAGCCTGAGCAGGTTCTGAAGAGTCTTGCTCCTTCATTGTTCTGACGCAACTGAGCAACCACTTTCTGATATTACCCATTAAATATTTTTTGTCGGGTTCCTCGATAGCTGCTAATGCTGTATTGTCCATTTACTTTTTATCTTCACTTATCTTTGACCCTGATACTTCAACAAATACGCATATTTGTTAGGGTTTTTTTATTCTGAGGCACTATAACAATTAAATCATCATTATTGAAACCAGAGTGATGACGAACTTGGAAAAGTGTATGGTAAATGACAGTCTAGGGATTGAAAATATTGTAGTTTTTTTTTTATAAAATCACGATGGTTAGGCCTTGCATATATAGTGTATAAATACCGAAAGTGTATAAAAAACTATTCATGTAAGAGGATGTCTAAAAATAAATGACGATTCAATTGAGTTCAAGTATATCGTAATTTATTGAGTATTTCAAAATAGAACCGTATTTTTTATACTAGCCTGGCCCTGGACCTTATATTATAGTAGACAAATGATTTTGTGATGAGCACGGTCATTTGTTCTGTGTCTGGGTGTACTTTATCTATAATATGTATGTATTTACATATACTGATAGCGTATGGATGGCGTAGTAGTTTAAGCGGGCGCCACGCCGCTTACTACTACGCTGAGTGTTGTGGGTCCGATCCCCACATGTGACAACACTTTGTGATCCACAAATTGTTGTTCTGAGTCTGGGTGTATTTTGTGTCCGTTTCATGTATGTGTGTAAAGTCCCCCGCGACACAGGATTTATCCTAGTGCAGGAGTTGTCTTTTATTTTAGGTAAAGTTAAAGTAAAAGTACATAATAAGTATGTTTATCAGCAATTTAGTAACCATAGTACAGGCTCTGCCTAGTTTGAGATCAGACGGCCGTGTGTGAGATGTGTAAAAAATATATTATATTAATATTATATTATATAACATATTACATTTCAAATATTATATTCCTATTCCTTCTCATACCATAGTCCAAAAACCTTTTCCGACCTTTTTAGAACTCTTTTCTGTTTATAGTTTACAAATAATGGAAGTCTTAACACCATGTCTAATATTGTTCAAGAAGTTTTCTAATGTCTTACTATTTAAAAAAATACTAGTAAAGAAATAGTCAACAGAATACTAATTTGTTACATGAAGCCAAACGGTATCATAATCACGGACAGAGGTCGCACATTCCAGTTTTGACCTGTGAAGTAAGTGACTGTAAAATGTCAATTTAGATATCAGGCTATTGAGAAATGTGATTTGTGATTGTTTATACAATCCGTGTTCTGATGCTTGCTTCTGTCTGGAAACAATAATATAATAATATAAAATGTAGTGTTGAATCTTGCAAATATGAGCAGTAAAACAAATGTTATTAATACTTTAGTGAGTGTCAAAGAGTATTGATTTATTTTAAGTTAATCAAATAATTAAGAAATATAAGATAACCCTCAAATTAGGTCCTCATATTATATAATTCAATTCTTATTTAACATGCAATGTATCTGCAATACCCGACGGGTTTGTTATCAAGGCATTTCAGGAACTCGATCTATCTGTCGATACCAATACAAAAACCTGTCCTTTTATCATATATATAAACTTCTTGTGATCCTACGAAGTGGATAAAATCACGCCTTGTATTCTCGCTTGTCCCTGAACTAATTGTGTCACTACTGCATTATCGTATCAGTAAAGCTCAATACTAACATGTTTTGTGTGACAAGAAATAATAAAATTGTTACAAAACATTATGTAAAACATTGATATCATCATCATCATTCTATCGAAGTGCACTGCTGGACATAGGAGAATCTATTGCACGCCACTTCGATCGGTTTTCGGCTTCTCGCTAACATTGATATATGTTAACTTATTATAGATTGTGTATAAAAAAGGAAAACATGATACCTTGATCTCAATGAGACCTTAATTATTACTTTCATATCATTATACTTATCTACAGTTGGCGGGGTCTCCGCTCACGTGACTAATTTGAAATATGGAAAAAAGACAAGCAATTAATTAAATCGCATAATAATACCCCTACTATTCAATCGCGAAACGACCTAACAAAGAAACCTAATTGTCTTATGACGCGCATTGAAAGAAGTTTATCATATGAGTTCACTCGTTATCTCTTTCCTTTTTTTTCTAAGTAAACGATTCAAATAATCATTGTGTTAAAGATGATTCTTGACGTTGCCATAATTTGCATGTACTAGCTTTTCTTCGAGAAACAAGTACAAGGACAAACAAAATATGCAAATTTAACAAAAAACGGTTTGTGACATAGAGCTTGAACATAATTCTGGCTTATGGTGAACCATAGGGTACATCAGAATTATGGGCTTTCTTTCAATTTATTAATGTCTTTGTCTTTGTTCTATTTCCAATTAAAACATTCATTTGTTTAACGTAGGAATGCCTATGCATAGGTGAATAATCTAGCTCTGCTTAGTTTGAAACTAGATAGCGTTGTGTGTCCGATGTCCGGAAATAATATTATTATTAATAGTACCTAGTTAGTAGAAATTATTGTCATTTGTAGAAAGTCATAACCTATTCATGTCGCAGAGAGCATGTCATCGACACATGATATCTATCGCTTTCCGGTATGCCATTGATCGTAGACTATAGGAATAGATAGATATTGCATAATCAAATATACACAAATTTATCAACAATAATATTATTAGTTGTAATTTGAACGAACGAACAAAGTCATGGAACTCGCTTCAATGAGCTAATATTTAATGTATAGAAAGAAGCCTTTATGAAAGGTTATACTACGTAAATATGCAAACGTATCTTAACTTTTGCATACCGTAAATAATATTCACGGTATCTAGAACATTCCTCGTTCAATTGGCGAATTAATCGAGAGGGTCCATATTCCAATTGATCAATTGAGGGCTAATATACAAGAATAGCAGAATAATTTAAGACGCATTGTAAACGTTTGTCTCTCTATATAGACCTTCAGGAATGTTACTTATAAATTGAATTGTTAACGAGTTGATTGAGATATTAAAGCGCAAAATATGAAAGTCTTGACTTGATGCATTTCTCCAAAGTTCTACAATCAATAATATAAAATAGAATATGAAGTTTAAAACTGTATAGGACACGAAATAAAACTGGTCTTGTCGCATGGAAAGGCAGACGATGCCACGATATAACGAACGGTTTTATTCTACGAACTTTGTGCAGATATCTCGTACAGAACCTTGTCGTATTTAAACCGGTCCCGTAAACAACTTTGCCAGACGATTTCACAAATCATCCAGTTTACTTTGAGGTGGTTTTTAAAATCCGTTTTCGTGGAAGCTTGTATTATGTAATTCTGACCAAGCGTTGATCCTTTGGTGTCCAACTGACGGAGTAAAACTTAGTATTTCTTTGTATGTTAAAGAGGAATAGTTTTAAAGAACTCTGATAAATGTGAATAATTGCCCGTTCTTTTCATATTTACTGCTTTAGAAAGTATTATTATTACTTTTACCTACATATTGATATTTAGCTACTATATATTTAAATTAAACAACCAGCCTATTGCAGGCCACTGCTGAACATAGGCCTCTCCCAACGTGCGCCGAAACCTATACAAACATTTTTATACCCCATATCGTCCCAATTTGTATCGGTCGTTATATTTTAAGTTAAGTAAAAATTATATACCACTATCTTATTATTCCACCAAAAATGCTCAAGTTATGTAAAGTTTTTTCTTTTGATAACAATTTACTATCATGATCTAATCTTGAACATTTTTATTGTTAAGGGAAATAGATATACACATTACACATTTACGGCATTGATTCAAACGTGATCATTTCATGTCACCTACATGTAGGTCAAATATTTTCTCAGTAAAAAAACCCAGTGTCGTTTTATACATAGCACGTAAGGGGAATTTCTTGAAACTAAAACCTTTATCAAAGTGATAAGTTGTTTGTTGTTTGCATTGAGTTAAAAGAGCAATGGTTATTTGCATTAACTACTACGCGTTGCAAACGAGAATATAATCACGATTATGACCGTGCCAACTTTACTTCGAACTCGACAAAAAAGTAGCAGCTAAAACGCAGTTGAGTAATTTAAAGAAAAAAAGGTTTGAGATTTAAAATTAGAATAACATAATAAATATATATCTCTAAACTATGTACATATTAATTATGTAGTAAAAATTTTTAAAATATACGAGGTTTGTTCCGTGTAGGTACATAAGTTTTTTTTGCCAATTTGGCATTTTTTTATTTTGTTGTTGCTCAATAACTACCAGTATTTCTGTGAATTAAAGTTTCATTTCGTTCAGTTTCTGTTACATTGTAAAACCTGTTACTTTTGCTATGAGTGAGTGAGTAAGGGCATTCAATAACAACTTTAGTGCCCGATAATTTATCACTATCATAGGTACCTTCTACAAGGTGGTAATATAATACCTTCTACAAGGTATTACAGTATATCGCGATTTAGTAACTGTAATCTCGTGGTGCAATAATAAGTAAATAAACATTCGTTTGTGTTATTATTATCAGTAAAAAAGTATAAAATGTTTAAATGGTCAAAGTAAGTTGAATATGCGGATTATCTATGTACTAAGATCTCCTAGATAAAAGTACCTACTAATTTAGTATATGGAATTAACAAAGTCTCTAGTTTTTTTTGTTCAAGCAGTTCTCCTCTGGAATGCGCGTCTGTCTGTAATCAGCGTCGGGGTACCATGGCTTTCCTTTCTAGGGTATACCTGGTATCTGGATACGGCGTGCGGTTTTTGGTCGGTTCGAGTCCGACATAATCACCCACTGGTGGGTGGTATCCGAGGGGAGTTCTGCACAGGAAAAAAAAAGAAAAGGATGGCACAAACCATGTCGTATAAATATATGTGCGTAAAAGTTTATGAACGTAGTGCTGTATATTAATGCTACATTTGAGTATGTATTAATTGAATCAGAAACATATATTTTCATTGATTACATAAATATGTAATCTTGTAAGTTAGGTGGTTACATATTTATGTAACCACCTAACTTACAAGATTTCTACACCATCAAACATTGGTCTAAGAGCGAATGCCTTTTGGTATTCAATATTATTACACGCACACAGTTTTTACTGTCTTGACCTGTAGTGATTGCGTGATACTTTTACTAAGTTACCCTCATCAATAGAAGGTACACATAACACTATAGTAGTAGTTAATTGTCTAGAGAAAGCCAGATACTTCCATGTCCAGGTGTTTATTTTTAGAAGTGTAAAGGGAGCCTGACTAGGCTACTGGATGGAGGGCTCAATAAATTGTTATGATAAATGTATTCTTATCTATACCCCAAGCAGAGTTCGTAACAATATATTATTTACAAACAAGTTTCTGACGTAAGGTTTCCCGGCCTCAGGTCAGTTTCACAGGTCAACTGTGTCAGCGTTTGTTTTGCTAGATAATCTGACTGCAATTTTTATATTCTTTATAATTACCATTTGACGTAAAGGATTCGTGGAAGTATATAAGTATTTAGATAATTTCATTATAGTGTATAAGTATTTGGCAAAAAAAGAAACAGGTACGCTTTTTTTCAAAGAAGGTACAAAGCAGGCAAAAATCAAAATTTGAAGAGACTTACACAACTTAAACGTCAAATTTACTGGCAAATGAATAAACGATATACGTATACTGTAAACAAGTACCTATTAATGTATATTTCAGAAAAAAATAAACTGGTAAGTGTGCTCTAATGAAATTGATAGAGATATATCAAATTAATTAACACACACGGGTCAAAACCAAGACACCTAAATATTTTAGCTATTATCTTATTGAACTTAATATCGCTTAAATACGCAATACTTTTGCTTCTGTTTTTTATATATAAACTATCAACAATGATGTAAGTGATTCATGCGCAGAGTGTGCGGTTTACACGCATTTAATGCGTGCAAGCTGATCAAAACGCGGCGGGTATTGCGTTTCATATTTGTCGAATGGGACATGATTATATTATATTCTACAAGCTTTTGTTTGTGGCTTCGCTCGCATTAGTATACTATTTGTCTAAAACACACTCACTTATCACTCGGGAACACTTTTTGTCCAACTTTTTTCCGTATCTTGCAACATGAATAAATTTCAACATGATCGGTCGAAACAAAAAAGAAATTAAACTCACTTTAGAAAGAAAATTAATTTAACTCACTTGAGATTAAGAACATCGGTTAAGATTTCTAAATAAAGGGTCTTGGGGCTTTCGGGACCGGGACCGCGTCCCCGGTTTTCTCCTAGAGATTCAATAATTATGTTTGGAAAGTATATTGGGACAATTACAAAAAAAAATTATGTCTTGGGAAAATACGGTGAACAAAATAAAATTGAAGTTATACAAATAAAACATAAATTATTTCTTTTATTAAAAAAAAATGACTTAATTTAGAATTAAACCTAAAAAAAAACAGATAATACTCCTTACGAAATATAATTTGAAATCTTGAGTATTTGAACAAAAATTGTTTTTTTATTAGTGGTCCCAAAATACTATTTAAAAACAATATAATGCAAATAAATATATCAAACCAAACAAATATATGTAAAAGGTTATAGCCATGCTAACTTTTATATTATTCAACTGTATACAGATAGCATAATGATACCAAAATTGGAGTTTTGTCATGGCAAATAATATCAGATAAAGAACCGGTATATTGCAAAATTGTTATCGTAATAACGATTAAATGATCTATCATTAAAAATCGACCTATATACAATACGGAAGTAGGTAAATATGTTTGTGATTATCTTTAATCTGAAGGTGAACGGCAGTTTTCGTTAATGGCGACTAGATAAGTATGCACTCCTTAATATTGTATAAAACGTGATCATTAATGAGTAAATAATATATTAGGTACTATTTTCGTCTCTGTATTAAGACTATCCAAATTGTTTAAATGTTTTTCGCTTGTCCACTTTTTAAGGTCATTCGTAAGTATTCTCTACATGAGGAAGTACATACTACCTTCAAACTTACTAGACTAGTGCTCCTAGTCACACTCCTTCCTAGGCGCTTGCCTCCAACAAACTATCATAAGTAAATTTGATAATGTAGAGACGTGAGTTCGTAACTTTTTCATATATCTAAAATAGGTATAAGTTCACCTTTTCTCCGGCTTCTAACAAAGACAGGTTTACTGGCGATTGTTTGCGATAACTATTCAATTTAAAATCTCGTACGCAAAAGGTCGTCTAATAGACATTGTATTATATTGTCAAAGATTAATTATTGTTTCGTTTTATTTTTTTGTGCTTTCCCTTACAAAATAAAAGGTACTACTAAATCATCTTTGTCCCTCAGTACACAAGAGCGACACAATAGAACAAAGAATGACTGACCAGTTTAAAATTTCACAGACCGTGTGTAATTGCGATCGCTATTATGACAGCAGAAAAAAACGGGCTGTGCATACTCCCTAAAACAAAAAATAATACTAAGAAAAATTTCAGGTAAGATGTGGTCCCGTCCGGAGTCTTTGAAGGAACCCTCCGTTCGAAGCTGTGCTTTATAACTTCAGTTAAAATGTCATTGTTACCTGTGTAGTTTCAATTAAAAAAAACCACAGCCTGTCTACTTATAATCTTAATTTTACAAATGGCCGCCCGGTTATTTATAAAATAGCTCAGCAACTTTTCACTTGCGGAAATGCAATATCATTCAAGGAGCGATTTTACCCACAGTTTTCTATGTTCCAAAAACCTTACCTACATCATAACCTTGCCTATGGTCATGGTACGACACGATTTATGGTAGTTTATTTATTGAATCGGAATTTTTTACATGTTAGCAACAAAACGTACCTTCAATACACGGGCACCGAATAATTTAAATTTTAAATGTTTTTGTTATTGTCCGTCATCTATGCGTATTTTACGTCAATCAATATAATGAATAACAAACAATCTTTTGGACATGACCGACTATTTCTATTTATGTATTCTTCAGTAGGTCAAAGAATAATATTTATTTTTATATCACGTATTTAGTACTTAGATCACATATATGTGTAATTTATGTAGGTTAGATTTTATTGACAATGGTTGTAGGTATAATTGGGCCGTTGATCTATCGTCCATCTTTATCGTAAAGTCCACCTATATCTGGGTGTAGATGGTAGTTTTAGTTTGCGATAATGACAGTCAATGTAAAACAAATGTTTTGTGCCACATATTTTTAACATGCGTATAATTGTGTGAGTTTGTGTGTAGCAAACTTATGCAAATGTACTATTTTGTAATTTAAATGGACATTTAAAAATATAAAATAGTCCATGTAGTTAAATACTACACATCCCTGGATTAGTTTCAAAAGTGTTATTTAGAATTGTTTTTTTCTCTGTATCCTGTACTTTTTTAGACCACTAATGTGTATCTCTCTTCTTTTCAGGGGAATATGCTGGATTTGACGAAAACGAGCCTACCTCACGATCCGGTGGCAAAGGTTTAGTGGTCAGAAGACTGAAGGAACAGCAAGGGTATCAGCGTTTAATCGTTATTGGCGATGGTGCCACGGACGCAGAAGCCTGTCCTCCTGCTGATGGATTTATTGGTAAATACACTTATTTCGATGTGTCATGTTTCTCAAGTCAATGTGTCCCGTTCTAGGTTTCAAGTTGCGTTGTGGTGGATATGTTTTTGCATGGAATTTCATTTGTATCTTACCAGAATCTTGAACGGGATCATCTTTGTCTAAACAGTCACGTTACCTGTTCGCATGATGTTGAGGTTCATTGCCCGCCACCCGATAAACGGCTTAAAAGACGTTCTTGTCTAGGCAATGATAGCAATATTACACTCTTTTAAGTGAATAGATTGCTACTAACTGTAACCAACATCTACTAAAGATTCGTCTATCAGTTGCCACTTCGCTGGTTCGAGGTCTAATGTCGGTTTTAGAAGGAGTTAACTTTCTGTTTTTTTTTAGGGGAATACGGACCTCATCATACCCTATATATATCCTATATATCCAGTTTTTGTTTCTGGGACATCCCGAAACAAAAACTGTATAAAAAAAATCTGGATAAAAATTGGGTGACTTTGACATGAAGCATTTAGCCTAGTCTTCTGAGACTATGTAGCTTAGTGGTGGGTTCTGTTATTTATTTCCAAAGGAAGTAATTAAGATCGGACTTGTTATTTAAAATTGTATGTTGAACATAGTGTTGTTTGTTTTATGAATTATTGTATACATAAAAAAATATTTTCTTGTATTTTGATACGTATTACCTATTTCCTCCTTTACTCTCATCTGATAACCTGACTCTTTACTGTCTGTGTAGATCACTAGGTGATAGCAGAATACGAGACCTAATTTAATGAAAGTAGCAATTCGGTAAGCTGCCAGTGACGTGTAAATTGTATTATGTACTCCCTTACTAATTAGTGTCAATTATTTGTTATAGGTTTTGGAGGGAATGTTGTTCGTGAAGAAGTAAGAAAGCGGGCTACATGGTACGTCACAGATTTCCAAGAGCTCATTAGTTCCCTCACGCTCCAAACCAAGTGAACTTATTCCCAGATCGATGGATCGATGGGATCAATTCACCCAATTTGCCTAAATTCTAGTACATGGACGTAGATAAATTCACACGCACTAAGACTTTGTATCATCTAATGTCATACGTCAACACAAACTTGGAAACCGTTAAAAGTTCAAATAGTTATTTCAAATTGGTATATTCATCTGTAATATGTATAATAGTGTATATTTAATACAAATAGAAATCTTTGATACATTTCGGCCCGTTTTGGCTGTGTTAGATAAATGTTAGATCTATAACCTAAATGTATACCTAAATTGTGATAATTTAAAATTTAAAGTAGGTACCAAATTTTTTATTGAACAGTCTGTAAGGAGTTATTGATATTGCCTTTATAAATGTAAGTCGATTGTACTTTGAGTACTAAATAAATGAATATTTTTTGAGTAGGTATTTATAGAACTGAGTTCCGATTTTGTATTTGATCTTGAGACGCGACAAATTTATGTTGATTTTAAGTTATTTGTAAGAGTATTTTAGTATTAAGATAAGTAGCTAATGTTCATAACTAGAGGTATAACACCTGAATTGTTTTTTTTTTTTTCGTAGTATAATTATCGACAGACAGAATTATAGCACGCATATTTTGTAGAATGTTAAGCCATTAATTTGTTAAATATAAATTAGCATGGATAATTAATTTAGCTTCGAATTTTAAATTTGTTAATGTTATAATTTAACGGGTTTGAATTCAAAAATAGAACAAATATATTTTTTCGTGTAAGCACAACGACTTTGTCATATTATAGGTGATATATCTACAGTTCATTTTTACTTTATGCGAAATATGTGTTATTAATAGTTTTAAAGTTGTTGATAGTTATTTATTTAATTAGTAACTTTCGTTTTTAGAGAATTTTACCTGATACCGTATCAGGTAAAATTCTCTTAAAGCGAAAGTTCATAATTATATTATAATATATAAAACAAAACGGCTGTGTACTTCTTATGAATAGATAATTAATAAAATATTAATATGTAAGTTTACAATTTTGGTTTTATTTTTATTAGATCAGCAAACCTGAAATTGAGTGTGGTGGGATTACACAAAGAATTAAATATAATTGTGTAATCATGAAGTGTCGTATCTGGTACGCCCGTGGCAGCTGCATTTGCACATCTTTAGGGAGAGGCCACACGATGCTGTGCAGCTCCGGCTCGGCGCCTGAGCGGTGCCGATGCACCGTAATATCTACAAATGTCCATGGAATACACGGTGCGGCGCGGCACGAGGGGATATAGCACCGCTGCCACTCCGACGTCGCAGAGCGGAGATGACTATCTTATATCCGTAGTTCAAAAAAGAGAAACTTATTCCGCACTGAACTGTCTCCGCAGTCCGGCACCACAACGCTACCGACATTTTTGCGACGTCGCGTACCGCCGTGTGCACCCTGAGGCAGCAAAATGGTTGCCCGCACCGCATCGTGGGGGGAGCCTCTCCTTTAGCCGCGACTATATGTATTAATCAGCCCTTCAGTTGAAGAGTCCTTATATCCTGACCGGACCGGGCCGGACTCGACTTATAACATAAAACAATATTTTTGAGTCATCACATCATCACATCACATCAGTAGCCTTTAATAGTCCACTGCTGGACATAGGCCTCTCCTTAGAAAGGAGGTTTTGGCCTACTATGCCACGCTGGCCAGACGGGTTGGTATAGGGTTTGTATTAAGTTTTCCTTCTCTTTGCAGTGCTGTTGTCCTGCGTAGTTTGCTCCCTTAGTCGCCTCTTACGACACCCATGGGATGAATAGGGGTGGCGACACTCCGTATTCTTAATCCGTCACCACACGGAAATACCAGTACCACTCAAAAAATTTGTTTGGGACTACAAATTAAAAATAACTTACATTTTGATTCTTGACAAGTGTAGTGACAATCAATACTCTTTTGCTAATATTAGGGGTTAATGTATGAAATTGCCGATTTGTACTAAAAAATTGAAACTCGTTTTTTTCTGAGATGTATTATATTTATTTAATCAAAATATTTACCTTCATTATCTCTACATTACTGCCATCTAAATGGAAGTTCATTTATGCCAATCTAGATTCGAAAAACTGTGTGAAATGTCCAAATCACGAAAAAAATGGTAGTGCGTTGGAGCAAGCTCTGGCCAGTACGGAGGATGACATATGGTTTCTAACTGCAGCTTCTGTAAAATTACAACGGTTTCTTGTGCTGATTGAGGTATTGTGTTATCATGGAGCAATAATGGTGAAAATCGATTCACGAGTCGGGGGCTATTTCACTGCCAGTTTCGCCATCATTGATCGAAGTTCGACACAGTAAATATCTGCTGTTATTGCCTGACCAGACCTGAGAAAGCTATTGTGAATAACACCATGAAGAGACCGCCAACTGCACTATTGCGGCGTTTGACCTGATGTCAGTCATTGAATATTGGTTTTTCTGTACCGATTCAACAAGGCACATAAGTTTCAACGGGCATTTCTTTCTGCAGATCAGTCAAGTCATGAGGCACTCATTTTTCATATTTTTTTATGTTATTGTTACTGATTTGAAATGAGTCAATATTGTAGGTAGAGTAACGTTAAACCATGCCGCTAATTCCTGGGTAGTTTGACTCGGATCGGCTTCCACCACCTCCTTCAATTCAGCGTTATTTACTTGTGTGGGTCTTCCACGTGGTTCGTCCTTCAAGTCAAAGTTGTCATTACGAAAGCGTTTTAACAAAAATCGCACGGTGCGTTCATTAGCAGTATCCTCTCCAAACGCAACTTGATATTGCGAGCCGTTTCTGCCGCGTTAGTTTCGCGTCGGAACTCATATTCAAAAATGACTCCGGTTTTCGAAGGATCCATCTTTCACGTGAAGCTAAGCTGAATAAAAAAACAATTGAAAGTCGAAAATCGAATTAGCACATTTTTTTCACAAAGAAGAACTTCATAGGTATCATGTAAAAAAATCAGACGAAAATCTCACTCCATGAAGGTTTTATGTCAATTCAAAATATCTATCACTATACAACGGCAATTTCATATTTTAAGCCCTATATTTGAATACGTGAAGAGTATTCTGTGTACCGTTTATAAAAAAGTCCGAGTTCATAGTAAGTTTTGTTTTACACAGAAAACTTGTGTTGCCGTCTATGATAATTTTTAGGTACTAATTTAACTCCGCCGACAAAATGACAACTAAGTTTGACGGATAGAAGGATGAATGAAGCATCATAAATATGTATAAGCACTTATATAATGCGTAAGAATACTGCTGTACAGTACACAGGAGCTCATTGACGTAGGTAGTTGTGCAAGTTTGTCCTAAGCTCAAAAAAGTATCGTCATGCAAAACGCTTGCGAAGGTGTATTAAATTTATTTATTAATTTATATTATATATTTATATTAAGCACATCACAACATAATTACAACATTACATAAGGTCGATAACATTTTATAAATTAAAATTTTAAGTAATTTAGATAAATATATAGGTAGTATATATAGATAATAACACATAATAGATTTGCATGACACTTAGTAAATATCCAAAATGGAAAATAAATAAATAAAAAGGAGTCGGCCGGCTTTGGCAGCGCTGTACGCAAGGCTGTTTCCTTAGAGAATAGCACTGCTACAACTGCAGGCTACAACTCAAGTCATACCTAAGTGCGTTGTTGCCCCTTGAATCAACTCTAACCCCTTCAAAAAACTGTTGTTTGTGTAACGATTTACTGTTTTAAAAAAAACTTTGGAAAACTTATAAACAAAATTAATGACAATTACACTGAATTTGTTTTCTTTATATTTTATGCATTTGCAGAATAATCCATCGATATTTCTTTAAACATCCATACACAGTTAAATTCATGTCAGTTAGTCAGTTAGTTAACAAGTATTTTGAAGGTTAATTTTATTTAGATTTTTGTACGTAATATCACACATGACGCAAAAAATGTTGATACCTACAATTCCTTTTATGAATCGAATCTTTAACATAGAGTACCAACCTACCTACTATAACTTTACTTTTCGTTTTTAATTTGTACTGTAAATTTAATTGCTTTGTTTTGTTACTTGTATGATGACCTGATTCTACGGAATTGATCAAGTGTTATTACTTTTAAATACGATAGTGTGATCGTCATACGAAAATAACTCGGTGTTGACCTGTCGCTTCACTTCTTCGGCTGTGCGCGCATGCGTATTCACTTACCGAAAAAAGTTATTAGAATGTACAATATGGCGTAAATGGAAAAGTAATCACTTTACATCTAATACCTTTAAACGAGCAATTCTTGTATACATATATATATATAATCTGAATCTCGGAAACGGCTACAACGATTTTCCTAAAATTTAGTATGCAAGGGTTTTCGGGGGCGATTAATCGATCTAGCTAGCTTTAATTTCTAGAAAATTTACCAAAAAAATATAATACCGAGCAAAGCTAGGTCACCCAGCAGTACCTGGGTGACCTAGCTTTGCTCGGTATTATATTTTTTTGGTAAATTTATAGAAATTACAAAAGTTGACTGTTGACTGGAACTGTTAAAACTTTTTGTTTGTTTTCCCTAATTAAAAAATGTATTTATGATATACATGTTATTTCTGTATAGAAAGTCATTAAACAGGTAAGTAGAGATTAAATGTCTAGGGACATTTAACAATATAGGTATTAGAAAGGTGTTACAGATTAATATACTATCTCTAAACTAAATAAATTCTCAGAACTACAACCAAAATCTAAGCTTTTTTAAAAGCCCCGTTTGCGATTATCTCTGTGCAGATTATCACGTTTATCACATACAAGAGTTTTTACAAGGTCTTTCACGATTCAATTACATTTTATAATTTCAGAGATTATCTTTCAGCAATCTATTTTCAATAACATAATACGATCACGTGCGGAAGCTGCGGGCGGTCATCTCGTCTTGAAACAGTCGTATTTTGAACTTTAAACTCTAAAAATACATCTGTGGTGACCCCGCACGACTCCG